TGTGGGACCTCACTGAGCGGCTCACACACAGCCCAATGGATGGAGTGTTTGCTGCTCTAATGAAAAAGGTTTATTTGGGGGAAGAGTTCTTGTCGTCTTTGTCCGCGGCTTTAAAAAGGCCTGACAAAGGCGTTGATATTATCTTTAACACCCACCCATTTCCAGGACACATTAGCGCGGACTTGGAGGTGAGGCAGCAGCAGAGCCGCAGCCAACAAGACCCACAGGGCTTCCAAAATTCCCCAGACAAACCATGACAGTAAACGCAAATCGCTTCCTGCACAGACACAACATATGCACACCAGGGCTTTATCTTTATCTTCATCTGGTGTTAATTAATCTCGCAATGAGCTCATGGACGGAGCCAAGAACAAAACCCAGTCATAAAATTCAGAAGCAAGATTTATGTTGCTAATAATGTCGATGATGAGAGAGGATATAAGCAAAAAAAACAGTGACGAACTGTGAATTCACCCGAGTCAACACTGAGGTTGTATATCGCAGAATTTTGCATTAAGATAAATATGATATAAAAGTTGTAATTCAATAAACTGATCATGTTTTCATCATTAGATTTTGGCTGAACTACATAATTAAATGTATTTTAATTGCATTCATAATTTTGGCCTCACCACTATCAAGGAAACACGATGGATGCTGATTTAGACCATTTGAAATGCTGCTCCTCCATTACCCTGTTCTTCTCCTGTCTGATAACCGTATTCATCATCAACAGGCCTCGTTTATAAAGTCATTACAGACATAAAGCCTAGGAAAATTACACAACCTGATTTTGAAAAGCTTTACTCAGGATCTCAATATGTCAACAGGTGATCTACGTGTTCGCGAGACCTGTCGAAAGGATCCGAAAAAGTGCAGAAAAACCCATGAAGCGAAGCAGGTAGAGAGCAGGAGGATCAGCTGTGTTAGCAAAGCATCAGTAGACTTGATACAGCTATCCAAAGCAGCACTATGGCGTCACAGTATTTTCTAATACATGTCGTAATAATAAAACACACACAAAGTTGAGAGCAAATGCAAAGGGTCCCGTCCTGAATTTTTCGGGATTGGGAATTTGCTGAGCTGGTCTGGCAAAATGAGTAATTTCTGGATGCCCCATTGTGTGAAGAGCTTAGAGGGGTGAGGGCTGTGAAAGGAAGAGCCAAAGGAAGGATATAAACAGGGGAGCAAGTGAAATAAATGGAGAGATGGAAGGAATGAGAGACGAACAAGAACGCTGAAAAGACGTTTGTGAAGGGAGCAGGGCGGGATTGGGCGTGTTCAGAAACTTTTTCGCTACAGCCCAGTGTGTGTAGATACCCTCCTAATCCTGGTTTTATTGGCTGCCTGTGTCCAGCCATGCCGGTCGGATTGAGTAGGGAGGGTAAAGAGGTGGGGGGGCTGAACACATGTCCCCCTTTGTGGTAATACGCTGATTAGGCCTGAGAAAGAGCCGGACCTGGTTACGGCCTTTCTCAGGTCACCGTAGAAACGGCCCGGTAGGGGACCTCTGTGTGTGCCTCCCCCTCCTGTGCACCTACTGATGCAGACACACAGACCGAGGCCTTCCTTTGCAGAGGTTCGAACAAAACACCACCACTCCGAATCAGCAGCACAAGTGTTGTTGAGTCACAGCTCATTTCGAGATCAGGCTGCAGCGTTCCTGACCTTAATGACTGCTGCCTTTCCCAGACAGTTCACGTTGCACTTGTGGCCTCAACCTGGGAAACATGGTTTCAATGTTGTTCAGATGCAGACCGCAGACTGATTCCTCTGCCTGCGCTCATAAATTAAAAGCCCTGTCACATTCCCCCATCCATCGCTGGCCCTCCGCACAGTCGATCGCTCCTCCAGAGCAACTGTCATCCAAATCCCCCGCGCTGAGCTAGGCACATTTCTGACGATGCCGTAACACGCAACAATGTTGGTGATTGAAAACAGACCTGCCTCATTGTCAGCACGGCTGTGACATACCGCAGCTTGAGTGGAGGCATTGAGAAGTCATCTTTATTGGGAGAATGGAGAAGACTCCCCACCACGACTGGCTGGAGAGCAAGCCTCATAGAAATTTCACAAAGACATCTATCAATTATTGTCACATTTAGAGACTCCGGGAACCCCCCCCTTTTCCCTCCTCTCAAACAGGGCGGTAGGTCGAGTGCTGCTCAGTCACTGCCTGTTTCCCCATCTTCTTTGTTATGGAGGAATAAAACAGAAGGGGCGGGTGAAGGGGGGCACTCCACTGCTGACCTCCAGACTGTGGTCACCGGGCCCTCTCCCTGCAGTGGGCACCCGGCCTCCTCTCTGCAGAGTGCAAGCTCCCAGCCCCTGCTGAGCAACCCTTCCAGCCCCCTCAGTCCTCCAGGCTCCCTCTTGCCCTGAAGGTCCTCAGCAGAAAGAGCACAGCCCCCCAGCTAGAGACATCAGAAGGAACGACAACTCGGAGACTTTGCTGGACATTTACTGTTTAGTGCTGGTACACCTGACACCATTAAGAGCTTGTGACAAAAAAAAAAACTTCTTGTGAGATATTCCAAAAGTTTTCAGCAGTTTCTATGAATACAACTTATAGAAGAAGCTCTGCAACAGCATCAAGACTGGGAATAAAGCAACTTTTGATCAGGATAGTCATAAAAGGATGTGATACTGCTTTTTTTCAAGAGTGGCATAGCTGCAGAGGAACAAGACATTTGTAGAGACTTTTGTAGAGACGACGTTTTCTGTTTCATTATAAAATAATGCAAATCATGTTCAGAGCAAAATCAAAATTACAGAGGTTCTTTTCAATTCAGGACAGTCCGTATTATCTCAGAGGTGCTCGCAAATTCACTGTACAAAAGGGTAAAAAAGGTCTGAAAAGGAGATGTGTCTCCATTGCTGGAGTTAAATTCTGGGATGATGCCCACATCAATCTAAAAACACGTAATTATTTTTTGGTTTTTAAGAAAATGGTTTATAAAGCTAGTTTTGAAGCTTATAAGTGCCATTAATTATCTGTTGTTGTTGTTTCTTTGCTTTTCTGGAGGTCGGTAGCCTAAAAAGTTGACAATACAGGAAAGGCTTTTATAAACAGTCTGCTTCTGCCTTTTCAGTCAATATTCAACACATGATTCTTGATTTAGTGATTGTGTGTGAAATGTCAATATTGTGTACAATATTTGGTGTTGTCATGACTAAATAAACAACAACAACTACTACTACGACTACTACTACTACATTTGTAGAGAAAGAGTATGGACATGCATCAAACTGTGACAGCACCAGCAGTTGTGCAGCCTCTGTGCTTGGGACACTCAGCCTACCAGATGAACCGAACTTCATTTTCGAACCACAACCCTGGACTTTTTTACTTAATATGGAGTTAGACTTCCAACAGCAGAAGAAGAGCACTGCAACAACCTGTCAGTCAGTTATTAATCCATGCTTTTTAGGGATGTGCATGTTTAGTTGTTTTGCCCTTCAAACTATCAGGATGATCATGTAATATGAGTATTTTTATCCACTACAGAATAAAAATACTGTTGTCTTTAGCAAAGGTCACTGAGATTATTTCATTCATTTTTTGTTCCGATGATATTAAATCAGAATGGAATCAATAAAACATCTCTCACTGTGTCACTGAACATTTTTTTTCCTCTTCTGGGAAACAGATCTCCCAGAACCTGGCCTCCATATGGCTGCAAAACACTAAATCTGTTGTGAAATCTATCATGTTGCCATCTGCTCTGGTGACTTGTACTTTTAATAAAGTGTTAACTCGCATTTTTGAATTATCTCTTATTGAAAAAGTCTTTGAGTTCAAGAGTTCAACAGAGAATCCTTTTTCAGTTAATCTGCACCGAATTCAGAGGTCATGAAGGAATGAAATCTGACTTTACACAAACTCAAATATAAAGTTTCGTTTTGTCTTTGTCAAAACGAAAGTCTTTGTTTTATTTATCTTGCTTTCGAAACACCTTGAACAGGGTTGACGTGTTTGGTTGTTATCTTCTCCACGATTAGCGGCTGATAATCCTCTGAGACACAGCTCCTCAAAGAGATTGCCATCACGACAACTGACTCTGTTTGATCTCTGCCGGGTGTCTTGTTTGTATTCGCCCTGATCAGTTTCCTTGTGTGTGAATCAAATGCGTGGTTACTTCAGGCTAAGTCCATCACAAGTGTCCCACCCTCCTCCTTCACTCTCTATCTCCCTCTGTCCTCCCCTCCTCCTCCTTCTCCTCCCCCTCCTCCTCCTCCTCCCCCTCCGCCCCCCGTCCCACGGCTGCTCGCCCTACAGCCCCATCAGAATGACAATAGTATTGATGTAAAATGTGTCGCCTTTGGGCCGCTGGAGCATATAACCCCTGCATGCCTGGCCAAGCCACCACCGCAGTTTATGGCTTTATTGTGTCCCCATTTATGTCCTCCCCTGTTGGGGTGGGCGGACAACAATTTAGAAAATTCACTGTAAATGCCCCCTTAAGTTGGACGGAGATTTCGCGTGTGTTGACGTACGTTTGTGAGCATATATCCGGATCAATTAGTCAGGGCACAACCCCTAAAATTCAGTGTGTCAGCCGTTCAGTCCTCTGCAGAGGAGCCGGCCTGCGTCACTTCGACTACCTGCAGACTGATCACGGATGAAACAAGTTGAGTAACAACTCTACTCTACCTTCTTCTTGTGTCCCTCCCTCTCTCATTTCCCTCCCTCCCTCCCTCTTTTCACTCTTTCCTTTCTTTTCCACATTACCAGGGGGTGGCGTGTGATTGACAGATGGGAACGAATAATAATTTTTTTTTCGTAACCTAAGGCCATCTTCTGTGATTGGCTTGCCAGCTGACATCTCCAAAACTCACCCCCCCACACACACACCTCCCTCCTCTCCTCTCTTCTCCTCACCCCCCCCTTTAATATTGGGCCTGTGGATGAGGCATCCTGAGGGAGAAAAAAGTAGAGAGAGAGAGGGAAAAGATATCTACCTTAGGGAAGAACCTCAGAGAGAGGGAGGGAAGAAGAGGACGGGTAGGAGCGTGTGTGCATGTGTGTGAGAGACACTTATTCTCTTAACTACTAGGAGACAGACACACTTTCCTGGCCCGACTCAAAGAAGGGGGGAAAACAGGAGCAAGATTATTTTTTTTCAATATCATTTTGAATCTTCTCAATCAAGCTGCCCTTCAGGTCCTCTTCCTGGAAACTCTTTTTCATTGCCTGCTGGGAGTTCTACATGTATTGATCCGTTTACTCTCTCACACACTGACAAGACTTACCTCATGGATTTGTATCTGATTGGATATTTGATGTGTGTGTGGTTGTCCAGCTCGCGGGTGCTTGGAGGCTATCCCATCTGGTGGTGAGTACAAAATCCAGCAGTTTCAGCATCAGAAGCCTATAGACGCAAAAAGAGAGAAAGAGACTCAATTTTTTTTTTTTGGTCAAATGATGATTTCTGAGAGGGCAGAATGTGCACTTTCAGTTGACTGCGTGGAAAAATGTTCTCCGGCCCAGTCCAAAGAATCTTAACCTCAAATACTAGTGTAACGGAAAAGGCTCGCCGTTCTTTTCCCCTCCACACTCAGGTCCATCTATCATATTGGAGTATGTTGTGATGCTAAAAGGGTAAAATTTAAGTTAGAAAAACATGAAACGCCGGAGAACGTGGGGCTCTTTATTGGATTTAAGGGGAAATTCAAGAGCGAGCGGTTTTGTGCAAAGTGTCAGAGGCACAGTGAGGACTTGTCAGGCATTTAAACAAAACAGAGAAAGTCAGTCAGATCACTTCAACTGTGAGGAATCGTAGATGTCGCTGAGAGACAGTGACAAGTCTTAAATCAACAAAAACCTCCTGTTTCCAAACTAGAATAATCTCCTTTTTGGAATAAAACCAAATCATATTAGGAAGTACAACAATCATGACATATGAGATCAGCGTCATCTTGTTTTGTTTGCTATTGTGTGTCACTGCTCAACATTCAGACCGCCGGCCCCCCAAAACAAGCCGTGAATTGAATGTGAATTGTTTTTGGCTGCTTTTCAGATGTATGACATGCACCGAACACTAACATCTCTGCCACTGACAGAGTCCCAACACACTTTGACGAATATGACAAATTTGTGGTCTTCCTTGTGGTCTCCCCTCGTGGTTATTGGCTGTTATTAAATTAATCTTTTGGATTTCTTGAAAACACTTAGGCATATCATTTTGCTTTCGTACTCACATCTCGCCCCCTCCACCACGGATTTGTCAGGAGACAATATGTTTGGGTGCCGGAGGGTTTTTATTCTTTGTTAAATTATCCCAGATCGCTTTTGGCATCAGCATGTGAAAACGTAGAGGTTTATCTCATTACAAATTCAGCTACATGCAGCTGACCTCATGGCTCCTGGTCCTCTTTTGTAACCTAAAGCTTCTATTTTGAAGATATTGGCGTAGGCGTATGACAAAGCTCTTTTGGCTCACGACACAATACTTGTCAGAGCTACTGCACTTTTAGCAGCCTCACTAGTATGTGGTCCCAACCGTGGTGCTGTCCAAACCACGAGCATCTTCTGGTTTCATTTACAGAGCGGGCGGCTGCCAAGCGCACAGGCCACAGGGCTGAAGTGTTAATGGCAAAGAGGACTTTACACTCACTCCTGGCTTCAGCAGGAACCATCAGACAACAGTGACAAAGAGCCTGTGACTCTCTCTCTCTCTCTCTGTGAGAATTACCTGCAGCTGTTCTGTTCAAGGAGCTTACATGACACCGGTGTAGTGTTCGAACCCCAACAATGCGCTCCACCTTTGATTTGGCTAACAAATTTTGAAGTGTAGGCAGGGTGAGGGGTTACCGTGAGATGAAAAGCGGAGCCGTATAGCTCCAGGTGACTGGGCAGGTGCTGAGGAATGGGTGTCAAACAGCACTGTCAGTGGCATCACCCCGCGGTGTCGAACATGTCCAAAAGGAGACAAAATGAGGTGGTGCGTCAAACAAGGGGGTGCCGAGTTTCAACCAGGGGCCCGGGCAGGCTCCTCTCTGCTTCTGTCTCAGGGGCGATGACTCGGCCATAAATTCTCCAGCCAAGGTGGGACAGGTTGAAGGGAAGAGCGGTTTTGACTGCTTTATGCCTGGCAGCCTTGCTTTTACAAGACGGGGTGTTGAAAACAAAACAGAGCATAAATAACTCCACTGATATGCACATATGCGTGGATGAGGATAAGGTGTATGAGAAAGAAAAGGCATACCAAGTCGAAGAGGTGGGTTAGTAGGAATGAATTGCCTTCTTAAAATGCAAGAATGTTTGGGAGACTGTTGTTTGGTGAAAAAATAAAGCTTCGACAAGAATTCATGACAGCTTCAAACTATGTTGTGGTTGTATGTAATCCACAAGTCCCGCAACGTCTCCATCCAATTATCTGTCAACGCCGACTTCTGTGTGGAGGCAGACAATGAGAGCATATGTTGTTTCGCTTATTGCCGTGTTTTGGTTTCACCTTTGAACTCCTGTTTATAATTTGTGTGATGTAAATGTTTATGACAGATTATTCCAGGCTGGTGTTGTGTTAAGCCTGTGCGGTTTAACTCAACTATTTTCAGAGCAGCCTAAGCCCGCTCTGTCAGCCAGCAGTGATTTCGTGTTGCTTGTGTAAACAGCGGTGTTGGTAAGTTGATGATGACAGTCACTTTTACCATTAAGCATTAGCGGCGATTATCGGTTTAACTCCCATTACAAAGCCAGGAGACTTTTAAATCCCTTAACTATTTTCTTTATCCCGTGTTATCATCACGCCTGTTAAATCTGCATGAGAAAGAAAGATACTGTACACCTGTTTTGGTGCTCAATGAAGATTCGTGTACTGCCAATTCCAACGAGTTCTGCTTTTCCACAAAAATACTGATTAAAATTGATAAAAACAGGTATTGTGAGTTATCTCTGTATGCAAATCTGTTTGTAAATAGGTCGAAATATGTCTTGTGTGGCTTTAAATGATGACTTTCGCCATCAAGAAGTATTGGTTTGCACGGCTCAAAGACGCAGCGAATGGCGAAACACTGTTGCTAGCCTGGGAAAGTGCCTTGGAAACAAAGGTCACTTGATGCAGAAGTGTACCCGGTTAAAACTTGTACTTTAACTCTCTATTAATAATCTATTAAGCAGTTTTTATGTGACCTCCCTTGATAGAAATCTGGGCCATCTATCCACTTAAATGACACTTCCTGACTTTGATTGTGTTTCCAGTCTGAAGTACTACTTGTAGACTTTTAGGGACGACTGCAGCATCAATATCCTCTGCAAAGCTACGTCTAGGCCCACCAAACTACCGACCCCATAAGCAGACCCATCTGGTTCAACCTGAGTGGCTGTAACGGAGCTCTAGAGTCCATCTCTGGGTCTCAGGAATGTCATTATCTGACTGTGACACCCCCCCGCCGCCAATCTTCAACCCCAAAACCCCTACCATTGGCGAAAGGCTCACTTAAATGACTCTTACCGCGAGAAAATCCTCCACCCGCCGCCTTGTGTGAAAAGATCAAGGATGTTTGGGTATTATTCTCCACGGCGCGGTGGAAGGTAGAGAAAGGAGCACCAAAGTCCAGAAGAATGTCATTCATAAGAAACTTCAGGGTTCCATTATGAATGGATGAGGGCTGCCGTAGAGCCAGGGTCAAAGGCAATTTTGGGCTAAAGCCTGCGAGAAATGTCCCCACAGAGAGTCACGTCCACTCAGAAAATATTGGAGGACTTCACCCAAAAAGAAAACCCACGACCATAAAAATAAAATCATCACGGCCATAATGAGACAACAGTAAAAAAATAATAATTTGATTTAAGATACATGTGAGTGGTTGATTGTACGGAGTTAACGCGTCTGTGTGGGCGACTTCATGGTCGCCAAGCAACAATAAATAAAGCTCATTAATTCTATACAAAAAGGCAATTAAGTGCACCTCTTTCTGTTGAGCAGGAAACACCGTCTTAATGCACACCTAAACCAATCAGAGTTTCTATTGCTTGTATAGAGGATGTTTGAGTCTTTGGATATATCAGGATTCCCATAAGTAACGGTAAATGGACTATGTTGAGTTAGCGCTTTCTCTGCTCTTCTGACCACTCAAAGCGCTTTTACTCTTCCTGTCACATTCACCCATTCACGCACCACTTTCACACACTGATGGCAGAGGCTGCTATGTAAAGCGCCCATCACTTTTAACTAATCCCATTCACACACCGCTGGGCGCAGCCAACTGGGGCGGGTTGGGATCAACTCTCTTGCCCAAGGACACCTTGGCATGTGGACAGCGGGACCTGGGATTGAACCCCTGACCTCCTGATTGACAGCCGACCAGTTCTACCACTGAGCCACAGCCTCCCCTTATCATAAAACCAGAAATCTCCAAAGTCCCTTAAGGCCTATAATATCTACCAGTGGCCGATAATAATGATGAAATGTTCAGTAAATAACTTCTTTTTCTTTTATCGTTTTTGACCAGAAAAATGGGGACAAAAAATGCTCCTCTTAAAAAGTAAATTACCACCCCAAAATTGCTGAGATGCCAATTCAACCTAGATAGATATCATGAGGACCTCTCCTAAAACATGGTGATTTGCGCTGGAATTTTACAAGTTAAAAAAATGGTCAATTTGCACAGGACTAAAAACATAGGCGCCTTATACAGTTCCTACAAATGATCAGAGGTCCCCAAGTCATGATAAGTACATTTTCTGCTGCAAGGGATCCCTCAATTGAATCAACTATAACAGATCTAGTTTGATGTTGCTAAGGTACAGTCAGGGTTGTCTCCTACGAGTCTATGAGTTTTTATAATGTTTATTTACATGACATAATCTCATTTTAAGGAAGTAACACAAGTTTGTACAAAGAGGTGCCACATTTCATCCTCAATCTCAAAGACAGGACCACCAAAATGCATCATTCGCATTAAATTTACAGGATGCAATCATAGACTGTATATAGAATGGACGCCGTCTGCCTCCTCGCTGGGTGAAGCCACTCCGAGAACAGCATCCTCTGTTGGCGGGCTGCAGTATAGGTCATTCGCCTCCGCCAGCAAAGCTTATGGGGCTGTGGACAAATTTTAGAAATTTACTACACAGAATATAAATGTTTTCCCCCCCTGGTTGCGATGTTGACATGTAGTTACTGTAAGATTGCGTAACTCACCTGGAGGATACGCTGTTTGTGCCGAGCGTCATCACAGCCACTCTCGGCGACTCTCCCGCTGAATGCGCACAACACTACTGCGCAATGTTGGTTTCAGGAAATGAAGAAAAATTAGGAAATACCAAGAGCCTTTTGGCTTCAAATTCGTATATTGACAGGAGGTGGAACCAAGTTGTCCAAAGTGTATACTGTCTATGGATGCAAGGTTGAAAAAAGGCAACAATAAACTAGATTTTGTAAGTGCACGACTGAGGGAACATCACAGCTACAATGGCGTAGACTGCTCACCGCTATGAGCTCGCTTGAGCCGAGTGTGAGATGATTGGCCAGTCTTATCCCAGCCCTGAGACAGCACATTGTCCTTTCTTTTCTTGATTTTAAAGCAGGATGCACTATTAGCTGCTCTTGTATTGCCTGTCAGTGAGCTCCTGAGCTGATCCAACACATGACTTCACCGACATTAGCAGACTGTTTTCATGCCACAAGCATGTGGGATGACATTACCAGTCGAATCCGAGCGAGGTGAGAGGTTCAAAGGAGAGTGGTATTTCAAAGCAGCGAAGGCAAGTCCTAATCTTCGCTCAGCATCAAAGGACCAGCAGCGTGCAGTTGTAGGAAATGACAAAGTCCCCCCAGTGCTCAGCTATTAGTTGCGCTAAAACACAGGCCAGGACGGTTCCTCAAAGGGAAAACTGCAGCAGCCAGGGGCAAGGAGATCATTAAGGGACACGTGTGGAGGCACAAACACACAATATTTTAGGTCTCCATTACCTGCCTAATCTCACCTGGATGGCTTGTTACTGGGGTTAATTATTAGCAGAAGGCAATTTCTCTGTCACACGGGGTCAGTGACAAAGATGTACTGGTCGCACCTGTACAGCCTGTAGTCAGTCAGAGCCCTGGGGTCACTGACCAGAGAGTTACAGAGGTCAAGAGATCGAGTGAGAGATGAAGAGTGGAGAGGAAGAGAGGAGTGTCCTTCAGTCTGTGTGAAGAGTCAGGGAACTGGTTCAGGCTGCTGTGAATATTAAGACAGTTTCATATTTTTGGATCTTTTATGGTTTGAACTTTTAACTGAATAGACGAGGGATTCAGGTTTAAAGTTAAAGTGCTTCATTAAGTATTCTAAGTTTTATCTAAAAAATAGAGGAAGGACGGTCCAGTGAGTATGTAGCTCTTTCTAGAAAACAGAGTCAATGTTTGGCTGCAGCTCTTTGTCTATGACAATGAGGTTTCACTCTCCACTATTTCAGAGGTTTTGGCGAACCAAACGAGCATGAGAAAGTCAATAGCAATGAGGCTTTTAATTACTTTTAAAAAGATTATGTGGGGTTAGAAATATCCACAAAGAATCCCAGACAGATTCCAGACGATCCATTACCAGTTATGATTCGCACAGGATGCATTACAGCTGACAATTCGAGCAGCGGTGCCAACAAGCTGCCCCTAATGAGCAGAGGCGGGGAACAATGCTCTGTTTGAGCTGCGGTTCATTCACACAGTCCCTCAAGACTCTCATTCAGACGCGCTCTATCCTTTCAGGCCAACAGCTCAGACTTTGTTGTGTCCACCTTCAGACAGAAAAGGCACCGAGCTTCTGGTCTGACATGCATTTGTCAGTGCCTTGTGCTCTCTAGTGCACTTGTGTGCAGAGCTACTGCTGCTCTCATTCACTTCCTGACAGGCAGGTTCACAAGTTTACACCCTGTTCAGTTTCCCTCTTCACGTCTGTGTACATGTGACTGCAGGGGCTCCTCGTCCCAACTCTACTCTCTCCGCAACAGTCTGCAGAGAGGAGGGAGGGAGGAAGAGAGAAAGACAAGAACAGGTTGGAACATTTTTCAGGGGTCCTGTCGTTTTTTATCTGATCAGCCAGGAGCTGTTGGACTACAAATCAAAAGTGTGCCAAAGAAAAAGGGAAGGCAACATATCACAGACAGGAGCTTTTGCATTCCACCCTCCACAAGGAAAAGTCCCATCCTCGGGCAAAGCCGGCAACTTTCCTTGGCCCACTTCCTCTCTTCTGAGTGTCTTCATCTCTCTGCGGACCCTCTTGTGGGACTTACACATGAATTCATGATGCCAATGTTCTCGGTGCACGTCTCCGGCTGCTTTGCTAGGGCCTCACTTAGCGACACAATGTCCTCCAGGCAAATCTGACAAGTTGAGCTGCGGCGTCAACATATAGAGGTAAATTAGAGGTAGATTAGAGTTTAATGCAAACAGTATTCCCTCAGTTTGTTACTGCAGGAGTTTGCAGGAGCATGACTCTCGCTGAGGAAGTGCGACAGAACACACTTGGGTGTCAGCGCTCCAGGCGCAAACCACCGCATAAGCTAACACTCATTTCACTTTAATGAAATAAGTTAACTTGTTCAGACACGGCGTCGAATACGTCAATAATCGCCAAGGCAAACAAGAGTACAAGAGCGTTTAATCAAATGTGAAGGCAGAATCAAATCTGTTTGTTGAGGCTCAGTCCATTAAAGTCCTTTCTGACTATATTTAGCCGTATCTTTCAAGTCCTAATCTCAGAGATTTTCATGAAGTAAATGTTGCCTAATGCATTAAAATAATAACTGAACTGAACTTATGGCCTACATGAAAGCACTTGTTTTTGCAGTGTTACAAACAGGGAGAAAATTCCACAGGAAAAAATGAACTCACTTGAGTCTGAAACTGTTTCTCTTTTTTTTTCTGGTGATGTAGGTAAGAGGTTACTGAGGTTAAAACCACAGGATTGCTGGCAAACCGTTTTAGAGTATGCAAAATTAAGAAAAAAAAACTACAGATTGGATGTGCGGAATGGTCAGCAGTCAGTAAAGCTGAGCAAAACTGTTAACCAGAAAAAAAGTATGTTACCTGCTACGACCACTGGCTGAAATAGATGTCAAAGTCAAGAGAGAGCTCAAAGATCGTCACTCATAAAAAGAGGAATAAATGATGTCTTTCATATTTGTAGCAAAAGCCACGTGTTTAGAATCAATAATTGGTGTTTGGCCTTTATTTCAGGGCTGTTAAGGGTATCTTAGATAGCTATTAGTAGCTGTGTTTATAAGGGCTGTCAGTTTTAACGTATAGTTCAAGTTTAGGGCCAGGCACCATTTCATGAGACATTACTACTGCTGTAAATGGGGGACTTTGTGAGACCACAGCATATTGATCACAGTGACTTATCTCAAATTTGCACCATGTTGAAGTTAAAGCTTTGTGACACTGGATCTGCTTCCTCCTTTGCCTAAAATGTCTCTTTTTGTTGATGTAATGAGTCACCAAAGATGTTGAGTTACATCAGCAGGTCCTGCAAGATAAGCACAACTTCTGCAGACTGTGAAATTCTCACTGAGGTTTAATCCTGAAAGATTTACTGTTAGAAACCAAATAGTAGAGCTAAAATTCACATGCTGTTTTTAATCCTGTGCTTCTTTATTTACCTCTCAGCGCAACGCAGTTAAATCACAGCTCCATCTACCAGCTCTTGCTACTGCAGAATACTCTGCTTTTGAATGGCACATTTCACTCTAAAGATTCCCAGCCAACTCACCTGACGAGTAACACGGACTTTGCAATAACTGGAACACAAATATAATCAGAGTACTCAGAGTTTAAGCTACCATCTTGAACCTAAGCATCAGTGCAGTTTATCAGAGAGATGTCAGCAGGTAACTATTTCACAAAAGCTGGCAAAGCACTATTTTGGAGTGTGTGAATCAGCACAGACCTGAGGAAAAAACTAAAGTTAACAGTGCTCTCTTAATGAGAAACAGAGGCTGGTGATTAACATTTCTAATCGTTTAAAATGCAAAAGAAAGGAATTAACATGCATTTAATCAAAATTAACCATTGAAATTATGAGATTAATTGTTATTTAGGAAATCAATCATTTCATGGTATGAGTAAATAGCTGATATTGCAAGATTTGCAAAAACCCTAGCACTGCCTGCAGATGTAATATAGCATTACATCTAAGTAAATGATGGTCTGAACCAGAATTGTTGATTTCTATATCAGAAGTTTTTTAGCCTTCTAAGAAATCTTGAATAATAAAATCAATCTGCCCAGTTTGGTTTCAGTCCACATTTTACCTCACTCAATGACTTTTTCCCATCTAAAACCAGCCCAAAAAGTTTAATATTGATCCGAGTTTGCATTCTTAGAGACATAACAGTTGCATAAAATGTCCATTTGGGAGTCAGAGCTGAGCATGTCCTGTTATGTACCTCACTTAGAAACCGATGGAGTGTAAAAGCATAAGAATCCACCCATAATTGCTGCCCAACCCAGATGAGGTGTAGCTGAATACATCATCTTCCCCAAGTCTCTTCTTGACCTAAAAGCACTACCCCGGGGAGTTTACCAGCCTGTGACGCAACAGAACAGAGTTTTATATCAAAGTGAGTCAGATGTTTTCAAGTCCTGCAACAAGAGGGCTAGACAATTTATACTCTACTTATATTTCCACATAGAGGTTAACATAGCACCTTCATATCATATGGCCAAGAACCGCCACTGCTGCAATTGCAGAAAAATGCAAAATGCAAAATGTAAAAAAAGCGACCACAATGGAAGTTACTGATGCAAAAAAAGAAACCAAAGCCCACTGCAAATAAAAAAAAGAAACGGTGCAGATTAAAAAAAAAAAAAAAAAAAAAAAAAAAATGAAAAAAATAGTGGTGATGGAAAAAAAAAAGTTACTTACTTTAAAAATAAAAGAGTGCAAATGAAAAGGGCTACAACAGAAGTGGGCTGCCAGGAACCAGTGATGATGATGCACCGGTGTTTTACAATCTAGGCTCAGAAGACGGAGGCGAGAAGACGAGCAAAGAAGTTAGTGGAAAGGCTTTTGTTTTATTTCGCTTCGTGTGCTTTTCAATGTGTCATTTGGTTAGGCCATGTTGTGCCTGATTTGAAAGTTGAACTGAAGCTAACACTACACCGGCATCCTTGAGTTCAACTTCAAATCGACTCAGGCGCTACATGGTCTAACCCAATGACACATTGAAAGTTCACGTAGTGACATTAATCAATAACCTTTCCACTAGCTTCTTTGCTCGTCTTTTCGCCATCTTTTTCTGTGACTATATCGTAAAACACCAGCACATCGTCTTTGTTTTTTGGCATCAGTAACTTCCGTTATGGCTTCTTTTTTTTTTTCCTTCCTTTTATTCAGGCAGTAAGTAACTTTTTTTAATTTTATTTTAGCATTAGCACTTTTTTGCGTCGTTAAATTCCATTGTGACTTTTTTTTTTATCTGCACCGTTTCTTCTTTTATCTGCAGAGGGCTTCAATTTTGTTTGTTTTTTTTTTGTTTTTTTTATATGCATTAGTAACTTCCGTTGTGTTTTTTTTTTAATCTGCACTTTTTTTATTTATTTACAGCGGGCTTCGTTTTTTTTTTTTTTTTTTTTTTTGTATCGGTAACTTTTGTAGTGGCTTCTTTTTTTGCATTCTTTTGTATTTGCAGCAGTGGCATTTATATTTATTTATTTATTTTTGGAATTCTTTTTTATTTGCAGCATTGGCAGTTCTTGGCCACCATACCTTCAGCCACTGTTGATAAACTTTCTGGAAGTAGGAACACAATCTTGAACTTCTTTCCATGAAGCTTTGAACACTGCCTAAGGAATAACGCATCTCTCTGTCTTTATCTTTATCATTTTAACTCTTCACTTCTGCCTCTGAGTAAGTATTGGAATATTTAAGCTATGTTTAGTTATTCCTAACTATGTGAAGAAGCTAGCACTTTGACAAACTATTACTGAAATATAAATTATTATTTTTATTCAGCTTTAAGTCGTTTGTGAGCCAGCCTCTTCAAAAAACTGCAGCTTTAGTTTACGATCACTACCAAGGAGTAACGAAGTGAACGCGCCTTTAACGGTTACTATCCCGCGTGCGCGAGCAAATCGAATAGTTAAAGGAAAATCTCGATTTTTTTCGGTTAATACAGGGCTCTCAAGTTTTGAACTAAGCTTAGAGTGAGATTTCCTTGGGGGGGGGGGGGTAGTATAATAATCTAATAAATACAATGGAGTATGAGGGCCACATTAAGAAAGAAAAAAACATTTTTAAATCTTTGAGATTAAAGTTATTATTTAGGAGAATAAAGTCATTAATGACTTTAAGAATAAAGTAGTAAAGTTACCTGTTGTGGAGGAGAGTTGTTAAAATCAGCACTGAGGAGCATTTAGATGAATTGTACTTTAGTATAGGTTTCACAGACATGGAGATACTTAATCCTTTGGTATATCAGCATTACACTGTCACGAGTATCGGAACTTTAAAAAGAATATATGAGAAATGCTGCTTTTGTGGAGGGGAAATGGCTGTACAGAGGCTAAATTCATCAATGCAGCTGTTAACAGCAATAGCATAGGGCTTTAGTTTATCATATGAGTTTATCTGCCATGAGGTGTTGAGGTCTCTGCATGCATTACTGACTTACTGTAATCATCGGGTCTTTCTCGTCCTTATAAAAACCTGCTCTATTTCAGCAAGTGTCTGTCTTCTTCTGTAGTCAAACCGCAAGATATCAAAATCTATCCGGATACAGCAATGCTGCTTTTTGATTGGCTGTTCAGTAGATATACTTTATTTGATTGGCTTGCGCGTGGCACGCAGCTTCTGAACTCTCGGAGAAACTCCGTTGATTTCCCCCTGTTCCATAGTTAAAGAGGTGCAACTTGGTGGACATCACCATGTTCATTTAAATGCGTGAGAAATACAATGTGTGGCGTGTGAGCGTGTGAACAGGTGGGAATCCGTGTGTCTCACGCTGAATGCGTGAGACTTGAGAGCCCTGTTAATATTTACAGACAAATCATAGCCTTGACAACCAAAGCAGCTTTTCTCTCACCAGACAAAAGGCCACTCATTTTAATTTCAGAAAGCCGTTTTCTACGAGGGTTTTTCGAGTCATAAAAACGAACTTTATCGCTCCCATCGACGCTAACCGTCAGTGACAGCAGCTAACGTTAAGCTACACCGAGTTCTGATATTTTAAAATACAGACCAAGTAGTCACATTCTGAGACTTTTAGGAAACTCACCTCGGTTTTGAAGACATTTGAAGACTCTCCAGGGATCCTAAAACTTATCCAAGTCGACTAAAGTAAAATCTTTATCTGCTGGAGCGCAGAGACGATGACAGAGTGAAGTAGCTGTGACCCAAACAAACATGGCTGCCGGAAATTACGTTCTAAATGCGCGCTCATTGCGTGAAAAAAAGTTTTTTAATTAAAAGAAAATAATAAGGAAAACAGATGCATGGATTTATTGACAAATCACATTTTTGATTACTGGGGATAAATAATTAAACAAAGTCAATCAATTACAAGATTTAAAACAGTGCAGAGGCAGTATCTTCTGTATGTTTGTTTGTTTGTTTTTCATGCATTCTTCCCACCCAAATGCAAATGAAACCTCTGATTTTTGTCTGTTTGTAACGTATGTTAATGTTACTGTAGAATCTGGTTATTTACAGACACATGACTCTACCTGATATTTGTCCAAAGTAAAGGCCGACAAGAAGAAAATCAAAAGTCAGCACCTTTTATTCAAATTCAAATTCAACTTTATTTGTATGGCACTTTTCAGACAAAAACAAATGTAGTTCAAAGTGCCTCACAGAGGCTAAAAACAGCAATTAAACAACAATAAAACCTGAGCCTCCCACCCACACAGACACACATGGACCCACACACACACAAGCGCACACAGAGTGAGAATTTAAAATACATTGTAAAAGAGACATGGCCTGACACAGACACATGACATGAGGAAAGAGCTACCGTTAGGAAACACTGGAGATAAAAGTTAAAAAATTTAAAAAAAACAAATAAATGAAAAATGGTAAAAAGAAAGACTAAAACCTGATGGACTAAAACAAGAAAAGAAAATAAATGAACAAATAAGTAAGAGCTCTTTACCATATATTTAGAGATAATTAATAAGATTACATAAAAGAAACACTAAGAACATTATCACAGTTATACCTGTTTGTGGGCCCTGTTCATGAACTTCAATCAGCCTCTGTGGGTCATCAGGCCAAAGGCAGGGAGGTCAGATGTCATGTTGTGCTCAACAGGTTCAGAGGGTCACCTGGTACTTTTTGTGCCTCTGGACATAGGAGGCTGTCACACAAAGAAAGCTCATCTGTGCACAGACATGTGCTTCACACTGACCCCTGTGATGTAGACCTCCCACAAAAATATTTCTGACGATACAAGAGTCCGTGACTCACCTTCTGACTCAAGAAAAGACAAATAAAAACAGGAAGGTGAAAATGAGTAACCCACTTCGTTATTAAGTTTGGTAGTAAAGAGTTGCATTCAGGAGAGTTTTTGTTGACACTGTTATAGTCTTGGCCGTGTGTTTTCCACTTTTCAGCAAGGTGTGTGGTGGAATCCCTTTGTTTCCTCTGCTCCATTTCTGTGGTTTCCAGCAGCCCGTCATACTTTCACATCAGCCCATTTAGGATACAGAGAAAACCCCCAACCAAGCCGTAAACCCCCCCAGGCTAGCAGAGGCCCCAGAAGGACCTGTCTGAACATGCACCTGCCAAGCCCTGCTGCTCGCCACTGCACTGCTGCTTGTCTTGTCCCCTGCAGCAGATTCCCCCGGCATTCTGCCTCTGTGGAGGTCTGTGCGTCTGCTGCTCCCTCACTCGGTTGAGACACGTCGCTCGTGGCTTCCGAGAAGTGAGGCAGAGCGGGTAGGATCAGCGTGGCACACATGTGGGCTGCATGCATGCGTCTGCGTGTGTGTCTGTTTGCACGATACGCCTCATAACCCCTCAGGGTTAAGACTCTCATTAGCACCTAGCCAAAAAAGATATCCCTTTCATCTCATCTGTCCATAAGGATCAAGCAAGGCACATCCTTTGCAAACAAAGACAAATTGGCTGGCAGATCCACAGCGTGTAGTCTAAACATGCTGTGTCCACCACAAAGTCCCTTGTGGTTAGATAATTGATTCCATCAGAAATCCCAAATCCAGCTTGTGGGCAAGCAGTTCAGCTGTCCTGAATAGAACTTGAAATGCAGCAGGAGTTGGCACACAGTCTAAACACAGATATCTCATTTGGACCGGAGAGATTTTCCTTTGAGTTGATCGGGAGACGTTGGGGTACTTGTCACACCAGGGTAAAACTGCAAGCTCCATGCATGGCATCATAGACCCTGCTCAGTCCCATGACTGAGAGATTAATAGGCAGCAACCGAGCTAGCAGACAGTGTAATTAAGGTCCTTAGTCACCCAGTCACCAGACAGAGTGAAGTCAGCAACACTTGAACTCGGTGATGTTGGTGGGATTGGCGGATGAGCTAATGTGGCTGCTTCTGCTTGGGTAAACTCAAGACAAAAACATTAATGGAGATTGATGAGCGCTATCATATTTCTAGATCTGCATGGGAACATCAAATTGGGCAAAATATTTGGATATGAAAGATGAGACTTCATTTTCCTTGTGTGTACTGTTGTTGTCCAGTAGTTAATGTCAAAGTTTCCATTAAATCTGAGCAGATGTTGGATTGGTTTAATCACATCTCGCACTGGTCGCTGATTGATACCTGAACACCATTATGTGGCCCTTTAATGACAAAAATTGGTCTTTCTGGTACTTTTAATGACCTTTAAGAGCCCTCGACTAGAAACAAAAAGATGTTTTACAATAAATCTTTCATTGAGAGGATGCAGCGTTGGTTAGTTCTTGTAATTTAGCCTCCTTTGAAACATGCTCCTAAATTTTATGTCCATTCTTTATGCACTTGGATTTAATGTGACTTTGTTTGAATATGATGCATTTTACTCTACTGTCTTCTGTAAACCCTGACTAATATCTCTGATAAGACATTTGCTCTATGCAGATTGGATTGGATTCTAGAAAATACATTTCATCAACTGACTCTGATCAAAAGAAGAGTAACAAGAAAATTCATGAGTTGCAGATATTCAAAAATATATTTGAATTGTTGAAGAAAATCTACTTCTCCGTTGTTTTAAGTTTGTCCAACCAGACGTCTGTTTCATGGGAACTGTGTCTCAAAATCAAGAGGCTGCAATCATCCAGGATTTCGTACTGAAACATGAGAGCTGTTTGTTGTATTTGAGTGTGAATCAGAAAGCTCACACCAACAAAACAAGCGGCTTATAGCTGCTTATGCGATCATCATCCATTAAACCAGCTGTAGAAGCAAAACAAACTCAGCCTCATGTCTCAGAGTATAAGCCCCGCTGGCAAACTTTGATACCTGTGATCCTGCTGCAACAATGCTCACCTGAGATCAAAAACTGAGCGTACAGGGAGGAGGGGGGCCGGGTTGTTTTAGGTGGAGGCAGGGTTTAGCCGTATGCAGAAAGCAAAAGCGCACATGAGCTGTGAACCTATCTAAGAGGGGATTTTTTCTCCCTGTGACTTCAATGGTTTGACTTTTGTGTTGGGGTGGGGCTCTGCGCTGCACTCATCTGTCAGAGTCAGTGGCTGCTGTGATTGGGTTGCGCCCTGCGGGGGTCCTGAGGTCATCCTGAGTGGCGCTCTGATCTGATCATCGTCAATTGTTCCACCGTGATCCTCTCATGGCCTCCAGCGCCACGTTGTCGGCCCAGACTCGGCTAAGTGTTGGAAAGTCTGGTAGAGCTCTTCGTGCACACCTTCCAAACCCCGTGAACACCCATATCACACCCTGAGACTGCAGAGCAATCATCTCCAGAGAATGAAGACCTGCACAGAAGCACGTTTTTGTCGGATAATAACTTTAATAAAAAAATTGGAGTCTGACATCTCGCAGTAATTGCATGAGCTCCTGGAAGAAACCGTACAGTAGTGTTGGAGCTTGTCATCACAAAGAGCGTGTTGTAACACGGACGTGGCAAACACCTCATCGCTCCGCTTTTTTATTTCAAGAGAAATAAAAAGCAATTAAAATTAATTACCTGAGTGAAACTATAATGGTTTCTGGCATCACAAACTGATCCTGACTGTCTTGTTGTGATGATTAATCTTTGTTTAGGCACATCTCCATGAGGAACATTGATTCAGATGTGCCGTTTTCATCCATCAGCAGCGAGCTCAGCTGAAAAAAAAGAAAAAATCAGTTGCAGAGACAAAACCGCAAATTAATAAAGGATCTGCAGAGGTGTTTTCATGCATTTGAATAAGTATGTGGGGGCTTTTCCCAAACCGAGCAGACAGGTTCTTGTGTGTTATCTGTTCGATCAGCAGATCTGTGTACGCAAACATGTGGAAACACTTTGAAAGTCTGCATTAATCGTCTGCATCCTTGCCCTGAAGTGAGCCCATCAGCCTCGTGGAAGAAAAGATGGAAAAATAAACAGAAGCTCTCAATATAAACTTTATTAAACAGATAAGTCAATCATCACACTGCCAAAGAGGAGATGAAATGAGCGCTGACGTCCAATCTCAAGAAGAAGAAATGGCTTTTATAAGAGGTTGCCTAAATTCCTCTGTGGTCACTCTCAGGGTGAGACGCTTGTTTTGTTTAGATTTTGGCCATCGGCTATCTTCAAACAATACTTAACGTTGACTTAAAACACTCCTAAGGTTAATAAATCAATCATGTTTTACAAATAATGAAAGGAACAAAATCAATGCTTTGCTCAGGGTAAATAGTTGTGAAATGTAAGTTTGACGATTCCTTCCTTTCATGGTTGTTTCAGTTTTATTTATCTGGAAATCGATTTAAGTTTCAGAGTGAGTTGGAATACAGGGGTGCCAGTAGTCCATGTTAGGGTGCCTCAGGGTGCTACAGTCCTGGTCGCTGAATCGCATAGAAAACTAAGCACAGTGGTTGATGTTCACCTATTAAGTAAAAATGTAACATCACGTCAAAACAGCACCGACCCGAAGCCATGAGATCGGTGTCTTGCGTGGCATTTCCATCTCCTCCAACATTTGTCTTTTCCTCTTTGCAATAATTCCGTATGATCAGCTTTAACTCCAACATAACACACAAGGATGACATGCAGAGTTGTGCACAAATAAGCAGATCAGAAACTGTCAATATGGCAAACAGAGGAATCTTACTTACAGCTGGCATTTTAAAGCAAAGTCCTGCAGATGTGCACAAGTATGTAGTGTTCACAGCATTGGTGTAGCTATGGCGAAGGGTCAACACTGAAGTTTGAGAAAGAAATTGGGCCGACACGTTGGAAAAGGATTGGGAAAAAGAACATTTTATCTAATCCCTACCTCCTCATACATATTCCATATTAACGTACATCTCAAACACCATTTTTACAGTCCTGTTTCTATTTCATTCTATCTAAAAGTATCAAACTTATTTTACCCCCTCTGTCCGTCTGTCTCAGGTCCCTGGCCCTTGGGCAGCAATACTCATCTCTGGGTTCCCAACCCATCCTGTGTGGATCCATCCCCGGTCTCGTGCCCAAGCAGCTGCGATTCTGCCGCAACTACATCGAGATCATGCCGAGCGTCGCCGAAGGTGTCAAGCTGGGGATCCAGGAGTGCCAACACCAGTTCAGAGGCCGCCGATGGAACTGCACCACCATCAAGGACAACCTGGCTATCTTTGGTCCCGTGCTGGACAAAGGTAACGCGCCTACAAGCTGCGTATGTGGAGCATTTGAGGCGAACGGTGTGAACTAAATGATTGAGTGATTGCTGCCAAACAACGCGTAACCTCTTAAAAGTATGTTGTATAGGTGAGGCTACTGCAAGCTCTTACAAAACATAGCATTAAACAGTTTCCCCCCTCGGGCTCGGCACTGGCTGTTCTCTCGGCCTCTGCTGACAAATGCTTAACTGGGGCAATTACAATAATATACACCTTTCCTGGCTGCAGTGAGAAATGAGCGCAGGTACAAGCACTGACACATTATTCAACCGTCATCCATCTCAAACGTCAATATCGCATTTGTCTTCAGAGTCAGTCACGAGTTTTTCCTCTCAGTTTGCCCGACCGTGTTTACACTCTCTTACATGAAAGAGGGTCAGCGTGCTAAATCTATCAACACTACCTGACACGCACAGCTGATATACTGGAGCCATCCGTCAGACGCTTCACACGCAGAATACTAATTGTAAGATATCCAGACGCTAACTTTGTCCTTTAAAAAAAACAATCCTGCTCAAACCTGACAGCGGGACACAATAGGCACAGGTGTCCTGCTCAAGGCTCGGCCGTGCCAAATTATAAAGGTAGGAGTTTGTGTGTCGATAGCACGGCTTCTGATTGGAAATGAATCACCCCGTGTGTCAGAGGGGAGGGAATCCGGGCAGAAACGGGCAGTGTGAGCAGTCCAAGCTCCTCAGTCAAATAAAAGGGAGAAGGGAGGCCAAATGAGATTACGGGCAATAGAAAAGGGCCGGGGGGCTCCGCTCAACCCCTACTGTGCATGAAGACCAGTGCGTGCCTCACACAGTCCAGCTCCCACGGACGCCCCATTCACACGCCCTTTTGACTCTGTCATGAAAACAGGCTGAAAGGGGATCTCTCAGACCCTAGCCCGGGTGTGCACTTTGGGAAAAGTAAGTGAAGGAAGGAGGGAAGGAAGGTAGGAAGGAAACAGAGAGTCTCCCTTTGGAAAAGTTTGAGGACGAGAAGGCAGAGCCACCAATCGCCACCACCAGCCACCTTCTGCTGTCCATGGTGGGTGATGCCTGGAGGAAGCGGGGGTTGAGGTCCTGTGGTGGGTGGTGGTGTATGGGATTTCAGCTCAGGGTGTTGGCAGAGGGGTGGCTGGAGAGAGAGAGGGGGGCTTGGGTGGTGGGGTTAGGGAGTTTAGGGAATGCCAGCTCCGGGCAGAGTGGGGCTGTGGGGGCGCGAGTCGCTGGGCCCTTTGTGTGGATAATACAGTGTGACACAAGGGAAACAAAGGCGGATTGATGGGCCCAGCAGGTAGCAGGAGCAGCACTAGCCTTGGCTAACAGCCAGAGCTCCAGGGGCCCAGGGCTCACAGGCCCCTGTTGTGGAGGGCACAGCGAGGCTTGCCAGGGCGAGCGAGGATGCCGAACCTGAGGACTGAGTGTTATCCAATCACAGAGGGATTCGCTGCGGACCAGAACTTTGACTAAGAAGGACGGGGGAGGAACAGAGGCTTGTTAGTATTTGGCTTTTTAGATTTAACAGGATATTTCTTCAATTAAACTTTTTTTTTTAAAACTGAAGAAACTTTTTTTTAAATTAAGGACCATGTCACATGACCCTCCTGAGCATTCACCTTTTTGTACGACATCCAACAAAGTCCCGAACTGTTCGATACAGATGGTGCTTCTTCAACTGTTGCTGCTCCAGCTTTGCATCTGAGTGGTCAACCACAGGTAGTTAGGTCCAACTGCAGGCCCTGATTTATGATATAATTAACCAACAGTTTGGATTGGATATCTGCACCGATATTGACAAATTAACTGGATCGGATAACGGATGATTGATGCCGATCCAGCGTTCCGATCCAGTCTTTTTTTTCTTCCTTTTAATACATTGAAGTCTTACTTCTTTTTGCTGTGTGCAAAATGCGCAAATTCGTTATTAAAATGAAGTAAATTTATATCGGTGTTAATTTGTTACCTTTTTTCAACAAGGCTAATGTCAAGTCTGATGCCTTCACTCACAAGTCAAGGTATACAGTTCATTCATTCCACAGTAGGATTAGATTGGAATCGGATATCAGCCGATACATTCAGCCCAGGTATCGGTTTCGGATTGGATCAGAAAAAATGGATCGGTGCATCTCGAACCTCAAGATTAACCTCAAAAGAGACTTGAAACGAATGTTCGAGATGGTAAAAGTGTGATAAAGAAAAAAGACTTGCTCTGGACAGAACTGACTTTTTCAGCCGGTGGATGTACCCCACACTGACCCTCTGAAATAATGCGGTTATTTATTTTACTGCCACCTCTAAATGTCATATTAAGACACATCAAAATAAAAGAAAATAATTCACAGAAGAGTAAAAAGGTTATTCTTGTTCTGTGTCTTTGCTCACAGAAAAATGAAAGATCCGAATTTGCGACTCGATTCAAGCCAAACATCTGTAAGCTTTGTCTTTTCCTTATAAAGTCATATAATTGGGTACTGAAAGACTTATTGGCAGTTGAATTGATGAGGAATTCCTGGCTTTAATAGACATTGTGGTCTGTAAAATATGGGTTTAATACTCTGGTTGTGTTCATACAAATTTTAAAAATCCCGCAATAGTGAATACCAGAAACCACAGAGCGCTCTTAAAAAAGAAAGGCACTGCTTAAGGACGGCTCTGTGTGTGTGTGTGTGTGTGTGTGTGTGTGTCTGTTTCAGAGCTATCCCAGTGTAATAGGTGAGCCACGGTAAGTGTGCTGTGATTGTGAAACAATGGTGTCTGGTTACATAATAAGCAGTTGTGTTCAAAGGAGGCGTAACTCCATCCCTGAGCGTAGAAAAGAAACAGGCCGACACACTGTTAGGTTTCACCAGAGGGCCTTAGGCTCCGAGAAGGGACGGGTGAGAGAGGAGGGGAGGGGTGACAACATTCCTGAAACACTATCCAGATGCAAAGCAGCACACCTCAGGGATGACAGGGGGGTCACTGAGATCCTGCTGAGAGCAAGGCTCTGCTGACACAACCACAATGGGCTGATGTCACTGTAGGGACTCGGCTTTTGGCTCCCTTCATGTGTCCTACATTTGCCTCCTCGCTGCTCCTCTTGATTGTAAATACAAAGAGCTTTGAGTTAGGAGTGGGTTCACAGACGTATGTGCCGTCTTGAAGATGAAACTTGTTAAAAGGTTGTAGCTCAGAGGTGTGCCTTTCAACAAACTGACTCAGATTGACACTCTCCATCCTTCTGTCCTTTTTCAGCAACCAGAGAGTCGGCCTTCGTCCACGCCATCGCTTCTGCAGGCGTAGCGTTTGCGGTGACTCGCTCCTGCGCCGAGGGGACGTCCACCATGTGCGGCTGCGATTCCCACCATAAGGGTCCTCCAGGGGAGGGCTGGAAGTGGGGCGGCTGCAGCGAGGACGCAGAGTTCGGCGTGCTGGTGTCCAGGGAGTTTGCAGACGCCAGGGAGAATCGTCCAGACGCTCGCTCAGCGATGAACCGACACAACAACGAGGCGGGACGCACGGTAAACATTTCAACACAACATTAAGGCTACGTTCACAATTCGGATTTTTTGTTAAATCCAATCTTTTTGTGCAGTCGTTCATATTACAACAACGAATGCGGCATCTAATGTGAACGGAATGCGTCCAGCTTGAACTGACCGGTCTCCCCAAATATTTATCAATTCTAATGTTCCTTTTTTTCGCCACTGGCTGTTCTCCGTTCCCTCGTCCGCCGTTGCTTTCCGCGCCTGTTTGTGTTGTCGAACAATGGTGACGTTTGTCGCATATTGATGACGTATAGATCAGATGAACGTGACCGTGGTAGTGCTGAAATTTTTTGTTGTTGTGTGAAAAATATATGTGCTCATTTTGAATCTGATGCCGTCAACATGGGGACACATTTCACAAACTAGGAGATCGAGCCATCCAGATTAACCTTAACTGTCTGCAGCCTTTTGTAACGAGATTTGAGATAAGAAGAACTTTATTTAACCCTCTGATCTTTATCTGATATGATGTACATAAATTATGACATCTATGTTTTTTTTTTTAAATTTTACATTCAGGAACATGATTCTGAAATTGTTGAACTATTTGCACATGCAGTCTGTCACACAGTGGTGAACCTCTTCCTCTCTGAATGTCCTTTTTAAAATATTATAACTGAACCTTTCCACTGAGCAACAGACGGCTATTAGACATCTAGTTTTTTTTAGACCGAATTTCAACCGTCGAGATTCGGTGTATTTTAAGACAGAATTTAGACGTTGCACTTCAACCCATTATTTTATAACTCTGAGTTGCATAACTGATCTCCAAATACTTAATCAAAATAATTATGATAGCTGTTGAGCGATATACAGTGTAGTATAGATATAGCCCAGATTCAGACCTGGTCTAAACTTGGTCTAAATATAGACATCTAAAAACCATTCATTTTTTAAACTGTGGTAGCCTGATTTTAGACAAGTCGTCTAAGCTACATTTAGACGTCTATTAGACCTCCTTTAGACCAAAAAATGCTCAGTGGGTAATTAGTTCAGAGATGTGTCTCCATGTTTTTCAGTGTTTTGCTGATTCAGTGTAAACTGTTTTGAAAAATGTTGCTGGCATCAAATTCGATACGAGCGCAAATTTTTCATAAAGCACTAAAAACATAACTTTTAAATCTAATATATTATGTTTGCACTGTTTTTAAAGGATCAAAATGATTTGAAATGATCTTTTTTTATCAATATTTGACGCAGCGTCTGTCTGTTTTGGAAATGGGCTTTTATACAATCCCCGTCTTTGTGCTAAAACGTGCGTGTTTTTCATCAGAGTTTACCAAATGGCAAAAATTAACAGACACCGGGACATGACACCCATGTGTGAAAGCTGAAAGCCAAGACTGCAGACATTAATCTGCAGCTGTGACGTCCTCCAGTCTTCTGGGATGGTTTCCAACAAGATTTTGGAATCTGGCTGCAGGGATTTAGTCCCATTCAGTCTCGAGAACATCAGCGAGGTCCAATACTGATGTGACAAAGCCTGGCTCACCATCTGTAATCCAGGTCACCCAAAAGGTGCAGAAGTCAGGGTTTAAGGTCCTCCCCGTTTACGTACGTTTGTATGAATCCTCATTGAGTAAGTTTCTCACTTGTATTCAACAGCATGATGCCAAATTAAAGAGTTAAAGAATCAAAGATGAAAATATAAAACATGTAAAAATGATGAAAATAAAGCGTGAACCTGAATCCTCGGTTTCAGACAGGTACGAATCCAGGTGTAAGAAACTCCGTAGTTCAGGTGACGCGGCCTCAAGAGCTCAGAGTTCACCTGTCTTTAGACGTGTGGTTGTGTGTGTGTGTGTGTGTGTGTGTGTGTGTGTGTGTGTGTGTGTGTGTGTGTGTGTGTGTGTGTGTGTGTGTGGCACTGACAGCAGGTTTAGCATTTTCGACCTGAGGGGGTGAGCTGATGAGGAAAGGTGAATTAGTTCAGCCATGTAATGCTGTAATAAGTGAAGCTAAGAATTTTGGGATCCTGGATCTTTTACGCAACAAGGAGCCAGTGGAGGAGTCCGGGTTCAGGGGAGCGATGAGAGCCGAGAGAGGTTTACGGTGCAAGTTTGCAAACATAAGTCCATTTTTAAAACCTGTCTAAAAACCCACTTTTACTCCTTGGCTTTTGACCCAGCATGAGACGGCATAAGTTTTATTGCTTTTTATTATATTAAAAAAAACTATTTATTGTTGTTTTATGTTTGTATGTTCTTATGTACAGCACTTTGTGGCAGCTTTGGTTGTATTTAACGTGCTCTATAGATAAAGTTAAGTTGCGTTTAGTTGAGATAAGTTATGTTAAAGAAGTGTGTGCATAAAATACTCATGTGGTTATATGATACACATCAATCAATCAATCAGATATGAGCAGAACTTCATTAAATCAAGGAAAACCCTGATTCATGTGCAAGCAAGCAGACAAAATACATAATAAAAATAATAAATATAATATAAAATAATAATAATCAATATGAAAAATAAAAAAAAGACCAAAAAGAGAAGTGAGTAAAGTGAAAAAAAATGAAAAGTTAATTTAGCAAAATAAGGAAAGGAAATAAAAGGATAGGAAAACAGAATAAGAACACTTAAAATAGAAATGTACAAGATAAGATAATAAAGCACTTAAGAGTCAGTCAGAATAAGATACAAGAATAAGATAAAACTCAGTTAAACAGACTAAAACTGAAGGTTCATTATTAAATAAGTAAATAGTTAAACTCGCTCTCTTTCTAATTTGCTTCAGTGGTTTCACTGACACCTACCCTCTCAAACTGGTTTTGGGAGTTTAAAAAGTGGTCGGTCTCCTTACTTTTACTCTTGTTTGCTTTTGTACGTCACAAAAATGCATCACTGTGAATCTCAGTGAATTTCCTAAATGTTTCAAAACTCTTTTAAAGCTCAAACAGCAGCTCTCCTCTCCTCTCCTCCTGACTGAACAAAGTGCTAAAAGATCGAGGACTCACTTATTCATGAAACCTCGGCTTATTTAAAATCCCTTCTCCTTCACATTAATACTTACACTCACCACAAACTCAAATATAACGACTTATTCTCAGAAAGTTTCTACTGTATTCTGGTAAATCTGAATCCTCACTCTCAGAGTCCCTTCTGAAACACGGCCCCAGGACCGAGTCGTCATAATTCTCAGCGCGCTGAAAGTGCAATTCATCGCATGAATTAAACAAACCTCAGCACAAGTCGTGCTTTGAACGGTCGCCCGAGGATAAAACTGTTCTGATGCAGTAAACAATGGACAATCAGCTTCTTGTCTCCTAAATAAAAAGGCGAGGAGGATTTTCTTCTTCGTCATTTAACCGTTTGAGGTTACTAATCGTTCATTTGATGGCCGTGGATTTGGAGTCTGACTTGTCTGCACATTTCTGGGTTTCCACTGAAGATGAGCTCTTAACTTTGACTGACTGGTTAATCACTCATCCCAGCAGCACCTCTCCTCCCCCTCTGCCCCCTCACACCTTGCTTTTCATGCCTTGCATCCCAATGAAAAATTCCCTGCCAGTCAAATAACCCGAGTGAGTTGAGGGGAAAAAGAAGGAAATCTGCTCCGACTTAAAACATCACTGGCTGCTGTCACCGCTCGGAGAAAAACAGACTCCCCGGTTGCTCGCTGAGGGGCAAATGAAGGACCACACGGCAACAAGCAGGCCTTTGAAGTGAGCACACAGGAGCAGAGTGAACAGCAGCACTGTCAGGAGTTTCGCTCATATCCACCTGGCCCTCTCACGCTCTTTTATTTGGCCCCCGGGGGCCTCTGGGACTTGATGTTGGCATGACAAGCTCACAATGTGATGTCACTAGTCCAATCTCCCCCTCCTCACCCAGAGGTGCCCCAACCACCTGCCTTCCGCCGCAGCTGGGGGAATTCTGCAGCTAAATATAGCTGTTGAATTAAAGCACAACAAAATCAAAACACAAAGGTAAAAGGTGCCCCGCGGCGGCACAGTCATGCTGTGAGCCAGTGACTTCAGAGGGAATTAGCAGCAGCGCAGAGCCTCTGTACTTCACAGCTGCATGACACTTAGATAAATTGCAGCCAGTGGCATAGTGTTTTTCTTGGCCCGCTCTGCGAGTCTTTAGTGGTTTTGTAAGTCTGGGTAACTGAATTTCCTGTAAATTTCTGACCATAAAATTCCAAGAGATCTTGCTTGGTGGTGAATGACTTTGACTGCCCTGTGAGCAGTGAGTCATCAAATTAAGGCCTCCTCATTTTGGTCGATTAAAGAGATAATCCACTCAAAAGCTCGTTTTTCTAATATTGAATTTGGCAACACATTGAATGGCAAAAAAAGCCTTAGACACGACCTAACTACGAAACCATCGTACTTTCTCAAAACGAGAGGTTTCAAGGGATTTCTGGCCAAGAAAAAATGCACTCTAGAAAACTTCCAGGGAGCATATTTTTACACCAACGGATCGGTCGCACTAAAGGAATTTGGAAAAATCTCAGGACTGAAGTTCTTTTGCACCGTCATCATCGAGTTCTTCTGGCGCTTATTCTGCCAGGCTTTGAATCTGTGTACCGCTCTGTTTATCCCTCATTGTATTGAAGGAAATCCAATTTCATTTACTGGCTTTAAACATTGATGGAGTGCAAAATAAATCAGCGTGTCGTCGGCATAGCTATGAAAAGCAATGCACAAGTTGACCAATAGTGGTCCAAAAATTGAACCCTGTGGGACTCCACATGTCATGGTGTCCAGGATTAAGCAGATTTATGGACATCAAATGACAAGATATAGTTTGAACCAACAGGGATAGTCCATCAAGAAGGACTTAAAGGGTTCACTGTATGAAATACTACACTAAAAAACAGATCTTTGATGTGACACATGTATCGCAGTGTTCTGGACAAAACCATTTACAATAAGTGACCCATTTAGTCCAGCCATTAGAACCAAAGTGAAATCACTGTGTCATCTGGATAACTGTGATACGCAATATCTTAGTTTTATATTCTCTGACCTGAGAGGTAGTTCAGGTGAAATAGAAGTGGTCCAAGAATTGAACTCTGCGGGATTCCTCATGTTGTAATAATCCACTTATTGCTTTGTCGACAACAACTTATCTAATCCAATAAATACTGTTTGAAACAGACCCAACTACTCTTCCAGTTTGTTAAAAGGTATTGTGGTTCACAGTTTCTAAAGTTGCTCTTGGCTCAAGCAGTGCCAGAAACAGGAATATACCCAAATCAGAGCCTGAACAGATGAACAGATCACCTCAAGGGGTGCTGTCAGAGTGGTTAGCCTTTAAAGGGATTTTCTGGCGTAAAATTAATTTAGGGTAACACCAAGTTAGACACCCCAATGAGAGATGAATGTTGCCGACCGCTTGCTTCTCTAGTTAAACCAACTTTAGTAACGACCGCAGGATAGAAATATACAGCGGCCTGAGGAGCCATAAACAAACCACAACAAAACGCCACTCTATAGCCACAAATAACGCTCAGAACAGCACCTAACTTCATCAACAGGACATATAGAGTCCCAGCCATAGTACTAGACACCAAACATCTTTTTAACTTTGACTCATTTCTTTAGTAAAGAGACTAAACACAACTCACCTACTCTCTTCCAGCAGCCGCTTGTTTGTAGAGAGACCTCAGGCCAGTCCATTATGGACTACAGTGGGGTGTCACAGCTCAAGGAAGAACATTTATGATCATTTCTTCATGGAAATACAATCAGAGACGCTAAGGCAGAAGAGCTAACGCGTCTGCAGTGCAAAATGATTAATATGGTGATTATTACTTCAAGTTAATCGAAATCTATACAAAAGGCCCTGTGAAATTAGAAAGGTGTTCAGCTGAGTCAAGTTGCTGTCTTCGTTGATTTGCCCTGTAGGAAGTGTATTCAGACAAACAAAAAAGGCTCTAGAATCGAACCTTGCGGGACGCCGCATCATATTAATAAACTTAGATTTAACGGTTACAAGAAAAGCACAAAAGAAGTAATTCTGACTCCTTGAAACTGATCGTTTAAGTGTCTTCTGTTTTCCACAGACCATCCTGGACCACATGCACCTGCGCTGCAAATGTCACGGCCTGTCAGGAAGCTGCGAGGTAAAGACATGCTGGTGGGCACAGCCCGACTTCCGCATGCTGGGCGATTATCTGAAGGACAAGTACGACAGCGCCTCGGAGATGGTGGTGGAGAAGCACCGCGAGTCCCGGGGCTGGGTGGAGACGCTACGAGTCAAGTACAACTTCTTCAAACACCCCACCGAGCGAGACCTAATCTACTACGAGGGCTCGCCAAACTTCTGCGAGCCAAACCCGGAGACCGGCTCGTTCGGGACGCGTGACCGAGCCTGCAATGTGTCGTCGCACGGCATCGAGGGCTGCGACCTGCTGTGCTGCGGCCGCGGCCACAACACCCGGACTGAGAAACGCAAGGAGAAGTGTCACTGCATCTTCCACTGGTGCTGCTACGTCAGCTGTCAGGAGTGCGTGCGCGTGTACGACGTGCACACGTGCAAGTGAGAAACGCCTTTGTATGTGCTCTCAGAAAAACAGACTGCTGGACTACAAGTACTTCCCACCCGACGTTCCCTGCAACTCCCCGCCTCTTGCTCCCGCACGACTCCCTTACTTCTCCAAAACACAAAATCATATTCATCGGCACAAACTCAGGCCCTAATGGGTGATGGCACATCAGTCATGGATACTTCTTTACCTTTTTTTGTAGAACCAGTCTCCAAAACCACTTTATTTCCATAACTGACCATGAAATATGGAAAGAAGCTCGAGTTGTGCCACTTTCCCCTTGTTCCCTTCCCTGCAGCATTGGACCACCACCACCACCACCATCGCCGCCGCCTTGTCCTTCACCACCACTCCCCTCCCTTCCTGTCTTTATTTATTTCCCCCTCCATGCCAGCACAATGTTTATGGCATGTACAGTAACACTTTTTACCTGTGAGATTAATGCAGTAAGAAAAAAAAAAAAGACTCTCTTTGCTTTTGAACAAAAAGCGTCTTCTAACTAACACCTCACTTCTCCGGCTTGTCTGGCTGGTTTACCTTTTTTGTTTGTGTTATTTTATTTTAAACTAAACCAACCTCTACAACCGTCACTTAGTCTTAAGTGAAACTGAACACAGCCCCAGGAAACCATCACTTTGTAACTACTGAACTGAACTGAACTGAAAACAGCAGGCAGGTGTTGGAAGCTGCCTCAGTCCTGTCTTCTTCTTCTTCTTCTTCGTCTTCTTCTTCTCTTTTTTTTTGTAAACTACTGAGCTGATGAAATCCTCAGTGTTGCTGACTGACTCTGCCGCACCAGTCAACCGGGGAGCCTGGAAGATATATGCTACAGCCTGATTTTATAGCCCTGCATTTCTGAAATATTACCATCGGGCTGGGACTGGAGGTATGCAGCATGTGTGTGAACAAGCATGCTCATTCCACTAACTAACAAACGTATGCACTATTCAGTTAGACGGAGCTCCAGGTGGGGAAGATTTGAGCATTGTTCATGCAAGAAAAATCTCTTTTCCTTTGCAAGCTAGCTGTTTTTATGAATAACGACTCTGAGGGTAAGATCGACCTGTAAATTGCTCATGAGTGTAACGCATCAGTCACATCGTTTCAGTCTGAGGGGTATGATGGAAAACAACCCGGCGTTTTCATTCAAGCTTTAGCATGCCTAATAAAAGTTAATAAGGAGGATCGTTTAGCTAACACTTCATGAATCCATCAGGTCCATTTTTAGAGGTGTTTGTCTGTCTTTATCGCTATTAAAAAAAAAAAAAAGAAAAAGAGGGACAAGTGACGACATGTGGAGAGCGCTGTGTAGGAATCTGATTGGCTTCATTTCTTCCATTCCTTCTCTCCGTGTTTCCCCTCGCCGAGACAGTTTTAGACTTCTGTTCTGTCAACTCCTGAGAAAAATAACTGCTGTAATCGTAGAGACGACTATTCTGAAAATGACTCCAATGGCGTTTCCAAGGTAACAGAATTTCTAGATGGCACAATATCTAGAAGATTTCCAGTATACAAAGGTACAAGACAAGGTGATCTGCTCTCAGGAAGGACTAGCAGAAAGTAAAAGAAAGAATAAGAACATTAAAGGAACATAAATTGGCACTATACGCAGATGATGTTATCATTTACCTAACAGCACCTGACCAATCTTTACCACATTTAATGGAAGCAATTACAGAATATAGTAAACATTCCAGTTATAAATTAAATGAAAGGAAAGGTCCTTGCACACCTGGAACGGCGCAAATATACGACACGTCGTATAAGTTACGTCTGACTGTACACATCAAGCGCGATGCGATTTTGCGACTTTCTGGGGGAAAAAGATACATCCCGGGGAAGACTTTTCCCGGGGAAAGTCCCGCCTCCTTCACCTCTGATTGGCTAGAAAAGCTGGAAACGTCATCACATGCTCAAGCCAAACAGTCAGCACTTATAGCCAATCAGAGGTGAAGGAGGGCGGGACCTTCCTTTACCATTCTACAGTGTCCCGGGTGGAAGCGAGAAGACGAAAATGGAGTCTACTTCAACTTCAAGTGAAGGCGAATTGGTACTTATTTTGCTTTCTCATCAAAAGAAAAAGAAACATAGCACATGGGTACGTCCAATATTAGATAAAAGAAAAGAACTTGTTGAGTTTCACTTCTTGGTTCAGGAGCTGAAACTGGACCACGATCACTTCAGAACCTATTTTGGGATGTCCGTTGGACAATTTGAAGTTCTGCTGAAACAATTAGCTCCAAGTTTGAAGAGGCAGAGGACTAGACACTAGAAACTGCTGTCGAGATGTCTGTCTGTCATGATAGCATGTACTGAGTCGGGGCCAGTACCAGATAAGCACATGAAACTATGGTAACAACCGTTAGCTTACGTTAGCACAGAAAACAAAGACATTCAACAAACTGTTAAAGCACACAAAACATCGTCATATGAGAAATCCGATGCTATGACTCTCCACAAGTCGTCCTTCAGGTCGTTATTTTTGTAAAGAATCACTCTGTTCTCCAACACGTAAACAATCAGCCGGTCGGCCATGTTGGATATACCAGTGAATCTGACGTCGCAACAACACGAAATCTGATTGGTCAGAAGTGGCTGCTCAGTATGCGAAAACTGTGATCCTAAAAAATAAATGCCGCAATATCACAGGACAGGAAAACGTCGCTGATGTGAACGCTTGTATTGACAGGATACGGGTTTGAAAAAAAATATATTGACGTCCGAAATAATCGCACGAAAAAAATGCTCCCGGTTTGTAAGGACCTTAAATGTGAAGCATTAACACTTGGTGAACAGCTACCAGTAGAAATTAAGAAAAGATATAAACTGAAATGGGATTCAAAGAAAATTAAATACTTGGGGATTTATCTTACTGGAGATCTAACAACGGTGTAGAGTAGAAAGTGTTAAAATGATGATTCTTCCACAATTTCTGTTTTTATTTCAGACTTTATCCAAAAGACTTCCAGACTTCCACCGTTAATGCGTGCAAGATGTGAGAGCGTGTGTCTGCGAGCGACAAACAGAAGTGAATAAAAAATCAGAAACAGTTGGATTAATGGGTCGAGGTTTCCGCACAGCATGCTCTGACAGTCCCACCTGCTCCCTATTAATGATACACAGCAACTAAAGAACCCCGTAGAGTTTAGGCTGTCCTCTCTGTGTGACATAGCTTAGCATTCGTGTCACTTTCGACGCAGATTACCCCCCCAAACTCCTCCCTACCTGGGCCTACCTTTCTGTGTTCAGTCCCCCTCCCCTCCTCCCACTTCTCCCGCTATATCCAAAGTTTTGTACAAATGTTTTAAAGTGAATAATTCCCTTTTTATTTTATAATCGTAAATGTTATGTTTTTATAAATATTATTTATTATACAATGTATATATCTGTATGACTGAACTAAGATTATATATTTGAAGAACAAAAACAGTGTCACGCTTTTTGATTTTAGCTACACACAAACACACACACACACACACTGAGACAAACTGAAATGTTCCGGAAAGTTCTTCTCAGGCTGTCTTACTCATTTCCAGGCTTTGTTATCTACTTGAGGATAATAACACTGATTATTCATTCCCAACAACAAAACCGACGCCAAGGACACCCTGATCGGCTGGAAGAGTTTGGCACATGTCACCTGGTGTGTAAGAAACACTGACAGTTAACAGGAACAGATGTGAGATCAGCCTGAGGAGCCATGAGACGATCTCTGAGAGGGAAAAGTGGAGCAACAGCCTGTCCTGCAACCCGTGCGCCGGCAGCGAAACTGGCCAAAGCATCGCTAAATTACTGACAGCAACAGAGTAGCTTAATGATTAAAAATCTTATCCAGCTGACTTTTGGTGATCAAATATGTCAGTTAATGTTAACGTTTTGGCAGATTGGCTTACACCTACCCCCTCGTTGAGGTTTCAGGCATTAGAAATAAGAATATATATGAACTGCCAATCTTGTCAGAGGTGGTCTTGAAGAATTTTGTAGATCGTAAAGTCATCGGGGAAATTTTGGACTATTTCAATAAACTTAAAAAAACTCCTGAGAGGAGCTTTAAATCCTTAAATAGAGATAATAACAACAACACGATCAATTCAGACATTATTTATGTTTAAAGGTGCAACATGTTACTTTAAGCCGACTTGGTAGAAATGGAAAATTGTATTTATTAGTATGTGTTACTGAATATAAAATCATCTTAATACACAATTATGTTCTTTCTTAACTTGCCAATCACAGCTTCTTGTCCTAAATGGCCACCGTCCCTTGACAGATCGGAGGGGTGAGCAAGGGAGCCCTTCCATCTACAATCTGACTGCCTGGTACTGATGAATGTTCCTACTGCACCAAGGAGATCCAGTTTAATTTAAAAAAGACAAAAAGGTTAATATTTTTATTTAAACCTGATTTTAATCTCATATTCATTATGCTGCGTTCCAGTTAGAAAGTTATATCCGGACAAGGCAAGCGCTAAAATAACTTTCGTAGATGTAGCCATCTTGTTTCAGACCTTCGATTTTCCTTTTTTCCAACTTGGTTACTGGCTGGCAACATTTTTAACTCGGACTTCTGACTTCCACAGTAACTCGAATGCAGCATTAGTCCCTCAAGGATTTGTTGCCATGGGAACTGTACCAACAATCAAAGTCAGAGCGACCGATAATATCCATACATATAAATCCAAAAACATTCAAATCAATACCCGGTGTCGACTTCTTCATGTCATTGGTTGGAAGCCGAATAGTAAGGATAATGTATAGTGAATGACACGGACAGAGGGGCCTGCGCACCACCCATTCACCTTATATCATCCCTAACATATGTTACATTAGTGGATTGACTCTCAGAAACATGCATCCACACAATCAGAACTTTCTCATTGAAGGGAGGCTTTCAAATATTTCCAATGAAAAGACCAAAACCAACTATGTCTCCCTCTCTGTGCCATGGAGCTCAATTGTTGTCCAAAAATTGTTAAAAACACATCAACTGTTGTACTGGTTGACATGTCCTCTCAGCACCACACAGACACACTGTAATTTATTTCACCTCAGTCCAACATCGACGACCGGCAGCCAGAAACTCTCACTGCAGCACTAAATGTGGATTCATCCGTTTTACAGGGCCTGAATCTTTCTGAACATGTCTGACCATGTGAGCAGAATAAAGAGTCATCTTTCTACTTTTAGAGCGGGACATGTCAGCGGGTGGTCATTTTAATTTTATTCTCTTAAGCTCCACCTCTCGTGTGAGGCGCAGTTTACAAACTTTTTCACTGTTTATCCTCATTTTAAAGTAAATTTGTTACTTTTTCTGAAATTAACGCCAGCTATTATCATGTGGCGTAAAGTGAAGCAAAGGTGAGAGAAGAAAAGTGCAGTTCCTCCAGTGTCCACTAGAGGCTGGCTCCAAAAACCACGAGAGCCCATTAACAACCATGTAAAAAAAACAACAACAGTATTTTTACAGCAGAAATAACATACAAAAGGTACAAACTATATGTTCTTCATTGGACAAACATGAAAATAATGATTTCTTATGAAACAAAAATAAAGTTCAACACTTTTTTAAGCTCTTGAACAGGATAAAGTTGTGGGAATAATTACGTGTCGTGAGTTATCTTTCTACTTTAAGACTGGCACATGTCAGCTGCTGGTCACTTCATGCAGTTGCAAAGATTTTAATTTTATTCTCTTAAGCTCCACCTCTAGTGTGAGTCGCAGTTTATGAGCTTTTTAACAGTTCATCCTCATTTCAAAGTAAATATGTTAGTTTTTCCTAGATCAACGCCAACTATAATCATCTAGCGTAAGGTGAAGCAAAGGTGAGAGAAGAAAAACTGCAGTTTCTCGAGTGTCCACTAGAAGCTGGCTCCAAAAACCACGAGAATCCATTAACAACCATGTATAAAAACAACAACAGTTTTTTACAGCAGAAATAAACATACAAAAGGTAATCCATAAAGATGTTGACTTTTTATGTTACAAAATAAAGCTCCCCACCTTTTTAACAGGATAAAGTTGTGGGAATTGTGTCGTGAAAGCCGAGGTTTAAAAAAACATCACAACATGTTTTTACGGCTTTATGTTCACCGCTGCTGTGAATACTCATAATTGCTTCTTTTGATTGTTATAAAGCCGTATAAATGCATGTCTGAGGGTTTGTTAATGTGCTTATAAAGCATGATTGGTGGTGGGTTTATATAAAGAGTTACCATGGTGACAAAAAAAGAGTCTGATGATACAAGTTTGTTCGATTTAAGTTTGCAAGATTTAACCAGACAGGATTGTGTTTGCCGAAATGTCATTTATTTTCAATATAAGGTTGACTAAACTGATCCACATGAGCTCACCTTATAAAATCACGACGCATGAGATGCACTTTTTTGTTTGACCACTTTTAATCTTTTTTTGCAAACCTGCAACATGACAGAAAAAAAGTGTACATCCATGATTCTTCATTATTACAAACAGAGAAAAAAAAACACACTTCATAATTAACAAAAAAACCTCCTCACTCGGACACGTCTCAAACTGCCCTGCAGGGTCAAACTGAGACGACTGAATTTCTAAAAGGTTACATAAACCAGGACTGACTGATATTTGAAATAAATAGACGTCTCGCTCATTTGGATTCAGAAATCTTGTTTCTCTGTCGTAAAACTGCGTCCTGTTTCTAGTTTCCACAGACATGCTGCAGTAGCTGTTTGGTGAAGAGCAGACTCTGTTTTCTTGTTCGGTTGCACAACGATTGCAACACAGACAGTTTGGAGGTTAACCGCTAATGTGCGAGTATGTTCGTCACATGATGAGATGTGAAATTTCTCTTAATTATAAGATAATGATGCCAGATCGTAATTTTAAAGACAATCTGTGGGAGTTTCAACATGCTTTAATGAGGAGAGGAGAGCGCTAAATGATCGGGAATAACAGGTGGGAGTTTGTTGATTTAAACTGGGCTGTGACGCTTTATTATAATGTTTTTTAGAGAGTTTGATTTTGGCAAAATGAGTTGAATCAGTAACCAAAGAGGAGGTCTAACCCTCCCTAAGCTGCATGTAACAAACCCCCCTTTACTCCCACTCCCATGTGAGGCAACTCCATTGACAAAGTTTGAGTTTTCATCGTTACAGAATTAATTTATTAACAAAATTAAAAGTTAAGACTCACAAGCAAGTCGAGGAATGATCAGGTTACAAATGTGCGCGTACAAAAAAAGTCCGAACAGTGATGTGATTAGTGTTTGTGCATGCTCATTCACCTACAACAGTATCTTTGACTCTTTTGAGGAGTGCTTAAGGCATCACACAGAGATCACAGCACTTGTCGTCGAGATGCAATATACACAGATGCCACAAACACGGCTTCTTATTTTTATACAGAGTTCAGGTAGTGCTGAAGAGGAGGAGGAGGAGAAGAGGAGGAGGAGGTGTGCCTGGCTGCAGAGAGCTGCAGTGCAGAGAGGAGAGCACAGAGCTTCAGGGATGGGAAGGAAGGATGCAGCGAGAGAGAAGAGAGAGAGAGAGATAGAGACGGATGTTATCTCTCGCCCGCTTCCTCCTGCCAGCCTCTTTAAGGCTTCCGTTCTCCAGCAACTGAGTGAAGAGAGACAAATAAAAGTGAGAGGAGACAGGCAGGCGGAGGAGACGTGCCGCCACAGGAGAGCACCTGTCCTGTCGACCTATTTTTAGGCACGACGCGCGGAGATGACGATACCGTAAGCCTCTGAGGCTGCGAGGGGAGGCGAAGCTCCGGCTGGCTGCCAGTTGAAAAGTTGTTAAAGTTTTTTTTGTTGTTGTTTTTCACCCTGGGCAGCTTCTCCTCATGGGGAGAGAGTCGCTGAGTAACAGGAGAACTTTGAGGAGAGAGACTATCCTGCTGAAACTTTCAACACGACACGGTGACTCATACTTCTGAATATAAGAAACACTGCGCAAACACCGATCAGAGAAACACGAACGGTAGTTTTAAGATATTGTCGCCACTTTATCTATTGAGTTTCCTGAAAGTGTCTGCAGGTACATCTGAAGTTATAACAGAGTAATTAATGAGTTTATTATTAATCTGATCGTAGGGCTGGGCGATATGGCCTCAATTTAATATCATGATATATTGATCAGTTCATCTCGATAACGATAAATGGACGATAACTACTCCACAAGCTGCTCACCCCTCCCACATTAACTTCGTCAACGTCTCTGACGTAGGACAGCGTCTTAAAGGGACATGAGACCATAGCCTACCTACACACATCCAAAAACAACTTTGATTTATATATTTTTTTACACTGAATATACCGATATGGGCAAAATGACGTTGGTTATTGTCGTAAATTTTGGTATCGGTAAATTTTCAGTTTATCGCCCAGCCCTAATCTGATCTATACCTGAGAGCTCGTTAAAGAGCAGCCCTCATTTACAGCGAGATTAAGTGACAGCAGACACATGAAAAAGAGAGATAATCCACTCTGATGTGAAATTAAACAAACTTTGACCCCCAATTTCCACCACACCTGGAATGGCTACGAAAAGGCAGTATGCGCCAATCGTAGCTGATCGTAACCATTCAAGGTCACGTGTCAATTTCCATCGCTGGACTCCGCAGCTGATCGCAAGAGTTCTATTTTTTCCGGACGCCAGAGCATGGCGGATAAATTCAGCACAGATTAACTCATGCTGGAAAGGAAGTCGGGCACAGACACAAAATAAAACATCCGGCTTCTTTTCAAAGTAAAACACTCCGTGTGGCTAAAAACAACTTGTTATCGCACGATTGCACGTGAATCTGCGGGTTCTTGCGAGTTTTCGTGATTACCGCTAACCATTATCTGCCACAAAATTCGCCTCACAAATGGATCCAGTAGGAATTGGCGTACGACAAAAATCGCTGCAGCTCCAGATGTGGTGAAAAATTGGGGGTTAGCACCTTTTACAAAGACGCCAAAATAACACGACTCGTGTTTGAAATGTTTGACTTCATAATCAGGAGACCTGTGCACATGGATGCAGAGTTTTTCAGGTTTGATAACGAGGTGGTTTAATTTACATATGTTGTGAAATTTGAAGTGAACACATTTGTGATGAAGCTGCGTTTGCTCCATCTTACCGTTGAAGGATGCCTCTTTTTCACCATGTAGCTCCGCTGAGTCTAGATCGCCACGAACTTATCAGAACCCAGTCTGCAGATGAGAAAGTGAGAAAAAGTTGATTATTAATCTTCACTGGAGATGTTAACATTCGCTGTTTCTCCTGCTAACTTTTCCTCTCTGCGCTACATTTGTAAAAAGAGAGGCGGTGAAAGTGACGGCGCGGCGTGAGAGTTCAGTGTCACAGCGTGGAGTGGAGTTAAGGACAGGAGAGGAAGACTTACGCTCCTTCCTCCTTCAGTAGACTCAGGAACTTGCTGACTCTGTAGCCGGGCTCCACCTAAAAGAAGCAAAGACATTTCTTCTTAAAGCACAAAATTACACAAAAACACAGTATTTTTTGGATTATGGAAGTTTTCGTTTCTGCTTTTTCAAGAGCAAAATGTTGAAAAATAAGAAGCTGAGAGAGAAAGAGAGAGAGAGAGGCAGGTCCTGGAGTTCAGGCTGATGTTTGAGCAAACAGGACTGCAGCGCCGAGGGGAGGGAGGGGGGGAGAGGAAGTCAAATTAATGTGAACCTATGCAATAACTTACAGTACGTCTGCGAGCGCCTGTAGCTACCGGAGTGAAGACGTGCGAGAAGTCAGAAACGCTGGAATGAGGCAGTAAGAGACGAAGACCGACGCTGACTCTGAGTGTACAGGTTTGTGTGAGAGTGTGTGTGTGTGTGAGTGTGTGTGTGTGTGTGAGTGTGTGTTTGCAGCAAGTCTCGGCAAACACGGGTCCATAGTTTTTCAATGGGGGGGGGGGAACGTGGCTGCATTTGTGCATACCACAGCAATTACACGGCATCAGCCTCCACAAACAGGCGGTACACATCATCAACATACCACAGACGTACAGTCAGGAGAGGAATTAACACCAGCCAGCACTCACATCCAGGTAAGCGTCTGCTAACAGACCTGCTGCTTCACCTCAGAATGAAAAAATCCTCATCAGAGCAGGTGAGGAGATATTTTCAAGATGAATTTTCACATCTGGAAGTGTAAAGATTTGAAGGAAGAGCTGCAGAGGAACAAATCTCTTCAATTAGGGATGAACCGACGTCTTCACATCTGTGGTTACAAGAGTCAATTCTTAGTAGGGCTGGGCGATAAAATGATGATGATATATATCGAAAATTAACTTCCTTCAATATCAATAAAAAACATGGTCAATGTGCTTTTTGCCATGATTTGGTAGACTATAAGAACAGCCAATGAAAAGGGGAGTTGCTCCAGGTCTGCTTTGCGCTGAACCAATCACATGATGAATTAGAACCAAGTAGCAAACAACTGCGGAGTAACAGGCTGCAGCTACACACAACAATAGAACTTTAACATGTGAAGCCGACAGCACTGTTGGTGAGAAGAAAAGAAAATGAGTGCTACCCCCGACAGAAATGACCATGAAGGCTCAACAGATGACCACATCGTCGACATGACTGGCATGAAAACATCGGTGGTGTGGTGTGGACTGCAAATTATGTCGAGTTCATGTTCTCGCAAAGTCAGGGAATACCTCAATTTTTTTTCACCACCTGAAGCAGCACCACGCCGCAGAGCACACGCAAAACAAAAGGTTACAAACCCCGAGCCCATGGCGCCTGTGCAGCCGAAACAACCGACCATTCAGTCGGCTTTCTCTAGAGCAACGCCCCACGACAAAACGTCGAAGGGACACAAAGACCTCACAGATGCAGGAGATTATTGTACTGCAAAAGACATGCCACCAATAAGCACTGTTAAATTTGATTTTTTTATATATCATGATATTTATCGATATCAACTAATATGAAAAAAAAAAATCGTGATAAACTTTTTCCCATATCGCCCAGCCCTAATTCTTAGTCATTTAAACAAATCCGAAATACTCAAGGTCAGTCAGACTCAGCTCCTAGAAAACTATCAAACATTTCCTTAAACTCATGATTCAGACGGGACGCAGAAGTCTGCAGGTAAACAACGTCAGATTAGTTTGACCAGCAGAGCTCGCACCTCTCCACGCCTGTTCTCATGTCTCATCACTCTGACACGTCACAGGTAGAAGATTCACAGTTGGAGTTTGCATGAGTGGGTTCACAGTCCACAGACATGCTCGTAAAGGCTGATTGGACTCGGACCACCTCTCGCTATACTCAGTGGGATCTGCTTGAATCCCCCGCTGTGAACAGTCCGACCACTTTGTAGGTAAAAGATGGAAAATCACAGCCTCCTGTTGAGTCGTTAAAAAGTGTTTTTTAAGTTTTCATTGACTCCTTTTAAATCAGTCTAAACTCTCGTGACTCATCCTCTTTCTCCATCTCTGCTTCCTCTCTTTTTGAAGCACGTTGTCACTCGGTTTTTATGCAGCACTCCTAACATTAAAGTTATTATTGTTTTCACTAAGACTGCTGACTGGACTCGTGACCTGTCTGGTGGTTACTGGAGCGCGTTCACAGGGTCCGATCCCCCCTAAAAGGGTGTGGACATAAACACTTGCGTATGTTTGAACTCGGCTACTTTCTATAGAGACAGTTCGAGTAAATGCACAAAAACATCCCCTCGCAGCCAACCCACAAATCTCCCAAAGGGAAGTCGAGTTTATACGAACACGCTGTACTTATCGGACTACAAACATACAAGCTGGTGTACTTCAGGACGCCAAGAGTGTTCCTCCCACTCGCTGATGTACGGTTTGGACGGGTCTAATGTACATGAGCGTGTTTTCAGCCGCAGAACAACTAAAGTGAATTGAATTTGCTGTAATTGTAGGTACGCTAAAACCATGAAGGGGTTTCTCTCTGATTCAGAACATGTGAGCGTAGTTGGGTTTCATAACCGTGGACGTATCAGGACTCTTGGAGGATGCTTTCGAGAACTGGATCCTCCCGCTCGACAAATCATCAGCAGAGCCGCACATTTTTCACTCCAGCTGATAGATGACAGTTTTCTGTGACTGAGACAGATTCCGCTGACTGCCGAGAACGCCGGCCAGATGTCCTCGAGCTCAGACCGCATTGTCGGAAAAACAATAACACGTAAAGGGAGCCAAGTTGAAATGTGTTTGTGATTCAGGATGAGAAATGAGAAAATGAGAAGCCCGGGTTGTTGACGAGTGAAGAACGCCTTGTTATTCACCACTTGACCTCTCCGTCATCTGATCCGAACAGAGCGGACCAAGTTTTAATCTGTCTAATATTACAGAAAGTCAGTCTGTTCTCTCCTGGACCAGTATCTGCTCTCTGGTCTCGGGTTCAGACTGGACCTGTTTCTTTCATGGTTCTGGGGGTAACAGGTGCGAAAAGACAAGCCTCTACCTTTACAGTCATACTTTACCAGAAACTGGACACCCAAAGTTACGACAACCTAAAGCACCAAGGAGTTTTAGCGCCAGGAACTTCCCTTCAAGGAACCAAACAGTCCTAATGTTTCTACATTTCCACCACAGAGATTTGGCAAAAATAATGATTAGGATGTTTTTTGTCGTATCGTCTAATCTCGATTTTTTTGGTAATTTTTTTAAACTTCCCTTTTCAAAGCATCTGTACTAAAAACTAAAGAAACTAGAGATTAGTTCAACATTTTATTGACACACAAAGTGAATAACAAAGAAAACTGAATAAGATAAATGTAGAAAAATGTAAAAACTATTTTAACTCAACAGAACAACAAATGTAGATAAATACTAAATAATACAGTGAACTAGTTTGTAGTATTTAGAGTTTTTTTTGCAGGTATGCAAGACCCGAAATAAACGAATCGCCCCCTAAGGGATAATAAAGACGCCCTAAAATGTAAATGTAGATGATATGATTGGTTGCTGCTTTGTTCTGGTGGTTTCACCGCTAGTTGTTGCTAAACTGCTAATGCTACTCTTACCATCAGTAGTGACAGGCTGTGCAGACGGCGCGAACATTTTCGTGCTTTCCGCTTAATCAATGGGGAGGAACTTTTTCAAATGATAAAACAGATCTGTTGTGTTGCCGGTTTTTGGGGCACTGACCACCGACATACTTTACACATCGGCTTAATTGCTCAACGTCACTTTGGAGATACCCGAACCACCGCCATACAACCAACGTTGAATTACTTCTCAACAATAACATCTTCAGAGGATGATTCAAAGTCATGGCTGACATCTACTTCGCTGCAAATCTAGATGTGTGAATGAACCGTATTTACTCGCTTCATTCGTGCGTCGAAAGTAATCCTTGCTGATTCAACCGGCGGGATCAAGTGATAGACAAAGGTTTTTTTAAGATTTACCACGTAGTCCGACCCTCTCACTCACTTTCCTCCAGACGAGCTCCTTTTTATTCCCGTTTCAGTAATTGAAAGAAAAGGTATTATATAATTCGGGGCTCTCACTCACTGACACGATCAGTTTGTCCTTTATTTTAGACACCAGTGAACAACCATCCGTTTTCATATGTCACCTGGCAACCTTCGTGCTGATTAGTTACCACGACACGAATATCCACTCAAGTTTAGACATTTTAGCTCACACCCAATTTGCGTCATTCACGCTGCCAGAGTAGTAGGAGCGTCTAATCGCATCTCTGCATTGACTTAACATGTGATTTATTCGCGCAAATGATATTACTCGCGCTTGGTGTGTGGAGACAGTAACCCCCAATTTCCACCATATCCATAACGGTTACGGCAAGGCTGTATCCGCGGGTTCTTACAAACGGATCAAGTAGGAAATGCGGGACGGAGAAAATCGCTGCTATTCCGGGTCGGAGCTCTTCCGGATACGGCGAAAATTGGGGGTAAGACACCTTACAGAAGTGAGCAGGAAAAGCTCGACTCTGATTGGCTGTTGTGACACATATTCTCTGTTTGATCGAGTAAATATGCTCACAGCTGATCACCGTGATCGAACAGAAATTTATCACGATCAATAATCACGATCAGTCCAGAACAGTTAAATCATCAGCAGAGCTCTTTGTTTGAGTTTCTATATTCAGTTTTAAACATCAAGTCTCCTCTAAGTCTGCCCCTCTCTCTCTCTCTCCCCTTCAGCTCTCTTTGTTTTCCTCACATCCAAGAACTTCATGTTTGTTGAATTTCTGATAAATACAGATTTTTTTTCCTCCTTTTCCTTTTTAGTTTGTGCACAAAGTGTCTCTTTCTCACCTGCACGGCCATTTCAATCAGCATGAGCAGCTTCTTAATGCCGATCCAGAGACTCTGTCCTTTCACGGCTTTAGCGATGCTGGCCCGCTCCACATCCTGAAAACTGCCCAGCAGCTTTTGGGAACAGAAGAAAGGAGAGCACTCAGCGCGGGATTAGTCGCTGTTAACTCGGTAAATAAATGCAGGAGCTGTAGCGGAGGAGATACAGTCGAATCTTTATCAAAGTAAAAGCATCTGCAGCACCTGTTTCAGAGTATTTATCACAGAGTGACCCGTGTGTTTGTGAGTGTGTGTGTGAGTTACCTCCAGAGCTTCCACCAGCTGCTCTCCCCTGGAGATGTTGGGGATGTGGATGGTGGTGCTGAAAGCGTCTAACATCTCCATTTCCTGCAGGACGTCCCTGCGGCTCGTGGTGCCGATGATCAGGAGTTTACGACCCTGAGAGAGAAGCAGAAGGTGAAAAATGATCACAATGATCAATATCTAGATCTATTGAATCTAGCTGATGAAGGATGGCGTCATGTTTTTTATATTTTCGAGCAGGTGCTGGAGTCAGACTGATTTTCTGTTGATTTGAGGACACTGATCTGTGTGAAATCGGTTTAAGAAAGCAGCTTTCTGTATAGGAGACATTAGTTATTCCATCCGCCTCCTCACTTCAGTCTATATCAGTGTTCCTATCAAGTTTCCACAGGAGTTTGGGCTCTGGACTGGTAGTAGTATAATCCTGCACTACGGTTTCCCATGAATAATGAAGGTTGACAGTGTGAGCGGGCCCGAAGTCACAACAAGAGCCCGGGAGGAGAAAGTAACAGGAGACAGGAGACGAACAGACAAGAGAACAGAGCAGAACCCAAATTAACAGGAGACAACAGCAGAGGACACAAACATGAGCGCAGAAGAAAGCCGGGAAGCAAAAGAAATGTAGCTCCACTAAGCCGACAAGTTGGAGGAAGACCAGCCGGAGAAGACGAAGGAGGAGAGGCAGAGGAGTGGCGAGCAGACAGGGGGATTATGGCTGCCGGCTGCCCCCCCATGGCGTGGGGGGTTGTGATGCTGCATGCAGATGAGGTGCCACACAGGCGGCGGTGCTGCCAGGTCCTGGCTCTCTCACAGAGCCCTTTCTCCTCCGTGTCCCCCTGGCCTCCCCCGGCCCCAGGCACCCCGCTGGGCCCAGCGCTTTACAACCCCAGAGGAGCACTGCAGCCAGGCATTCAGCAGCCGGCCCCGCGCCACTTCTCATGCACATGCAGCCATATAGTGGCCTATACTCTCATTCACAAACCAAAGGGACTATGAGAAATGGGTCTCCACCACCACCATTCACTGGGAGCACAACAGGCCGGGACGAAAACACTCGCTAATAACCGTACACACTCACACACAGCCGCTCACACATGCCAGCCCCAGGCGCAGACCTCCAACAACTCCTCACAAGAACCGGTGAGGTGGCATCCTCAAGATCTGCTGCCCTCTTTCTGCCACCTCAGGACTAGCAAGGCCACAACGAGAGAGAGAGAGAGAGAGAGAGAGAGAGAGAGAGAGAGAGAGAGAGAGAGAGAGAGAGAGAGAGAGAGAGAGAGAGAGAGAGAGAGAGAGAGAGAGAGAGAGAGAGAGAGAGAGAGAGAGAGAGAGAGAGAGAGAGAGAGAGAGAGAGAGAGAGAGAGAGAGAGAGAGAGAGAGTCCATCTGAACAGCGCAACAAAGTGCCCCTTTACCTTTGGTGGAGGTTTCTTCAGCAGCACCAGGAGAGCTTGTAAAACCAGGTTGGAGAAACGAGGTCCGATCGGGACGTAGTCTGAGCAAAACCCACAAAAGAGACGCATGTTTCAGGACTCATTTTACTACCAGGTGAAAGTTTAATTCATGTTTAATTTTACCGACAGTTTTCAAACACTTTTGGGAATGGGATTATAAATCAAAAACTGTCTCAGAGTTGATTAATTTAGGGTCAAACACACAATAACACAGAGTTAGACACCCCCTCCAGAGATGAATGTTACCGACTGCCTGCTTCTCTAGTTATACCAACTTTAGTAACGACCGCAGGATAGCAATACACAGCGGTCTGAGGAGCCATAAACAAACCTCAACCAGAACGCCACTCTATAGCCACAAATAATGCTCAGAACAGCACCACCTACTCTCTTCCAGCAGCCACTTGTTTGTAGCAAGACCTCAGGCCAGTCCATTACGGACTACAGCGGGGTGCCGCAGCTCAAGGAAGAACATTTATGATCATTTCTTTATCATTTCATTGAAGTAATAATCACCATATTAATCATTTTTCACTGCAGACACAGTAGTTCTTCTGCCTTAGCGTCTCTGTCTGATTGTATTTCCATGAAGAAATGATCATAAATGTTCTTCCTTGAGCTGCGGCACCCCGCTGTAGTCCGTAATGGATTGGCCCAATGTCTCGCTACAAACAAGCGGCTGTTGGAAGAGAGTAGGTGAGTTGTGTTTAGTCTCTTTGCTAAAGAAATGAGTCAAAGTTAAAAAGATGTTTGGTGTCTAGTACTATGTCTGTGACCCTATATGTCCTGTTGATGAAGTTAGGTTCTGTTCTGAGCATTATTTGTGGCTATAGAGTGGCGTTTTGGTTGAGGTTTGTTCATGGCTCCTCAGACTGCTGTGTATTGTTATCCTGCGGTCATTACTAAAGTTGGTATAACTACAGAAGCAAGCGGTCGGCAACATTCATCTCTGGAGGGGGGGTCTAACTCGATGTTAAAGTGTGTTCGACCCTAAAACAATTTTAAACCAGAATATCCCTTTAAACGTCAAGGGAGAGACTAAAAAGTCTCAAAAGGATCTCAACAATCAAAAGTTCAGATCCACGTCGATGATATCATCTAAATAACCTTGAAAAGAAGCTCCTCGGTGTGCAGATCTTCTTTTCAAACTCCTTTAACATCATGAACCTGTACAGCGACTCTCTGCGGCTCTTACCCAACAGACGCTCGATGTCGTCCACGACCACACAGCTCAGCTGGGACTTGTAGGCGTCTTCAAAAATCTACCACAGGTGATAAAAGTGCGTTAAAGTCAAGATCAGAGCGAAGCCGTCATGACCCGAGGCCCGGGGAACAAAGATCTGTTTGTTTGATTATTTGTGAGCGACTTTGATTCAAACTCATCTTCCATCTCCTGAGGCAGATAATTAAGTTTATGAGAGTCAATAAAGCTTTCAAGACGAGGTTTTTACTCATCACCTCAAAGTCGGAGCTGAATCGGGTTTGAGATTTCTTTATTGTGGACTCACCTTCTTGATGGCTTGGCACTTGGCGATCTCCGAGTGTCCAATCATCTTGTCAGGGGAGCAGATCTTAATGAAGGGAAACTGGGAGTCTTCAGAGATCTTGGCTGCCAGGGCGGTTTTTCCACTGTTAGGTGGACCTGCAGGAAAGGAGGACTCACTAATGATCTCTTCAGGGGGTTAACGGCCTGTCGGTTTCTAAATAAGGATGTTTGGCCTTCACGCTCGAGCTGCAGACAGTCCTGTGTGCATGTGTGAGGAGGAGGACATACCCTCCAGCAGCACGGACACCAGCGGGGTTCGGTCGCTGTTCTTGGTCTGCTGCACCAGCAGCTCCCCGTCCTCCAGCACGGCGGTGACCGGGTCGCCCCATCGGATGATGCCGTTCATGATGTAGCTGGCGTAGTCTTCCTGGTTGGTACCGAACGCCTGGACAGGAAGAAGAAGACAGAAATAGGGATGTTATATGGGATCATTTTCATTTTCATTTTCTCAAGGCTGGACGACTGTAACTCTCTCCTCCCTGGATTAAATGAGAAATCACTCTCCTCAGACTAGTTCAGAACGCAGCAGCTCGGCTTTTAACTGGTTTTAGTCGACGGCATCACATCACCCCAATTTCAGCCTCCCTTTTAGAATTGATTTTAAGGTTTTATTGATTACTTTTAAAGCACTCAAAGGACTTGCACCGAGCTACATTTCAGAGATCCTCTGGCGAAGGTCTCCTGGTCGTTCCAAAGTCAAGGCTCAAATCTAAAGGTGATCGATCTTTCTCCATCAGAGCTCCTCGACTTTGGAACGACCTGCCAGAGGAGATAAGGCGAACAGCAGAGACAGTCGCTTCTTTTAAGTCAAATTTAAAAACTCACTTTTACAGACTTGCTTTTATGTGATACCATCTTTAATCTTTTATCTCTTTCACCTCTATCTTATTTCGACTTCCTGTCCTTTTAGCCTTTGTTTGACATAATCTTGTCCTATTTAACGTTTTCGGCCTTTTATTGATTTTATTGTTTTTTTCTGCTCATTTTTGTTATTCTATTTTATCATTACTATAACCATCATTATTATTTTGTTATTTTTTTATCTTCTTTTAATATTTACTATCCTGTTTCCTGCTTTCTACCCCCCTTTTTTTATTACATTTCTTTTTCTTTCCTATTTTATGTTTTTATTTTGGTCCTCATGGTCTCATTTTATGTTGTAGGGTTCTCGTATTGTCTTGGTTTCTTATGACAAATAAAATTGGCCTTCAATTCAGAGGACTTGTTTTTAATGGAGCTCTTGTTTTTATCTCTTTTTATTTCCATGTGCTGATGTTCTGTGCTTTATGACTGTTTGGCAAAGCACTTTGTAAACCTCTGTTTTTAAAAGTGCTATAAAAATAAAGTTATTATGATTATGACTATTATTGGACTTAAGAGGATCTGAACAGAACAGCTGGACTCACAGGTTTGATGTCGTTATTCAGCGAGGCCATGAAGTCCAGTCTGCCGACCTGCAGCTTCTCTGCTGTCTCAATGTTTACCTCCACCGTGTTACTGGCCTGCATGAACACAAACACAAACACACACACACAAACATGATATCTCACACTGAGTGGCAGCAGATGGATGAACTCCAGCCTCCTGATTTTCGTTTTCACCGTGTTGTTAAGACACAAAGTTCTCCCTCAGAGCTTAAAGGTCGGAAGAAGAAGAAGAAGAGCGTCACAGCCTTCAGACGTGCGTACAGCCCTTGTCTGTCATCAATCATCACCCTCTAATAAACTCCGGCTTCATGTGAGTGTCGAGAAAGAGCACTCGCAGATGAGGACTTCACCTTATCTCTGAGAGCTGTGGAGATTTGAGCCGACACACCTGATAGGACACTTAACTGAGGACACACACACCTGAGTGTCTCAGTGTCGACCAAGTGTGTGGCCTGCTCCTCAAACCGTGAGATTTTCAGTCCCTCACATTCAAATTCTGATGGTAAAAGTCCGTCTAAACAGATTTCCTCTTTACTCAGAAGAAGGAAAAGAAAAGTATAAATATTATCTGAGGTTTTCCCGAATGTCTCCGTCTGACCTTGATGTGTCTGTTCATGGCGGTGGACTGCGCAGCTCTGACCAGACCCTCCAGCTCGGCACCGCTGAAGTTCTTGGTCTCCATGGCGAGCTCCTTGATGTCCACGTCGGAGGACAGCAGGTCGTGCTCACGCATCCTCGCCGTGTGGATGTTGAGGATCTGAATTCTTCCCTTTTCATCCGGTAATCCTGCAGAAACACAGAAACTCTAAACCTTTTGAAAGTACACGATCTTTGGTCGGAGGTTTCACACTTGGTTTGACGTTATTTTCATCGACAGTTTGAAAGGTTTTCTTACAAATTTGTCTTTATCTGATCAACTCTTTACTATTTTCATGTTTTACTTCCTTAAATTTCATCATTTTGCAGCAGATTTTAAAGGCACTGTGAGTAACTTTCATGCTGTTTTGACCCTCTTGGTTAAAATAGTCGTTTTCACTATCACCCACTGTGCCTCTCGCTGAAGGACAAACAGGTGTGAAGCCTTCTTACCTATCTCCATCTTCACCTCCAGTCTTCCAGGTCTCAGTAAAGCCTCGTCTATCAGGTCGGGCCTGTTGGTCATACCTGAGGGTGGGGGGACAGATGGAGAGGAGACGTAGACGGATGAGTCAGAGGGTGCAGATGTTCAGGGATGACACCAGAGAGCGTGTGAGCGCGTGATTACCGATGACCAGGATGTTGTTCAGCTGCTCCACGCCGTCGATCTTAGACAGCAGCTGGTTGACCACGGTGTCATGGACGCCTGTACTGCCCGCCATGCTGCCACGCTGTTTACAGATGGCGTCGATCTCGTCGAATATGATGATGTGGAGCCCGCTGTTTGGACCGAGCTGAAAATGAGAAGAAGAGAGAAATCCTGAGAGAGCTGCCGTTTCATTTGATTGTATTTTTATGAGAAATCGATCAATAAATAAACCCCAGCAGAGTTTTTTTTTCGCTCTGACCTGAGGTTCAGCGCTGACCCTCAACACAGAGACAGATGGAAGAGGTGGAGAGCAGCAGGGTGGGGGGTTATCCCTCCATCTACAGACCTGTCAGTCTGAGCCGTAGCATTTAAAGCAGGTGTGGAGCTGTCCTTATTACACACCGGACTCTGGCTCTGAGTGTGTGAGTGTGTGTGTGTGTGTGTGTGCGTGCGTGTGCAGGGAGATCTAATAGGAGGTCAAAGACAGCCCAGCCCCTCATTAGGTGGTGAAGAGTGAAGCTCCACGCCGGTGTCTCACAATCCAAACTAACTGTCGCTGCTGGTTTCAGCGCAGAACTTGAAGTTATTACAGCTCCGTCTGGCTAAAGGGCAGATCTCTCCACTCCTGCAGAAATGAGTTTTTTTTTCTGTTTTCACAGATTAAATCTGTGTTTCAAGGGTACAAAGGGTGGATAGAGAAGCCTGAGAACAAACTTGGTTCAACTTTTATCTGATGTGTAGAAAATAAGTTCGGGAAAGTTGCAGCCGAGCGGGTTAGGTGGTAAAAACAGGCTCATTTATCATCACCAAAACGTGGATTTATCTCTGCTGGAAACTCGAAAAACTCTTTCTTTAAATAAAAGTGTTGTTATCTGTTCTGCGCCTCTTCGCTCACCCTCTTCTGCTCGTCCTCTGCGTCTGCGAACAGCTTCCTGACGTTGGCCTCAGACTCGCCCACGTACTTGTTGAGGATCTCGGGGCCGTTGACGATCTTCGGCTCCCGGGCCTTCAGCATCTTGCCGATCTGCCGCGCCATCAGGGTTTTACCGCAGCCCGGGGGTCCGTACAGCAGGATCCCCTTCACATGCTTACAGCCTGGAGACAGACGCACACGCCCCAGAGAGAGAAAAACAGAGTTGAACTGAGAGCAGGCTGTTCGCGCTTTCAGCAAATGAGTCGAATATTTCATGAAGTGAAAGATTTACATTATTTATACTGGACTCTGGTGATAGAGCGAATCTGCTGACTCACTTTCTGCATCGTTAATGTGTCTGTAAACATTTTTTAATGATCAGGATTTAATCAACCAAAGAAATTCTTGGTCGACTAAAACCCTGAGATTTTCAACCGAAAATCGATTAATGGGGGATGGTTTCCAACTCAGAATGAAAAACCTGCTCCGGCGAGGGACGACACGGCTCGGCGGAGCTGATATCAATCAATCAATCAAACTTCATTTTTAAAGCACTTTTCATACATAGAATGTAACACAAATTGCTTTCCATTCAATCAATATATTAAAAACAATGAAATAAATTAAATAAAAAACAAATACCAAACCCACCCACCCTCCCAACCCTCATTCAACTAATCCAGCACTCACACACACAGAAACACACAAAACACCAGATGAAGACTCTTCACCTTGCCACAGATGACTGAGGAAACTCCATCTTGAGTTAAAAAAATGATAAAATATAATAAAGGTGATAAAGTGTTAAAAGTTAATTAAATAAAACAGTCTTAAAATCAAACAATAAAAGAAAGTAATTTCAAAAAAAGAGGTAATAAAACACAAAATAGTAACTCTGGGACTAAAATAGGGTAAAACCAGCGGACGTTCATTAACATGGACACTTTTCAATCTTCCCGTCTCCAGCCGGTCTCCAGTAGTGTTGTGCTGTTCACGAATGATTTGTTCAAAAGAACCAAATCTTTGAAGTGCACGCACTAAACAGAATCACTTCTTCGAATGATTTGTTCGTTTCTCACTTAAGTTGAGCTGAAGTGAGAAACAGCATTGCCGAGCCAGTAGCCGGCAAACAAGGGACCCCATGCACCGACGCCTGAATCACTTTGCGAACGAATCACGCATTGGACTACTTTCTGTGGAAAAAATTTTGTCAGACAAAATGATCTTTTCCCTGCCAAGCACTGAATGATTTGGTGATTTGGTGAACAAATCTTTGAATGAATCTTTTTAGTGAACAGATTCTAAAAGAACTGCCATTCTCATCACTCGTCTCCAGTGGGTTGGGCGAATCCAAAATGGTGAAAACAAGGGGGGTATTCTGAGAGAGGCCATTACATGTGAAACACCCCCATTAGCACTTGGTGCGTTCCTCTCGATTAAAATAACCATAGACTAGTAATTGACACACAAAAAAATCGAGTCGACCGATCAGAATTTTGGTTTACAGCCTGATCAGGATTAAATAACTGGTTTTATGCCGTCATTTCGAAGCTTCACAAACAGCTTCAGCTTTAGGGGATTGAACTGATTGAAATGCTCTTCACAGCTCCTGCAGATGTGAAGCTGTGGAAACAGTAGATGCAGAATAATCTGGACTGTTAATCCATGAAAAACTGTGACTGCTCTCCCTGAACCGTCCAGGTTAACTAAAGCTCTCCACCAGTTTTACCGTGTGGGTCACTCCGATGGCCTTTTGCACCTGCTTAATGACATTTAGCCCAGACTAATTGAGAGGCCTGAGATAACCATCTGAGCTGCCATTTGGGCTCGCTGAAGGAAAAGCAGCCGGGATGACAGGTGGGGGAGGAAGGAGGGGAGAAGTTTGTTGTTTTGGGGAGAGAAAGCACTGGAGCTTCTGTCTGTCCGTCTGTCTGGGGAGCAAAGGGGAGACAAGGTGAAACTTTGAAAACTTTTACTCCGACAGCTCCTCTCTGTCAGCACCTGCTCTCCCCGCTCCCCACGCTGACCAATTACAGCTTCACCTTTTCGCCGGGTGCTCTATCAGGGCACGCCATCTCATTACAGCAGCCAGCTGGCCACAGCCAAAGGCCGACTGCTGCACACAGGCAGCCGGATAAAGGTCAGCTCGCACACTGCTGGACGCCGCCTTGGGCTGTAAGCGCTGTGGGTATCTGTGGGTGTCAGTGTGTGGCGTGTTTGCCAGGCTTAGAGGTCTGTGCTGCAGGTTTTCACAGGACCTGCAGGTCTGGGAACGAGGATTAGCACAGATGTGTGTGTGTGTGGGTGTGGAGGGAGAGGTTTGTGTGTGTGTGTGTGTGAGTCACAAAGAAGACTACCTGATGGCTTTCATTAAAATGAGCTGCAGTCCTGAGCAAAGTGACTCATGGTAATAATCTGACAGCTGTCAGAGATCTATTAATGAGTGTGCTCAGGGATCACGGCGGGTTTTCTCAGTTCTGGATGAGGCAGCGCAGAAGGACGCCTCCCTGCCTGCTAATCAAAGATTGTGGGTTTCACTGATTCAGGCTGTGATACCTTCCTCAAAAGGTCTTTCAAGTTTGGGTTTGTCATAATGTGGAGACAAAGATTAAACAAAAGCTGAACTCAAACACTCAAACAGTGATTATATTTGGCAGCTATTACCTCTCTCTCTCTTTTTAACCTGATGAACGATGGAAAAGAGTTCTGAGTGTTGTTAGTCACGACTGTATTTGTACATTTAAAAGCTACTCTGATGTAAAATTACAGTTTTTATTGACTGATATTTATTTCAATGTCTTTTAAAAGAAAAAAAAGACAATCAGGGACTAGACTGAGACTAAAGGGATATTCTGTCATAAAATTAATTTAGACCTCTTGCTTCTCTAGTTATACAAACTTTAGTAACGACCGCACGATAGCAATACACAGCGGTCTGAGGAGCCATAAACAAACCTCAACCAAAACGCCACTCTATAGCCACAAATAATGCTCAGAACAGCACCTGACTTCATCAACAGGACATATAGGGTCACAGCCATAGTACTAGACACCAAACATCTTTTTAACTTTGACTCATTTCTTTAGCAAAGAGACTAAACACAACTCACCTACTCTCTTCCAGCAGCCGCTTGTTTGTAGCGAGACCTCAGGCCAGTCCATTACGGACTACAGTGGGGTGACGCAGCTCAAGGAAGAACATTTATGATCATTTCTCGATTTCTCTGTATTGCTATCCAGCGGTCGCTACTAGAGTTGATATAACTAGATAAGTAAGCAGTCGGAAACATTCATCTCTCGAGGGGTGTCTAACTCAGTGTTAGTGTGTTTGACCCTAAATTAATTTCACACCAGAATATCCCATTAATGCCTGATATCAGTGTAAGGTGGAGGGTGTCAGCCTGAGTCAGGTAGTCAGGTAAAGTTCTCGCTAAAAACCAAAGGAGATCATGTCAGGGGCCCTCAAATCTGGGGGCCTGGAGATGAAATACTAACAGTTACATCTTCTTCTCAAGACTCATTTTTACAGACTGACTCTTTTGTCTTCTGCCTGTTATCCTCATATTTACTTTCTTATTTCTCCCTGAGTTGTTCCTCCCGCTTTAACTTTTATTGCATTGACTCATTTAACTCTTAATTCATCGCTCGAGAAGTTTGAAGAAGACTTTCAAAAAACGGGGAATAAAAGCGATTCCTGCGATTATCATCTGGTCTGCAGTTCATCGTACTTAAAGTGAAAGAATGAACACAAACAAATGAATAAGTGATGACACAATGAGGAAAAAGAGAGAGAGAGACTCACCCATCTGTTCCACGATGTCTGGAGGAAACACTCTGGAGGCGAAAGCTCGACGGAAGATATCAGAAAACTCTTTATCAAGACCGCCGATCCCCATCCGCTCAAAGTTCCAGTCCGGGCTGATGATGGACTGGCGGGACTCTCGGGTCTTGGCTCTCCCTGGAGGGGTCAGTCAAAAAAAAAAAGAAGTCAATATTTTTGTTTACTGACAGAGGAGATGCTCGAAATATTCATATAAACATCATATATCACATTAAAACTTTGGTTTCAGCAGACACATTTGCAGTTAAACACCAATGCACCGCCAAACAAGAGAGAGCCTGCTGAGAAACATGTGTGAAGTGTGCCCCCTGGTGGTTCTGAGGAGAGTTGTTCTCCAGCTAAAAGGAGTTTATAGGTTTACAGGAGCTGAAGAAACTCATTTTAAAGTCATTTTTTTATTTGTTTTGATTGTTTATTCATGTTCACATCACAAAATATTCCCCTTAACTCTAGAACAGGTGTATCTCAACAAGTTAAAATAAGTTAAATGTTGTAAAAGGTTAATATTTTTCAAAAAGTGGAAACTTAATGTGCTCTAAACTCATAACATGTAAACTTAAATGATTCTTATTCCACTTCTGTTTCATTCATTATGGCCTAGAGCTCAAAAACTGTAAAAATTCATTCTTTAAAATATGATCTTCCTTTTTTAACGGGATTTAGCACCTGCAGGCAGCACCTAAACTCCTCAGAATCTGTGGGATGAACCTCTTACTGTTCGGCTTCTTGAGATGAAGTTTTCTGTTAGTAATGGTGTTAATAGAGATTTATAAGGTCCACACTCACCAACGAGGGTCATGGATGAGGTTTCAGCCTTCTCAAAAATCACCTGACTGTTTCCCGTCAATAAACCGATCTCAATCTAAGAGGAGAAACAGAGAAAAGACGGAGCAAACAGAAAGAACATTTTGTGAATCAAAACTGAAGGTGCATGAAGGTGTTTGATGGCCACTAAAAATGTTTGTTCACAGATATTACCTTTGGTTTTTTGCCGGAGTTGTGTTCTCCCCTCAGGATGCTCGGATCCATGGCCTCCATATCTTTTATCACCAACCCAAACAGCTTATCACCGAAACTGAAGCCCAGCTGAAAATCACAAAAAGAGTCAAAGAGAGCAACAGATGTGACTCAGACTGTAACATAAATCTGGTATTTACAGGAGAGAAGATTGTATTTGTGGTGGTGACACTCGAAGAGTTAACTTTGTTTAAGTCACACCTGCTGTCCGACGCTGAACGCCTGGTTGTTGAAGTGCTGGACGAACTCGCTGGCCATGAGGTCGGAGTTGTAAGGGTTGCTGTCGACACTTTTCTTCTGCAGGAAGTCGATTTCCACCGTCATGGTGCTTACACACTGTCTGGACTTGTCAAACTTGTAGTTTGTAACTAATAAAGGAGAAAAAAGAAGAAAAGTTAGAAAAACTCACTGATTTTATTATTTCTTTTAATGCAAAACTCTCAGACTGACTAACTTCACATTATCTCTTACTTATGAGATACGTTGTGAGTTTAGCAGAGTATTAAATTGCACATCATTTCTTGTTTTAAAATATTTAATCGGATGGTTTTAATTACGGAAACGTCTCGGTCCAAATTAATAACTCGGTCTGGTTTGCACATGTTGTGATCTTATTCCCTTCAGATGTTTAAAGAGGAAAAAAATAAACCTTCCCACAATAATTCCTTCATGAGAAACTTAAAAACCACACACAGCTCTTCGGCTCCTCCGCACAGATCTGACATTCACGGTTTGATTCTGTTAAATCAAACCAAAGCCGAGGAGCAGGAGGTTGGCTCATTAGGACACTCAGAGTGATAATAACGCTTTAAATCAGCGCCTTGTTAGTCCTCTATTATAATTAACAAGCGTTTCATTTTTGCTTTAATGTGAGGAATAATAAAAACAGTGTTTGCTTCATAAATCTGATATGAATTAGAGCGCTCTTTAACATTCAAATCATCTGCAGCAGGGCTTCCAACTGCTGCCAAAGCCTCATTATGGAAATCAGGTCTTCTCTGAGAAGCTTTCCAGGCTGATTTTCTTCCACTGTTGCTATGTAATTAGGACAATTACAGCTGTATTAGCCATATCGCAGTTACCACAGCGACACTGCCATTTCACTCTGTCCTTTGTGGATACGACTGTAATGTTCAGTTTGATTATTCGCTCTGAATGAAGCAGAAAGACGTACTTTCTCACTTTGATCAGATCATAAAACGAGTCGTAGTTTCCTGCTTTTTTTTTTTTTACAAAGATTAAAGAGTTTTGAGGCTTTTTCACTCAGTGGATTAAATTTTCATCCCTTCTTTTGCACTCCTGATATGAAGACAGAATCATAATAGCCGCCATCATCCTGGGCATCACACGGCCTCAGGGTGTTAAGGAGGATATTTCATCAAAGAGCAAACTCTCTCTCTCTCTCTCTTTCTGGATTCAGGCCAAACTCGGAGCCAAATGTGGAGTAATGCCACCCAGAAACTCTGTCATACTGCCCGCCTCTGTGTGCGGGAAATCATGTTCCCTCCACCTTCAATGACAGCCAAATAAAAGTCAAACCTCCATCCTCGTTTGGCTGCAGCCTTCAATGTCACTCACATGAAAGTTGCATGAATCCTTTAAAACCTGAAGGTTGGATTAAACACTAAAGGTTATTGTGCTGCTGCAGGTGTCTGCGACTCAAAGGGAGTTTAAGACCGCCGGGCAAAAGGAGACGTTAAAATTTACACTACCATGAATCAAAACTACGGCTGCTGGATTATTGTGATTGATACTGAAAGATTTATAATTAAACTCTGCTGTTAATGTGTGTGGGACGTAATGAGGAAACAAAGCAGGCGGGCAACATCGTTCAGTCTTGATTATCAGGGTTTTATGATTGTGTGGAGGCCGTTATCATCATTTCAACTAAAATCCAATTAAACGCTTGACAGATAGAAGCGTTCTGATTATGAGAAGGATTCAAATACAATTCTTTCATGACTAAAATTACTTTTTTCTCTTTTAATATTTATAGATGAAAATTGATTTTGGCGCTAATGCAATCTTAGGTCGCTTTCGAACCTGACCAAGCGGACTCGGTTCGACTGGGGAGCTGAAAGTCTCAACATTGCTGCATTTATCGCTTGTTTGGGTTCTGCTTTCACACCGTGATTTCTAAAGCGCACCAAACTTTCCGAACAGCATCCCGTGGGGTGCTCGTCGATTGGACAAAGTAGGAGGGGAAATCCCTCTATCCCGCTCCGGAAAAACAAGAGTAAAGATGGAGCATCATGTGAAGTTGGCGGTTCTGGGGATGTCAGGAGTAGGTTTATGCTGACATCTGACCATATTTCAAGGAGAGCTTTAACCTCTTCGTTTGTCCTCTCGCCATGTTTGTTTTGGTTTAGAGTGCGCGCCGTGCTTCCTCTACCCAAGATGCACTGCGTATAGCGTCATTACGTACATTTGGTCCTGCGTTTGGTCCGGTGAGCTTTCACACTGCATACGAACCGAGCCAGGGTTCACTTGCAAGCGAACCGAGACCCACGTTTTCAGGCGGACCAGAGTTTGCTTGTTTGGTCCGCACCAGAGTTCGGATTAGCTTTCTCACCTGCCCAAAGGAAGCGGACTATCCGAGGAAACAAACTCTGGTCTGTTTAAAACGGACCAAACAGCTTTAAAGTAACGACAGAAAGATTACCTTCAACCTCTTGTCCAATCGAAAGACCAGCCCATTTTCTCTGCAAGGAAAAAATATTTTTAATCCACTAAAAACTATCAGTAAAAGATAATAATGATTTAAAACAACAACAATTCACATGTCAGAGACATCAGTGCAACAATCCTCTACAGCTCGATCTTATAACACCACCGTTTTTTAACATAAAGGCAGTTTACCAAACGTGTTTTTCCATTAATGTCAAACACGAGTCAGTCTGTAGGTATTATTCCATATTCGATGACTTTCGTGGTGAAATAAGAGCGTCTTGAGGAGGTTACAGTAGTACCTGTGTGCCACTGAGGCTGCCAAGTTTACAGACGGAGGGAGAGCAGGCAGAGACAAGTGGAGATGAAAAGGAAAAAAGAAGCAGTGACAGACAGATTGAGACCAACAGAGAGGTCCATGCACAGAGCAGAGAGCCCAAAGACAAACACACGAGTTAAAAATCTGACTCTCTGAGGAGAAGACAGTCAAACTGCAGCACACACCAAAAGAAGACTGAGTTATCACCTTCAGAATGATTGTTAGACAGAAAATATTAGATCAGCTGAGACTTTTAGTAGTTTTACTCAGACGATCATAGCGTCCATTAATTTTGTATTACAGATTCTATCAAAGTGATTACATATGCAGAAACAGTTCAACAGCAGTGCACAGTTATCATCAGGAGACGCAGTGATCACTGAGAGCATGTGGCGGTGAACACCGTGATCTTAAATATTCAAACGTACCTGTGGCAGGCTGAAGGCGATGGTGCCCGAGTTTACACTGGGATGTGTCTTCAAGGAGAACACGTACTTGTGGCCCCCGTTGCGCACAGTCACGTGTCTGTGTTAGACGGAGGTGGACTGGTTAGACATTCAAAGAGTGATCGCAGCAGAGCTAAGACATGTAACAGTAGAATATAGACAATACGATACTCTCTGTGCAACCAGTTTTCCTGCAGAAACACCACAACCTGACTCTGTTTAAGACCACAGACCTCAGACTGTGTGATCTGCAGTAGTGAACCAATGACGCACTACAATAAATCAAGTGTAAATAAAACCATAACAGTAGTCAGTTTTCTCTCCGTTATCTCGACTTGGTTGTTCAAAGGGTTTAATCTGAACAGGACTATCCAGGATCAGGGATTCCAGCTCACTTTAATCCATATTTTAAAGAGCAGTTTAATCCAGATGGACACTTTGTAAATTTACAAAAGAAATCCTCACAGACTGCACAGTTAGTCCACAGGAGGGCGCCAAAGTCCACGGCAGCTGAAAGATCCAGATAGTTGCTTTTAATGAGATATTGAAGTTTCATAATAATCAGTCGTTTTGTTTTATCTAAAGAGTAGTTCTGCTGCCTTAGCTTCTCAGTCTGATTGTATTTCCATGAAAAAATGATCACACTATAAGGCGCTTTTGGCTTGTCGGAGCACTGCAGTTACCGGAGCCTCGCGGAGTCAAATAAAGTTTGACTTATCTGACTGTTTTGTTTGGCTTAATGTGCTTTATACTCAGGTGCACCTTATGTATGTAAATAGACGCGAATTGATGGTGCGTCTTATAATCAGTTGCGCCTTATAGTGTGAAAAATACGGTAAGCAAATCAAAGTCAAAATATGTTTAAAAACGACTTAAATTACAAAAAGGTTGTTTTATTGACCAATCCAGCCCTCTGCAGGGATCAGAATAATTAGTATCTCCAGAATAGATGACACTCCAGGGGCTTTTCTCCCAGCATGAGGAACAATCTCTTAGACCCACAGTTACATGCATGTTGCTATGGCGATGTACTGAAAGGCTGCCTCAGTCTACATGACTACATGGGATTAGAATAATTCGGATTTTTTACAACCAATGTTTTCCAAATCCTGCTTTAAAGTTTGTAACCATAAAGTTTTGTATGTCTGTCTGTTATATCCATGAAGTTGCTGAGGAGAATAAAAAAATTGTAGTGATCAATAATTGATTGTTAACATTTCCAAACACTGAAGATACTTTACATCCCTACTTTATTTGCACCTATACTTCAAAGGTGTAAAGCACAAGTACGCAGCTAAACCTATCGAGGATATCTAAAGCATAAACCCAGATGTTACTGTTTTTCTTTTTCATCTGCTGCTCCAAGTGATTCCCACACACCACACTGACGTAACCCGACATTGAACCATCAGCCCACTCCTCTCCATCCTGTCATAACACTAAAACAGTGATGTTATGCGGGGTTACGTGTGTCAGAGGAAATCCCACTCACTGTTCAAGCTGTTGCTCCTTCTCATTGATGACGGCACAGTTGGTCAGCGACAATTCGTCTGTCGGGCACTTGGCCGCTTGCATAACCTGACGGGAGAGCAAAGAGACAAACTTAAATTAAATTTAGGGTTTTTTACGGTTTTGTAGGTTTTTGAGGGTTTTTACGCCAGAATATCCCTTTAAAACGCTGGTACCCAAACACTGTATGCACTAATGTACTGAGTGAGCGGCAGTATGATTCATAGTTTATGTGATGTAGGACAAAACGAAGCAGGTACACTTTAGGTTTTCAAGTACAGTAAGTGACGTGCTGCTGTCACTGTATCCTTGGTCACATTTCGTCTCTGTTTCTGGACTTAATTCAGCTGAACAGTCACATAAAAGGGTGGATTGTGTAGGTTGGCACTCCAGGGGCTTTTCTCCCCCAGCATGAGGAACAATCTCTTAGACCCACAGTTACATGCTTGTTGCTATAGTGATGTCTTGAAAGGCTCCCTCAGTCTACATGACCTCCTGTTGAATGTAATTACAAACTTGTCTTTTGTGAGTGAATATTTTACAGTCTATTTATGTTGTTTTCCATCGTCGTCCCGCAGATACTGTTTTCCAAGAAAAATACAGAAGATAGTTTGTATTATTTTAACCCCTTATCCCAATCAGGGTCACGGCACGCCGGAGTCTATCCCAGCTATTTCTGGGCAAGAGACAACTTTATCAAATAAGCGATGAACACAGGATGCATCATGTTATTCATGCCTTTAAAACTTCACAACTAGATTAATGCAACTTGTTGTATGTAGGCTTGGACAAGTAATCCATCAACCACCTTCAGCTCATCCAAAACGCTGCTGCCCGACTCCTGTCCTCTCTCACGCTACAGCGGGTCCGTTTGACAAGAAACACTTCTGTTACAGACACTTGTCTTACTTTGTTAAAGCGGTTTACCTGTCCAGCAGAAAGGTTACAGGGTCTGTAAAATCGCAAAGCATCGCCCATCATTATTGACTTGGCTTTTTAGCTCTTGTCCGGTCTACCTCCGTTTTAAGCGCCCGTTATTCCGCCAGAGTCTCCGGTATTTACTTTGTTTTCTTGCTTGTGTCGGCAGTCGTGGCCAAAGGAGGATTCTGACAATTTTTCCAAACTTTCTGGTTGGTTTCTACTGTCCGATATTGTAGCACGCTAACTTTGTTTGGGCTCGTGAACGACACGGGGGAGCAGCGTCTGCCTCACAACCAATCAGGTCGGGGGAGGTGGAGAACAGCTTTGTCAGAAAGTGCGGACCGCGCTGAAATTTTAAATGTTGACTACACAGACATAAGAGAACACAGCAATATCATTATATTACCAAATGTCATCAATAAGTAATAGCTATTTAAACTGATATTAAAAGATTTATTGTATATACACCACAAAAAAGGATGATTCTTAAACAGATTCCTGTCTACCCCACCTTTAAAGACCCTCCTTTTCTCCCTTGCATTTAATATTATTATTTTTCTGTCTGTATTTTATTCTACTGTTTTTAATTTTATTGTTTTATTGTTATCTATTCATTTACTTATTTTATTTATCCAGTGTACAGCACTTTGTTGAATCTTTTTAAAGGTCTTTTATAAACAACCTTTGAATTGACTTGACTTTTGACAGTGGATACCAGTCTTTCCTCACTCTCTAGTCCTCTTTATGTCATGTCTAATTAAAAGCAAAAGTGCCTTGAAACAAAACAGAAAGAAAAAACAATAAATCTTAACAGTTGAATACCTATATTAGAGGTAGAATTAAACGTTTTGTCTTGTTTTAGGCCCATTTCCAAAACAAATAAACAAGATAATCAGACAAACTGTAGTACAGGAAATACACATCAGTGTTGTTTACATTGCTGCCTCTCTATAATGGTTCCTGTGTGTATAACTGAACCGTCATCTTTAGACAAGTGTATCTAAAACTTCTCCTTGTCTTTTTATCCCATTATATCTATCTGCTCCCGGTAAATATCACTGATTTATCCCTTTAACTTCGAGATACACTTGCAGGAGGTCGCAACTTTTTATTTAGAAGTCAGGAGCAGAACTGACGGTACACTTCAACAACACTACAACCTAAATATCCGAACTACAGCTCTTTAAATTGTCTATTTTACTCCAAAGTACGAGGATAAAGCTGCTGTGAGCGGTGTGAGTGGTCATAAGATCCTCCATTCTTCTTCCGGGCTGCTTACGAACTTTTGAATGACATCTCAGTCTGCCACACAGGCTACTGCTGCGCTGGCTCACTTTACGTCGAAAACACAGCTTCTACCCGATTCACGACACATTAGTTTGAGTATTTAGTGTAACCTTTTCGTGTTTTAGGTGTGTGTGAACCTTAATAGACGCTCAACTTACCCGTGCGGTCATCTTTGAGTGTGTTTTTAGCCCCCCGTTCAAGTGCAATTCAGCACAAACGGTTCCGCTGACAGGACTTGCAAAGAGGAGAAAGTGACGTGACGAAAGGGGCGGGATGTGAGGACGTACGTGATGTCATTACGCACAGGCGACGTGGAGGATCCGTGAGAGGCGGCAGAGGAAAACAAGAAGGAAAAGGAAAAAGCGTAAAAATTAAAAATTCAAGACTGAAAGTTTTAAAATACGAATTATTTAATTAGATTTATATATTTTTTTAGACATAATTCAAGACTGTTGATAAAAATATAGGAAAAAAAATCACCGGGTTTGTATGAGACATACTGCTGATTGTCGGTTTTATTTATTATAGGTTTTTTTTTAAATAATTTATATTATATTATTTATACTTTTTAAAATATATTTTAAAATTTTATTTAATTTAATTTTTTAAACTAGATTAGGTTAGATCATCCTTTTGAGAAGGTTCCCTCAGTGAAATCCAAATTTCATTGTCGGTTTTATTTTTTAACGTTTTTTTTTTTGTTGTTGTTGTTTGTTTGTTTTTTGTTTGAATTATATTTTTTGGATTAGGCTAGATTAGATATAACTTTATTGATCCTTTCAGGAAGTTTCCTCATTGAAATCCACATTTCATTGTCAGTTTTATTTATTATAGGTTGTTTTTATTATTATAATTTATTATTTTTTTAGATTAAGCTAGATAAGATATTTCTTCATATTTCAATGATCATTTCTTCATGGAAATACAATCAGACCGAGACCTTTAGGCAGAAGAACTATTGCGTCTGCAGTGCAAAATGATTAATATGATGATTATTACTTCCAAGGAAATGATAATGAATATTCTTCCTTGAGCTGTGTCACCCCACTGTAGCCCGTAATGGACTGGCCTGAGGTCTCGCTACAAACAAGCGGCTGCTGGAAGAGAGTAGGTGAGTTGTGTTTAGTCTGTTTGCTAAAGAAATGAGTCAAAGTTAAAAACATGTTTGGTGTCTAGTACTGTGGCTGTGACCCTATATGTCCTGTTGATGAAGTTAGGTGCTGTTCTGAGCATTATTTGTGGCTATAGAGTGGCGTTTTGGTTGAGGTTTGTTTATGGCTCCTCAGACCACTGTGTATTGCTATCTGCGGTCGTTACTAAAGTTGGTATAACTAAGAGAAGCAAGAGGTCGACAACATTCATCTCTCGACGGGGTGTCTAACTTGGTGTTATGGAATATCCCTTTAATTATGACTTTTTTAAAAACTTTTCTATCAAAAAAGGAAAACCTCTTTTTTTCGCCCATCATTCCTGACCACAATAACGCTCATCCTCATACATGGCCAGACATCGACTGTCTCTGTGACAGTTCATAATAACAAAAGACAATCCAAAACTGTCCGTTTAACTGATTTAATGCCCTTTGATGTGAGTTTGCTTTTTTAATTTGTGACAAAAATAGCAGCAAGAGAAAGACACCCTTGTGTAATTCTGTTTTAAAGTGTCAACATTTGTATGTTCATCCTTAGTGAGCTTAACACGGTTTAAAAACGTCCTCTTTTTTTTTTGCTTATGTACACATTTCTTGGTCAAGCTCTCAATCAAAACTGCATTTTAGACACAACATGTAAATCCAGTCCTTTCACCAGTTATCTGTACAAGAAACAACACAGCTGAGTGGCTTTAGACAAATTACCATAACCAATTCATTTTCTTTTTTTGCAAGAGACAAGACAAACTCCTTAAAATACAAAATATTTATTTTGAAAATGTCTTTTATAAGAGAAAAACAAACAAAAATAAATCAAAACCAAATCAAAACCATACAAATTGTTTGGTTACTAGCATACCACACTAGTGCTAGAAACTAACAATGAAGAATTGCTCACTCAGGGGTAACTCACAGACGCTGAGAGGCGATGATGAAAACATCTCCACCTCCGCCCTTCAATTTCATATTGCACCCAAACAGTGAGGCAAACCGAAGCGCCGGAAAAGTGGCACTAGTGGTGAAATGGCATCCTGTCCGTTCTGTGAACTGACACAAGCAGGGCGGGCAGACATGTGGCAACCATCTGATTCTCTCTCTCTCGATTTTTTTTTCTTTTTTTAACAAAAACACAAAACCAAAATAAAAAATAAAGTGAGTTTAATACATATCTGAAATACAGCGGGTATTTAACTGTTGGCATTGATATGGTGAGGGGGGAAAAAATAAAAGCTAGAGGGAGCTCTTTGACAAAATTCAGATTCCTAAGGAGTATCCCAACCATCCAAAAACTGAACAGTGTGCTTCTGAAAGTCATGAAGAAGAGGAGAAAGCCTCACGTCCGCGTACGCAGGTGGTAGCGGAGTGCGAGGCCACAGAGGTCAATGTTGCACCTGTGAGGTTGCAGTGGATTCAGCTTTGAGGCCCGGGAAACCCAGCCTTAAAGCAGATATAAACATCTATGTATTCTTAAACCTTTTCATCTTTTTATTGTGGTTGTACAATATTCCCTGATGGCCTGATTTGGCCGCTGAGTGTTACACAGAATCCTGAAGAGATATCAAAATTAAAGGAGGAGAAAAAATAAAAATAAACAGACAAGAGAAGTGATGACATTGTCCATTGAGGGAGAGGAGGGGGGGAGTTTGATGGGGGAATCCTGTTTGCAGTTTGCGGGACTTTCTGAAGTTCTCCCTTGTCCCCTTTTTAAAATGTTACACACGCTGGTCAAACACACACAGTTCCTCCATCGCACTGCCGCAGCTGTCTGATCTGAGGACGAAGGGAAAACAAACTCGTTAAAGAGTAAATCACGAGAACAGAGGTCGTCGTCTTTCTTCACTTACTGATTGGTGTTTTACCTATGTCAGCTTCTTGGCTTTGTTGTAAAGTGAATCCACGACTTTGCTCATGTTCTGAATTGTTTCCAAGGCTGCTTCGTACGTTTTGTCCACTGGAGGCTCCTCGAATATGATCAACACGCCTTCTCCTTGGTCGAGGATTCCTGCGGCAGAGTCAGAAATGAACGTTACAAAACACTGAAGACCTTTAGACTGACGTTTTTACAGGATACAGCCCGGGTCATATTTCAGCGCAGAGGCATTAACCTTTGTGAGCACTTCAAACTCAGGCAGCTCGACTACGGCAACAATCAAGAACACGATTATTTTGACTCTTCACATCACAGTTATTAAATTACAGACATATGTTAGCACGAAGAAGTGCAGACTTTTTATACTAATTCAGTGATTTCACATCTATTTGAAGGGAACTAACACCTTATATTTGGACCAATATGGTTTCATTGGACAACTGCATCAACAACAGCTAACTAACTTAAAACCAGCTCACTCTCCCAGTTACATTAAGAAGTAGTGTTGTGTCGTTCATGAACGCTTCGTTCAAAAGAACGGATCTGCTGAGTGAACGGCGTGAACTGAATCAGTGCGACCTGATTCGTTCCTTTTTCAGTTCAGTTGAGCTCAGCCGCTTTGTTATCTTTAAAAGTAGCAGAATCCCCGCTACAGCTATGATGTTTATTCATTTTTAATCTCTCCACTTTTCAGCGATATAAAAGAACGACGAATCGCGCATGTGTAGCGGGCGTGCTGCTTGCTGCTGTGTTTTTTTCCGCCAACAGCGACACACAGAGAGGTGAGTTTTTCAGGGCAGGGGAGTGATTCCTCCTTTAGGACTTGGTGAATGAACGACACCTGTCACCCAGTGAACGACGCTGGCAGGACGAGGGAGGACGAGGTTCTGAAGCACTGACTGATTCAATGAATGAATCTTTTGAATGAATCATTTTAATGAACGGATTCTACAGATTCAGTCAAAAGAACGGTTCTTCCCATCACGATTAAGAAGCCTCGGCTATCATCAGTGATGTTGTGACTTCTCTGACCATTCCTCATGTGAGGAGAGAGAAAGTATTAAAGTATGAAAACAAATATTCAAATAAGGAATATTCTTTGATCGCCCTGGTGGGTACCGGGATATGTTCGCCTGGGAATAAACTCTGGTGTAGATTTGGTGCAGAACAATGAATCAGGCTTTAGGGATCTCAAATTACCGTGAAATTTTTTGTCCAGGATCATCTGTGATAACTTCCTCTCAACATCCCCCTGAAAAAGACAAAAATCGGAGAATTGAGATGAGAAAAGGAAGAAAAAGAAATGCTTTTAACTGTTTGAAGATGGAGTTAACTGCGGGGACACGTACCTTTGACAGTTTGATTAGACCTGATATGTGTTCTATCTGGAAAGAGAAGCGCAGACAAATGAAACACAGAGAGAGGTTAGTTTCTTTAAAAATGCTGTCAAAGTTTAGATACATGTTGATGGAACAAGTGTGCAGGTACAAGCGTTTCTAAAAACAAATCTGTCTTTGAGGGATATTAAAAATTGACATTTAAAAAGACAAAAACAACATGAGAAAAGAGTGAATCATGGTGCTAAAATTATCCGCCAGGCCTGCTCTGGCACCTACACACAAAGACATGCTTTGGTATTGGTTCTGTTTGAGTCCATCATATCTAAGCAGAACTTCAAACTCATTAAAACTAAAGATCCTGAGGAAAAAAACGGAAACGCAGTTCGGCTCGATCGTGAATTTATCAGGTGAAGCTAAACGGACCTGTACTCTGGAAAAGGGTTCAATAACTCGGATGAGGTTTTGCTCCAGCAGGCTGTCGTACAGCTTGGCCAGGTGAGTGTTGATGATGGGGTCGTCCCTCAGCTCTGCTCTGTACTCTGTGAGCGCCTGAAAGAAGAAGACCCTTGACTTAAAAGAGAGCATGCCAAAACTCTAAAACAGAGCTATCATCCAAACTAAAAAATACAAAGAGTGCAAAACATCATTAGACTGAACGAATCCTCACCTTTTCAAAGTCTGCTAATGATCTGTTCTTGCTTGCTAGGGCGACACACTTCAGTGCATCTGTCTGTTTGAAGAACGACAAACAAGAAAATCTAAATGTCACCTGAAATTGTTTACGTGTAAACAAGTACAGTACGCTCGGGAGAGAGAAGGAGCTGTGTGCAAGAACTGAACCAAAAACAAAACAACTGTTATTTGTCAGCGTTATATAATAGTAAATTTCATTGCTGCTTAAACACTCAGGCTGTTATGAGAAATGAGGAAATGGTGCGTACCTGTCGGCCCGCATATCGCAGAGCCAGTTTACCGCTGATCAGGGCTTGTACTTCCTCTGGTCTGAAAGTAATGAACAAACAGAGACACGGTCCAGTATGAGTGTGACAGAGGTTCCAACAGCGGTATAGTGAACACTCAGTTGAAGCGGCACTCACAGGTTGAGAACGATTTTGCACAGGAGCATGTATTTCAGCGCCGTGATGGCTTTGGGGCTGTCGATGGAGTCGTAGCCCTCGAACGCCTCGAAGAAGTAGGAGTAGGCCGTCTTCCAGTCCTTCTCCTCTGCCGCGTGGATGATCCCTGCAAAAGGAGATGACACCACATGATAGTTAAAACATCTACAAGTCGAACCGTTCGCCTTGGAATTCGCTCAGCTGGAGATAAAACCCAGGAGATAATAGAAGTACATGCTGACGATCACAAGGCCACAACGTCGACAATGCTGAACATTTTAAAAGCACTAGAAATAAACTTCAAAGTTCCTGTAAAGTTGTAAAGTGATGACAACAAGAGACACTGCGTCACAGCTTTTCTGACATTGAACTAGAAATCTCCAACTACACAACTTTGTGATGCTTATCAGCACAAAAAGCTGAGTCACATAAGTGCACGCCATTTACACGCCTGTAAGCCATTTCACAGGGAGAAAAAAAAAACAGCTGCTGTACTGACTCAGTCTTGTCTGAGTATATAAATGTACCGAATATAAGTTTGACTAAACTTGTTCCTCTTTGCTCAACTTTCCGTACTCTGCAGTGTTAACTAACTGTTCTGTCATCAGAGACGAACACTCATCCTTTTTCATTGTGTCGTTCTCCGCAGGATTATGTATAGATAACCCTGTCAAAGAAACACACCCAACAGTGGATGTGAGTGATGTAACTTGTGTGGAGACACAATGAGACATTCTTGAGACAAAGAGGGCAGGTATGGAAGGTTTTCTTCTTCCTGTTTCCTTTTGTTCAAAGACGTTCAAAGTAAATAACAACAGGAGATGTAAACACTTGGGTCGACCTCCACTGAGCCAAGGAAAATGAAAACATACACAACAGCAATGAACAGAGCAAACTTCTCTAAAAGCAAACTACAGCAACACACACTGAAGCAAACTCAAAACGTACCTTTTTAGTCTTGCTTCTAACAAAATGTTATATCATTAACTTTGTTTAAGTATTTTAGCATTTATCTTTTTCTAGTTTTAATAACAGAGGGGGTGTAAACGGGGCTGTTCTTACTATCCGTTTAGTAAATAATATTTGTTTATTCTATAAAAAAAAAAAAAAAGAAAAGGGGGAAAAAAAAGCAAAAAGCAAAAAAAGCTTCTTTTTTTTTAATTACATTTTTACCGTCATGTCTTAATTAAAGAGTGCATTAAACAAGCTAAAATGTGTGGATCATTTGTGTGCAACTCTTTCTGCCTGGCTCGCTGCTCTGGGCTCGCATATCTTATAAGCATGGCTTTCATGTACTCTTAATATTTATTTCAGATGATATCTGGCCGTATAGATCGACATGTGCTTATATTGGGCTATTTTCTGGGAGTTAATTAATTTTCGTGTATTCGGTTTCAGAGTGGTCGTTTAAACGTCAGTGAAATTAACCGCTGGGAACATCCCTACTAGGCATTTTAATTCTGTTTCTGTTGCGTTTAGATCGTGGGGTGGGAATGAGAGGTAAGGCTGGAGTCGATTTGGATATTCTTTGCTTTTTTTATTCCTTTCGATCAATATTTAAAAACGCCCAAAACTGATTATAACTTCATTCAGCCACCATGCTTGTATAAAAAAAACTAGGAAAAAGTGTACCAAAGCTGTTTTAAAATTCTACACATATATTCAGATTGGCTTGGCGCCCCCTACTGGTAAGATTAAAACAGCAGCAGTGTGATGTGGACACAGGCTTGTCTTTTTTCAAAGAAAAGAAAAGTTTAGTTGCTCATAAATCTTTCTTCAGATGCTTTAATCTCAGAGACGTGTGTTGGCTTTAATAAAAGACATTTAAATCATCCAAACTGTGACGGCACAGTATCTTAGTTTAAACACTGAAGAAAACAAAAAAGTTAGGGACGAACTTTTCCCTGAAACAGGTGTTACAACACAAAAAGTATCAAAAAGTTTGAGAAATCAAAGCTGAAGTCATGAACTACCTTTTCTCTGCTCAAACTGACTGTGCAGCAGTTTTATAACCCTATTTTTTTAGTGCAGGTGTTTTCAATCGCTGAAGGATTAGAGGACAAGAGTTCATGAATAAAAGCTCAAATGGCTTATAAAGGTGTTGTAACTGTTATGAAGAAATCTTTACTTTTCCTGCTGTGAAAGTTTATCAAATTTTTATTAACTAATGAATTTTATTGTACAGTTTTCCTATCAAAGATACTGAAATTGTAAAGCTCTAATAATCTGAAAGCTGTTCCTCCTCATGTTTCATAATTTTTCTGATACTATTTTAAACAAAAAAAAAGGAGTAAGAGCAGAATATAGTCAGCTGTGTAGAGATAACCCTCTGCACAAAAGTGAGAGAAGCAAACCCATCTGACCTGACTGCATGTCCAGAGCTGCCTGGAGCTTTGGAGGACAGTAGATGGCGTTGGCGGTGGTCCTGGCTGAGGTGAGGGCTGCGCGGGCCTTGGGCAGGTTACTGAGAGCGTGGTACGTCTTACTTTCGAGCAGCTGAACCTCCACAAGGAGAGCTTTGTCATCCATCTTTTTTAGCTCCTGGAGCAACTGGGAACCTGAAGAGGGGAGAGAAGAAGTAAGAGTTTAAGTAACTTTACGCAACAGCTAGAAAACAGCTGTAGGGGGGTTGAGATGAGCTTGTCTCTCTCTGTTCTCTGATAAAGTACAGTGACTTACTGCTGTGCAAACTATTTTTCATTATCTACTATAGAAAACAAAGCTTTATAATCAGTAAATATGCCACAAATTTAAAGGAAAAGCATATAAAAAAAGGATAAAAGGATATATATAGACAGTTTTTATTGTTTCTAAGTGGACCAGAAAACCTGAGTGCAGGTTGTACAAGCCGGAGCCAAAGGCAACATCTTCCCCTTTTGTCGAGTCACTGAAGCAGAAGATAGATGCTGCCATGTACCAAAAGATAAAAATGTTCTGTTTTGAAACACTCACCGAGCGCCAAGGCCTCCTGGTATCGTTTGGTGTCAAAATAGAGTGAGATCAGTCGTGCCTGAAAGAGAAGAAAGTGTTATTAGAGAGCCAGAGCGCAGCTGTGCCCGTCTGCTGTTGTGTAAAGAAAGGATGTAACAGAGAACGTGGAGCGAAGAGACACAAAATCACCAGAATTAGACTTAAAAAAAGGAATGAACTTAAAACTTTTGCTGATTTAATCCCTGAAACAGCTTGTTAACATTGATTAGTATAAACCCCCCACATTAAGCTGCTAGTCTAGATAATTTTTCACATTTTGTACCTCTGAAGTTCCTGAGAAAACTAAATCAAGATTGGATTATTCACAAGTTTAGGTTCCTTCAATATAGCAGGAAAGACATCTTGAATCAGATGAAGCTGCTAATTGTCTCCAGGCCGTACCAATCACAAACTGAGTTCAGATCTTGATTAAATGAGATGCAAGTCGACACGCCGTTCTTGAATGTCATCTAATGAAGTACACACATCTTAATCCGGTGACATTTTCAAATGGATAAACTTGATGTAGAAATAATCTGTTCTTGTTTGGAGGAGGCTGAAAATCTATCACCATTTCTTCAGGACATAATTACAAACATTATATCTGTATTTTCTTTTTATTTCAAACTAACAGAGAGGAGCTTGAATCCTATCTTTGCACACATACAGCTGTTGACAGGACCTTCTATCGTTTTATACGCTCCTCTCATGTTGCTGTAAATGAGCATCAGCGTCTCAGCTGAGTCCCATTTCTTGGATTTTTCTACACGGCGGCACTAATAATAATCTCACTGGTCTTGTATTTCCAAGTCCGGCCAATAGCTGTGGATATTCTTGGCTGTGAGTGTGAACCTGCTGGCAGCGATTTCGCCACATAGCCCACTTTGGCTGCTTGAACAGGGTGATGTCATTCTGGATGGCGGGCTTCGTTAGATGAATTAGCATCACTGGCTGTCATGTTTCCTCAGGCCAAGCTGACAAATGTGCTTCTTCTCGGGTTTTCCAGCTTCCTGTTTTCATTCGTTTTTAACCCGAATGCTGCCACAGAGGTGGTGTCACATATCTCACTGCTAAAAAAGAAACTAAATGCTTTTTTATAATCAGCGTCTCTCACTCCATGTGTCAGGTTCTGCTGAAATTTCATCTCCCTGGCGCTTCTGTTTGAGGGTATCGCTTTTGTCAGTGATTGAAAGGACAGCAACAGCAAATTCAGGTCAAAAAGCATCTTTATATTTAATCCACATCCAGATAATCTACTTGATAATATTAGATAAAGTCTGTGAATCAGTTTAACCACAGTGTCACTGCAGGTGAGGTTTTTGCAGCTGTGAGAATTCTGGTGGTGAAGCAGGTTTATTTTTTTTTAATCGCAGTATTTCTAAGAAACGCTCTTAGTTGGTGATTCATACTCCGTGGAGAGGTTTGCATTTAGACTATTTAATTTCATCTTACCTCTAAAGCCTGTCGGAGGAAGGTCCTCTTCTCTGCCTTGGCCCACTCGATGCATTCAAGACACAACTCCACCTCCTGCCCTGTCGCTGCCTCCATGTCAAGGAAGAGGTCCAGCAGAGAGCGGACCAGTCGGGCCGCCTTGGCCTTACTGATGGAAATCAGGAAAGGCCTGACAAATTTGAGCAGACCCCCGAGTTCTGGAAAGATGAATAAAAAACGATTATTTTAGGAAGTGGAGCAAAAAAAAGAGCGTTTGACATTCGAGTCAAAAAGTAGAAACTTCACCTGCAGCCTGTCCGGTCTTGGCCAGGAGGGTCCCCAACTCAAGGATGCTCTGTTCTTTGACCCTGACAGCTTCCTCATCGTTCTCTTGAACATCTCTCCTCACTGTTGAAGAGAAGCAGGAAAAAAAAAATCTAATAAATAACCATCTATGATAACTCTGAAAACGTAAAGTACTTATTCAACAAGCCTGAAGTTGTAAGCTTTGAAAACCATGATCTGACTGGTTCTTATCTGATGGTTTTTGATACAAGATGATTTTCTTTAACCAGATTATCCAAACACAATTCAGTATTTGGGCCAAACACCGCACATTGCTCAGCTATTGAAAAATAACATTGTTCAAAACTATTGCAGCACTTCTGGGCCAAAGGTGATGATTGCACATGTGTTGTTCACATGTCTGAGGAACAGCTAATACCATGAATCTCATGTTCACTACAAACACAAAGGCCAGAGATGTCCAAATACTCTTTTTACAAACACACTGTTTTCATTGACAGACACGGCATGTCTATTTGCTAATAAAGCAGTCTATACACACACTAGGGCTGGGAATTACAGGTTGACTCACCACACTTTACCCATGATAAGTAAATATCCCCAAACATCTATTCTGTGATGACTGATTCACTGCTGAGCGGCGTACAATCTGATACACTAAAGCTCACAAAACGCCGCCAAAGAGAAAGTGATAATGCCGTTTTGTCCCGCTGTCAGGAGTCGTGAAATATTGATACAGGAGGCTTTAATAATTTTGTTTTATCAAATTATAGTTATTCACACCCAGTGATGCAAAAATCATATTGCATGGACCTAGACCACAAGTGTCAAACTCAAGGCCCGGGGGCCAAATCTGGCCCTTGGGACAATTATATCTGGCCCACAAGATCATCTCATATTTGTATTATTATTGGCCCACCAGTGTGAAGTCTGCAGATTTCCTCCAAAATCTGGGAAATTAAAGAGTGAGGAAGATTTGATAAATAGTCAAGAGTGGGGGGAAAAATATTTGGTGTTTTATTTCATGTTTTCAATTTTGCATTTCAAGATTACAAGTCAAATATGATTGGATTTTTTATTTCATGCTTTGATTTTGTTAAACTCAGTATTTAGACTTGAGTCATTTTCATACTTTAGATTCCTATTAAGTCACATTTTGACCTTTTAAACCTGATTTCAACGTTCTCCTCATGTATTTGCTCTTTAAAAGCATTATTTTTTATGTTTAATATCACACTCTTTTGAATCTAATAATTAAAAATGAAAACATTTCTATCTCAGATTGCCTTTAAACTTATCTTTTTGATCTTTCTTGATTTTCCAAAAGGTTTATAATCATTGCTGTTTTAGTTACATAATTTTTGAAAAAGGAGGTTGACAGTTTTGGTGAAATGTTGACCCTGTTTGGCCCTCAGGTTCGACCTAAATCTGGATTATGGCCCTTGCTGTGGTTGAGTTTGACACCCCTGACCTAGACAGTATAGATAGAGTCTTTTTTACACTTAATTTTATTTCATACCTTTCTCCTGTCAAAGTTAAGTTGATAGTTTTGTGCAGGTTCAAAAATATGCTCTCCCAGTAAAAGTACAGTTTCTCTAATCAGATTTGATTTGAATTACACAGACAAATATCTGCATTAGCTAATTATTGCACTATAACAAACAGGAGATCACTGGTGTGGGAAGAGGATGTGTTGGCATGACGTCTTTCTTTTACTTTGGCGTTTGTTTTTGCTCTTGACTCATGGCCCGCTGAGTGTACCGGCCAGTGTAAATGTTCCAGCCTGAAGGACAACTCCTACGAAGGAGGAAGATCAGGTTGGAGATCACTGCCTACTTTACTATGTTTGGGAAGAGAAATCGATTTTATACAAACCTGCAGATGACTTTTTGACACGGGAAAGATCTGTAAATATGTATTTTGAACTTTGCCAAAGCATATTTCTAATTTAAATTGAACATTTTTAATCCCCTGTACTTTCTTAGTTGTTAGTTATGACAACAAAATCAATGTGAAATGCAGCAAAGCCCAATGAAAAAGCATAGACTTTAAAATGTAAGTTTTAAAGGTTCATGTTCACAAAACAACCTATTTAATGACAGAGGCAGGAGTGCATACAGTTAGTTACCTCTGCTAAAATCACACTAAAATCTACAAAGATAGGATTAGGAGTAAAAGACATCTAGTAGATAGAGATTATGTGTTTATTGTCATCAGTTTTACCTTCTTTTATTAGTGTAAACAGTGTTGTTACTCAACAGCCTGACAGCTACAGTGGACTGAAGTGACAAGGCAATTTGAGGACATGCCTTTGGGAAATCTAAGACCTGCTTACAGCACCCTGCACTAAATACATGCCTTACTTCAGCCAAGATATATTAAAACATAGACTTAGTCAAAACACAATAATTTTACTGATTAAAATAACACTTGATATTTCAGAGATGTGCTGATCCAATCGCTTTTGACAACAAGCTAAAGACGTTAGCCACAAAAGCAGCCCCGCTAACATGACAGTTGGAGGAAGAGGGACGAGAAGCTGGCAGGAAAATTGTAGTAAACGACAGAAAAACGAAATATAAACTAACACGGACTTAAACTTGAAGTTTCTGTTGACTTCGACATATTTCCCACCTCGGCCTACTGTTAGCAGGGATGCTAACGGCTAGCATAGAGCAGCAGTGTCCCGTTCACTGCAGTGAGTCAGCACACAGCCGGCTCAGCTGCTAAAACACCGACCAAACACCGGCAAATAACAGCAACCGGAGAGACGGGGCCCGTTTAGAAACCTGAACCGGACACTTACCTATTGAATGGAGAATATCGATAGAGGCGTCGCGGTCCGTGCTGATGAGAGACTGAGCTCTCTGAAATTCAACCACTGCTGCAGCCGCCATCTTCCTTATTCAAAATGCTGCCTGAATGAAACTTACGTGCGGGGACTACGTTACTTAGCGTCCCCGACGTCACGGTGTGAACTGAACGTTGGGATTTTTAAAAGCATTCTGGGAAATGTAGGCGTATTAGAAAAGAGGTCGTAAACAGCTAAAATTCCGCTTTATGACACTTTTATCTGATAAATTAGTTTTAATAGTCGACGGTAAAGCTCTTGAATTTAATAAAATGTAGATAGCCCAACCAGGCCAGCATTTTAAGACAACATACACGATTTTTAAGAAAAAAAAGTGCATCTCAAGCGGTCTCTGCCGCTAGCAAGATGCTAAAACTCGATTTTTAAACACCTAATGATTAATTTACTTGTGCCCACTTGGTTGTTTACCTTGTACGCTCATTATAGTTATTTTATACACACACGATAAGTTTGTGTGCACAAGGTAAATAACCAAGTGGGTACAAGTCAATTATGTGTTTAAAAATCAAGTTTTAGCATCTTGCTAGCCGAAGAGACCGCTTGAGATGTACATTTTCTCTTAAAAATCATGTATGTTGGCTTTAAATGTTGGCCTGTTTGTGTTTAATTTACTGTTTAATTTAGTCAAATGTAAATTAAACACAACCAGGCCAACATTTTAAGCCAATATACACAATTTTTCGGTCTCGTCCGCTGGCAAGATGCTAAAACTCGATTTTTAAACACCGAATAGTTAATTGACTTGTACCCACTAGATTATTTACCTTGTGCGCACATTATAATTATTTTATACACACAATAAGTTTGTGTGCAAAAAAACGAGTTGAGCTATATTGCAAAAAATGAGTCATCCCCACAAGATGAATATTTAATGGACACAAGATAATGAAACTTTTCCCTTGGTATGAATACGTTTCCATCTCTATTATAACTCTATTTTTTTGGTTATATAGAAAAACAAATAAACAAAATATTGACTCGTTTGTCTTTTCTTTTTTTTACTAGATTGAATGGAATAATTGAATGGATGGATAATACACGGACCCCAGAGGGCACAAGTGATTTTGTTGTGTCTACAAGTCAATATTTGGGTACACAGCATTACAAAATACATTTCTGGGACTTGTATTCTGAATTATGTTAACACTAGTTGAGTGATATTCCATACTAATTTCTTCCCAAATGGAAATAAATTGTGTAGCTAACTCCCTGGGCATAGTGTAGGTCCATAAATCATAATGTAAAACCATAAACACGCTCTCATTAGTGACCTGAAGATTTATAGTATCTATTAGTATATTAATCATAGCAAAATATGACAAGAAATAGAAATGCACAGGGTGGAGATAGCACTGGGAGCCATTATGAGATAAAGTAGGACATTATTATAGAGGTATGTGCCTATAGAACCATAGTATGCAAACATACGCCCTCCATACGTGTGTATAGATGTGGGCTGGTTGTATGTTCTGAAGGAAATGATCTTGTGAGTTCAGTGGGTTCAGTTTTATTCATGCCTGTTGTGTGTAGCTATAGGCGGAGTACTTTCCCGGCAGAGAGCGCAGAGCGGCGCCCCACCACCGCCTTTGCGTCAACCAGCCCTCTCTCACACACACACACAGTCAGTGACACAACACAACACAACATCAGCCCTGAGCTCGCAGCATCCGCATCTCACGGCCAGCAGGACCAGGAGCACATCCTCATCCCAGCATCCATTCCACAACTGCCTCTGCCATCGTCTGCACACTGCAGAGTCACGGCGTGCTCGCTCTCTGACTCCACTCGGATTATTTCTCTTTGTTGCATTTTGTGTTCCTCGGGATGGTTTGATGTTTTAACCGCGATTGGGAGGGAAAACAGGATCCAGACGCGGAACATCGCTGTCCTAACGCAGTTACATCCCGACCGAGCAGGAATCTGGTAAGTTTGTTTTCCTTTAGAGACATATTCGTGCGAAAAAGCGTGAAAATTATGAGTTTTTGTTAAGAAAAATAGATCCGTAGTTAAATTTAATCGAGGAAATATGTCAGTAAACCAATTATACACGGTCTAATCTAAGAACAAAAAGCAAGATATAAACATCTACATGGGGGAGATAAGGATTTTCATGGTTTTGCCCCCGCCTTTTACGCCCTGCATTTTCATTTCGACGCAGCCGCTCAGATTCAGCACCACGGAGAGCTCCCGATGTGCACAAGTGCTCCTCCCAGCCAGCACCCCTGCATGCTTTAAATTCAACCCCCTTCAGCCACATTAAAGCTGCTGCTGTGGAATTTACCCGCTATTAACGAATCTGGTTGATGGGAGGGTGATGGAATGAAGGATCGAGCCGCCTGGATCCTGCGCATGTCGATCCATCGCGTCTCTTTACAAACGCAGAGGTACCGCAGTGAGGAGGAAAACATGTCGTGCAAAGAAATAACATCTTATTTTCTCATTGTTTTCATCTTATTTTAAAAGGAGGTCACAGATTTGACCTTGGATTTGCGCTTTAACTCTGTGAATCTGATGTGAATCAGCTCGACCTTCACCTGTTATTAAGGTGTTTACGTTTCTGTCTTCCATTTTAGTGAGAGGGGTGGCGCGTGGTTCACTCGTCGGCCATTGCCCATAAAATATGAATCTCTCACCATGAAATATTAATGCATTTACTATATAGAATCCATTTATACCGAATGTGGTGCAGGATTCTTTTGAATACTTGATGCACAATCACATTCTTGATTATTTGCACGTTCTTCTCCTGCATATTTAAAACGCAGATTTTGCATTACACCACTCTAAAAGCTTTATAATGTTAGCATTGATTGATCGTGTGCTGCTAGGAGGATCCATACTGTTTGAATTTATTAGTATGAGCTAAAGGCTGATCCATTCCTGCTCCTACTGAGTCAGATCAATGCTGCTTATCAGCCTGAGGTCCAATCAGATAAAGCACTTTGCAGAAGGACTGAGATTGTATCAGTTATAAGCCGGATCATTATGGATTTTAAACAACATCGACAATATTTTTAGCACTTTTTGGAAACACCAATGTATGATCAAAAGGTGGAATGGATTTTTCTGATTATTTTTCTGATTATTGATCTTTTCTGCCTCCAGCAGGCGCAGACAGAGAGCTGAAAAACAAAAGAGACCGTTAAAGCCAAAGCGATCGCATCTCCCCGGTTTTAGATGCCCAGCTGCAGCCTGTAGCCCGGGACCCTTCAGCTCCCAGAAGCAACGAGGCTCTGAGACACTCAGGACCCCCCCTCTGGTAGACGCTCCTTTGACCCAGTGCGGCTGAAGCCCCTGGACGCCCTCCACCGTCACCATGGGAACCGTGCTGTCTCTATCCCCCAGCTACAGGAAGGCGGCTCTGTTTGAGGACGGCCCTGCCACCGTGGGTCACTACACGGCCGTCCAGAACAGCAAGAACGCCAAAGACAAGAACCTGAAGCGCCACTCGCTTATCAACGTGCTGCCATGGAAACGGATTGTAGCAGTGTCGGCGAAGAAGAAAGGCTCCAAGAAGGTGCAGCCCAACGGGACCTACCAGAACAATGTCACCCACCTGAACAATGAGAACCTGAAGAAGTCGCAGTCGTGCGCCAACCTGTCCACCTTCACCCAGGATCAGAGCACCCCAGCTCTCACCAAGACCTCCAACAACACAGCATCGTCCGTGAAAAAGGCCCCTCTTGCCAACTCCAATGTGGCCCCCGGGACCCCAAAGAGGGTGATTGTGCAGGCCTCCACCAGTGAGCTCCTGCGCTGCCTGGGCGAGTTCCTGTGCCGGCGCTGTTACCGGCTCAAACACCTGTCACCCACTGACCCTGTGCTGTGGCTGCGCAGCGTGGACCGCTCCCTGCTCCTCCAGGGTTGGCAGGACCAGGGCTTCATCACCCCGGCTAATGTGGTCTTTGTCTACATGCTATGCCGTGACGTGGTCTCCTCTGAGGTAGCCACGGAGCACGAGCTGCAGGCCGTGCTGCTCACCTGCCTCTACCTGTCCTACTCCTACATGGGCAACGAAATCTCCTACCCGCTCAAGCCCTTCCTGGTGGAGAGCTCCAAGGAGACCTTCTGGGACCGCTGCTTGTCCATCATCAACCTGATGAGCGCCAAGATGCTGCAGATCAACTCAGACCCGCACTACTTCACTCAGGTGTTTGCGGACCTGAAGAACGAGAGCCAGAAGGAGGAGGAGAGGAGCCGCCTGCTCATCGGCCTGGACCGGTGAGGGAAAGCTGGGGGGAGGGGGGAGCATAGAGGGGGTTAGGGGGAGGTGGGGCGTACTCCAGTCTGGCATTTTGACACGTTTGAAAGGATTTTTGTGATGATTTTGATACGTCATGGTTGAAACTGCTGTCGGTTGAGGACAATTGGTTAGGATTTGACATTCAGGCATAATCAGGTATAAAACAGGGATGATAAAGTCGACTTGTCGGCGCCTTTCTTACATCAAAGTGCTTCAAAATGAGGAAAAGAGAAATAATTAAATGAGAGCTAAAATCACAAAGAAAGGGTTTAAATTTAATAAAACTAAACGTTTAAAAAGGCCAGCAGGACAGTCTAAAACAAAGTCTGATGATATACAGACACAGAAAACCAGTCTGTATCATCCTCAGTCCTCACAGTCTAAAAAACTCTCTTGGCCTCTAAAGTTTTTCGTCTTTCTTACTGATGCCCATGACGGCATTTATAAATTATAGTGAATTTAAAGTTAAGTGTGTCTGCAGGGTACCTGGATGGACATCAAAAATTAAAAGAAAAGAAGTATAATGAAAGAGTGAGGCTGTGCTAGCTGGACTCTAAAGTGAGGAGAGGAGCATTAACTAGTTACTTAAGATAGAGGGACTTTTTGAGCATCTGTATGTGAGGCTGTAACTGAAAAAACAGGTTAGGAGGTGGGAAAGAGAGCAGGCTAAGCTAGCTAAAGGCTGGTCTCTTTTATTGGGAAAGAAAACAGCCTAAGCTAGCTAAAGAAAGCAGGCTAAGCTAGCTAAATGAACAGCCTAAGCTAGCTAAAGGTTTTACTCTTTTGTTGGGGAAGAAAACAGCTTAAGCTAGCTAAAGGCTGTTCTCTTTTGTTAGGAACAAAAACGGGCTAAGCTAGCAAAATGCTAAAGTGAGGAGAGTAGTATTTACTAGTTTCTTAAGATAGAGAGACTTTTTGAGCATCTGTATGTGAGGCTGTAACCGAACAAACAGATGAGGAGGTGGGAAAGAGAGCATACTAAGCTAGCTCAAGGCTGTATTCTTTCATTGGGAATAAAATCAAGCTAAGCTAGCAAAAGGCAGTTCTTTTTATTTAAGAAACACAATTGGGCTACGCTAGCTAAATGAACAGGCTAAGCGGGCTAAAAGCTGTACTCTTTCATTGGGATAGAGAACAGGCCAAGCTAGCTAAATGAACAGGCTAAGCTAGCTAAAGGCTGTTCTCTTTCGTTAGGAATAAAAACAGGCTACGCTAGCTAAAGGCTGTTCTCTTTCATTGGGAAAGAGAACCTTTAGCTAGCTAAAGGATATAGTTAAAAAAGGAGTAGCCTATTAACTAGTTGCCTAAGATAGAGGGACTTGTTGAGCATCTGTTTGAAAGGCTGTAACCGAACAAACAGGTTAGGAGGTGGGAAAGAGAACAGGCTAAGCTAGCTAAAGCCTAAAGTGAGGAGAAGTTGTAGCTTGTTGTTTACGTTGTTTTACTTCAAATTAACTCCTTTTTTCCAATTTTAAATCGTGTTTAATGGATAACAGTCGCTCTGCTAGCCAGGAGCAGGAGGGGAAAGGCGACTGTCATCCGTTTGTCTGAGACGTGCATCAAATAATCGAGGCCAAATTCTATTTTCAAGCGAGCAAAGGATGGATAATCTGTAACCTGAGAATGAAAGCTTTTTTGAGTGCTACTGAAACAGAAAAAAATGCCAGACTTGGGTAAATCCTTTTGCTTACATACAGATATATATCTATATAAATCTTTCAAAAACATTCAGAAAAAGGACTGAACAAAAAGAGACACTAGAAAAGGGAGCAAACATCTACAGCAATGAATGTGGACAGGACTGAGGCTGCAGCAGCCCACCAGTGACCTTCTGACTGTTTGACGATGTGATGTGCACTGCCTACTGCAGGAGGGTGAGGGCCATCGCCTGACTGGCTTTCTCCACGCATCACAGATGAGCGAGCATCCACGGCTGCAAAACCCGGCTCTCTGGAACGCCAACACCACCGTCTCCTCCCCTCCATTACCACGGATACGACCAGACAATTTCTGCTGCAATGCCTATCTGAAAAAGAACGGCAGCGGCCATTAATGCTGGATCCATGTTTTTGCAGGACTTTTACGCTACCAGGGAAGAGTGGATGGACTTTATGGTTGCATTGCATTGTGGGACTTTTGATAAGAGGACATCAGCCGGAGGAGGTATGGCCACCGTTAAGTGGTCATACTGTGTATTAAAACTTTATTTTCATCTAGAAAAAATACAAGTTAATGGATGTTTTACTCCCCAGAGGCTAACACCGATGGAGGCTTATTTATTGCTTTTCTGGAACAAGTTTTCGTTGATTTTCATTCTTTTTTACTTAGAAATGTAACGTTTTGCACGTGTGCCATGCGATTTTTTTTTTTCAAGGAGGAGAGCAGGAGCAACTATTACATTACTTCTTTTTACTTGATTTAAAAACCAACTGCATCTGCATTAGAGAATGCTGTGAACAAAGTGACACTAGTTTTTTTTAGCTATGCTTGCTAAAATAGGCTATTTGTTTAACCAGGGAACTTCTTTTTGTACTGTTGTCGATAGGTTGTGTTGCAACCACTCTTGAATGATGTTTTTGATTTTGTGCTTATGATTCAGCATAGAAAATGTTAAAAACAGTGCCATATCTTTGATGGAAACCCCACAAGTCTGAGAGCTACTGAACTGTTTGTCCTGCTGGTGGTTGCCGGGAGGGGGGGATTTTCATCTTCTAATAACTACTTACTGACACCTAATTTATTGCCATTTATGTATTTATTTAGGCACATTTGATGTAAATGGAAGAGGAGATTTTGCAAAGGGAAGGACATGATGTGAGGAGGTTTTGCAGGTGTGCTTATCTTTGGTGGGAATGAAGATTGATTTGGTTTATGCAAATGGTTGTTGCAGGTATTCATTGATCGACATGTAATTAGAAAGCCCTTTAGATCAAAACCAATGCTTAATCTGACCATCACCAAAGTCACATCAACAAGGACACCTTGAGGAACACAACACTGACATTAGCGCCCTGAAAACATCTTTTTATCCTGCAACACTGGAGCTAACCCGCCCTGCTGTGCCACATATCACAGATAGTAAGCACACGCGTTTTTCCACCAGAATAAAACGACTCTATCTGCAGAAAAGCACAGCTTACCTTGAGGATAATCCATCTGCATCACCTCTTTGTTAGAACAAATGCAAGGTAGGATGTAGGAGCTGCAGCAGATGAGGATAACACTCGATTAAATGGTGTGCAACAGCCAAAACAGAGAGCATGCAGCAGCTTCAGTATTTCTCTCCTCAATCGTATGAGAAAGTGGTTTCTCTGATCATCCAAACAAAGAGAAACTCTGCAGACTCTTTAGCGGTGTTAATGGACAGGCTGTGCCAACAAAAGGCTTCTGTCATGTTTTTAAAGTTGTTCCAAGAGAGCGGAAGGCTTCCCCCGTCTGCTGTGTTTGTGTGAGTCAGAGGAAAATGCAGCTCCGATTGTCACATCCTGGAGTTAGATCAATGACAGAAACTTCTTTTGGAGCGTTTTTTTTAGCCGCACAAAAAAGAGGGCGCAGACTTTGGATGGGCTTCTGCTCTGGCAGGAAAAAGCAGGTGATCTGGGTCCCCGAAAAACAAAGACCCTGAATCCTTTTCTGTCCGTCCACCTGCCCCGACTCACTTGAAATGTGCCATTTTTTTCCCACTTTGCATCATTGAGTAGTTGTTTGAGACTTTCAAAAGCTTATAAAATATGAAAAAAGACTCAAGTGATAGTTCAAGATTTCTGTCAAATTCTTTTCTGTATCTTGTTGCGTACTTTGTAGATAAAAACGACGAAACAGTGGTGAAGAGGTTCAAAAAGGGAGACATTTGAGGGCTGCATGTGTGTGTGAACGTGTGTGTGAGTGTGTGTGTGAGTGTGTGAATGGCAGTGTTTTATTTGTACAGAAGAATGTGTGACACATTGTTTTCTTATGGACTCGGAGTAAACACAGATCACACTGGTACCAGGACTTGGTTTTCCCTTCGCAGTGGTGAGGGAGGGGCGTCGACGCTGTTCAATAAAAATGTTCTTTTTGGAAAAAGACAAAAAAGCTCTCGCTGTAATTGAAAATTTTTTCAGTTAGTTTCTGCTTATTTTAATTTATTTTTGTACTGTGATGGAAAATAAAAATGCACTGATCGTTCAAGACGGCCGTTTGTCTTTTTGTGCCTGACTCACAGGTGGTTATTTAGTCCAGATCAGCACTTTTTCTACATTAGATGATCATGCTAACATCCATTTTTGCAAGTTTCCAATTATTTATCACTGGTTTTGTGTGCCAAGTTTCTGTAGACGTGTTTTAATATCAAGGTCTCAACAGCCAGTGTTTTTAGGGCAGTTTTAAATCTCTGTATAGGATATTATTCACAGGATTCAGTGGTTTGATTTCCACCCCATATTCCACATGACCACGTGTCGGTTCCTTGAAGAGAATACAATTAATTGCGAATCCTTTTCCACCCTCAAACTGATAAACTTTGGACACTGAGGACACGAACTGTTGAAGCTTTGGAGATGGAAGTCTTTCCCATCCTTCATTGATGGACCACTTTAGCCACTCAACAGTCCGGGGTCCTCTTTGGGGTATTTTGGGCTTCCACTGGTCCTTTTCCTCTTTAGCACCACGTCCATGAGAAGATGGCGGCGTCTCTTGTTTTGGCTCTACATGGAAGAGTTTGAACTCGCTCTTGAAGATATAGAGACGAACTGTGTTAACAATGGTTTTCAGAAGTCCTGATTCCACGTGCCAATGTCTTGATGTAGGTTGTTAATGCAGAAGGTGCCTGAGGTGTCGAAGGTCACGGTCATTCGATGTTGGTTTTGGGCCTTGAGATTTCTCTGGATTCCCTGAGCGAAGATTCTTAAACCTCTTCTAGGCAATCCTGGTTTTCAATCTGGACAAAGGGGTCAACCTCTTGGACCTCCGAACCAGCCGTCAGAACCATTTCCTGTGCTCTAGCACAATTTCTCTCACGGTTTAAAAACAGCACCTAAAACGCATCATCCCCCTGTTAGGCTTACGTCGTTTCGCGGTTGTTACATGACGCTGACTCATCTGTTTGTTTTTTTTTTTTTTTTTACCAAAGAGTCACCAAATTAAAACAAAGGCTCAAAGCTCTACAGTTTCGGATGAACAAAGAAAATTATAATCAAAGAAAACAAAAGAGTGTTGACTCATAAAACAGGGAAGAGGAGCACCGTGACGCATTAGTCCTTTAAGTGACTATGACGTGTTTTTTTTAGTTAATGTATACTGTAAAAAAATCAGCAATCTCTCCAATTAAAGGAGACTGAGCAAATGTATAAGAGGAGTACCAGCACCTAACATTTTTACATGGATACACTAGTAGCTGGTGGACCTGTGGACCACTTTTAAGCTCTCAAAGAGAGGTGTTGAACCCGCGTGTTTCATGTGGTTTCGCCCAAACCCTAATCATTCCCCACCTGTCTGATTAGGGTAGGTCTGTCAGCCGAGTTACACCGGATAATTTTCACCAAATAGACTTGAGTTATATTTAAGCAACCTTAATTCATCAGTCTCCTCTAAAGCTGTGTTAAATCAATCTATACGCAGACGATACGCTGTTCTATATCCAAGAAAAAGAGTCCCCCTCATCAGGAATGACTGCCTCATCTTCATTACTCCAAGCACTTTACATGCAGACTGATTATTTTGTCTGCATGGAAAGGTCTGACAACCGAGTTTACACCTGATCATTTTAACTATATTGACTAGAATTATGTTTAAACAACCTCTTTCGTGGATCTCGTTAAATTCATTTTTCAGTCTCCTCTAAAGCTGTGGTAAATCAATCTGTACGCAGACGATACGCCGTTTTATATCCCAGAAAATGAGTCCCCCTCATCAGGAATCACTGCTGCGTCTTCATTACTCCGAGCACTTCCCATGCAGACAGATTATTTTGGGTCAGTTCACTCTTCACAGATCACTCTCTGTCCATTAATTCCAATTTATTCAACCAGCAGGTCAGTCAGCGCCGCTTTACTTAGTCACTGCCCTTTGGGAAGGAGGAGTCCTCCCACTCCGCGCAGCCCGATATTCATCCATCAGCCAGTGGATTAAAACCCCCCTGCTGCGACTGCCGCTGATGGCTCACACAGTGGGAGTGGGAGGTGGCGTTGTCATGCCGACTGCAGTGGTTTCAGCCGTCACCACGTCACTCAGTGAAATAGCTGCCAGTGGGCGGATTAACGCTGAGCTCCAGCGAGGCATTTCAACATCTCAGGTTGACGGTTTCCGGCAAATTCTGGAGAAATATTTGACATCAGTAAAAAAATCAGATAATTAAACACAACACCAGGAAGCGGCTGCTGAAGCAAATAAATTTATTAATAAACTGATTAATGACATATTTTCCTTATTGAATATCATGGAATACATAATCTGCATTTATACAGAATACATTTGCACAAAAATAGTAGAACAACAATGAAGTTCCCTTTAGTCTGGATCTGGATACGACAGTATAACTGTGGAATGTGATCACAAATATGCAAAATATAAACTTGATATAAAATAAGGCACTTATTGAAACGCGCAGGTTTGACTTTAAGCCACAGGAATGAATGATGGAGAAAGAAGTGGACAGTTTTATCTTTTGGCGAACAGTGACGGGTTCGAGAAGGAGAGTCTGACATTTAAGAATCAGCTGTGAAGGACAGAAAAAGAGGAACACAATGGCACAAGTTTTCTAGAGTTAACATTCAAAAAGGGAATATTCAGAAATAAAAGGGTGATTTAATAAGACAGAAGCTGGTAACACACACGGCAGAAATCACAACGTGAAAAGATGAAATTTACCGAGCTTTAACTCTTAGTGTTTGTACTCCACTTTTAACTGTCGTGTTATGGACCCTGTATTTTGTATAATTTGGGGTTTGAATGACTAGAAGGTGCAAAAAGTTCAATTTTTTCCAGGAATGAGTCGCTTTAGCAGGTAGTGAAGTGTCCATTTAAAGTCCGTCCAACCAGAGGTCTTGTTTTTGAAACGGCATACCCAGATCGTCATGCCAGAAATCTGTTGGGGATGTCACTGAGACCCTGTTTGTGTTTGAATCAGTCAATGGACACGACACGATCACATCACCAGGTTTGAGAAGTCAACCTAACGTCAGATGTAGATGCTGCACCAATGTTGGGTGTTGATGTCAAGTTTTTAAACCAGCAAACATCAGGTTATGATGTTCAACACAGAACAGATCAACCCCAAAGTCAGGTACTTCACCTCGACATCAGGTTTTAAAGTTGACCCAGTGCGAAATTTTGACACCAAGAAATCAGATTTGATGTCAGCCAGCATAAGATGGTGTTTCTGAAACCTGCACCTTTACCTTCGCCATCTCTCTCCTCAAACATTAATCTTGTTAAGAAATAACTTCAGGGGCTCATTTTCCAGTGATATGGCTGAAGTATAAACCGGTTGACTTGGTGCCGTGAGAGCCAAAGATATGGCAGAGGAGTCTGGGTGTATTCAGAGACTGATTAATGAAGTGTCCTCTTTGAATGCGATGACAGAAAGTGTTCGAGAAAGTCGATGAAAAGTTGGACAAGACGCAGAATAGACTCCCTGAGAGTTGGCATTTTTTTGACAAGGGGGAGAAATTTGTGAGAGTCTTTGCCAAGAAAGTCTTTCAGGCTGAAATGACGCCTGTGGGTACGATGATTCACTGATTTTACCGTAGAGAGACTGACAAAGGGCTCGAACAGACAGAAAAAAAAACAACACAAAACTGCACGGTTAACTCGGAGAATCTGGCTGTATCCTCGTTTCAAAGGAGCTCTCTGAACCGCTGCAGGACAAATATTAGTGAGACGCTCCAGAAACACTCCAGTAAAGCTGAAAATCTTCTCTCTGTTTGATCTGAACATACTTCAGCCTCTTTCACACAAACTTACAAAGCTGCGTGTTCGCACAATATCAAGATGAGAGGGGTAGAGGGCGAGGGACGGAGGATAAGTCAGGACATCAAAAGGAGAAGTGCAAAATGGTGCAAGAAGAAGAAGAAAGAGACACCTGCGCTGGTTTTACATTTTCATCTATGCTACAGTACGTGCAAAAGAAACAAAAACATCCTGAAAATATTCCTTCATTCACTCGTTGCTCTCTCAGTTTTGCACCAATGATATAAACGTCATCATCCACGCCTGAATGTTTCCTGCTGCGTTCTCACGTCAGCTCACTCCATCTTCATTACTAACCCTCTGAACTGAACCAGATCCTTGCACAAATCATGTTCGGCCCATCTCCTCTGTGTCACAGCGGCAGAGCTGATGGATTTCTCTCTTGTCAACATATAAGAGAAGATTATCATGGAGGCAGAAGAACCACTGATTCGATGAGAACCTGAAAAATCCTCGGTCTCTAAACTATAGATAACAGCACTTTTCTGCTGTCCTTACAATATCAGCACTCAGAATAAAACAACATACTGACTTGCAGTAAAATCCACTCGCTTCGTGAGCCCGGCTGATAAACTCTGTGCTACAGAGATAAAACTGTCAGGATCTGATCTCTCAAACATAAACATAATCTGTGATGATTCATGTTAAAGGGATATTCCGGCGTAAAATTAATTTAGGGTCAAACACACGTAACACAGAGTTAGACACCACCTCCAGAGATGAATGTTGCCGACCGCTTGCTTCTCAAGTCATCAACAGGACATATAGGGTCACAGACACAGTACTAGCCTCCAAACATCTTTTTAACTTTGCTTGATTTCTTCAGCAAAGAGACTAAACACAACTCACCTACTCTCATCCAGCAGCCGTTTGTTTGTAGGGAGACCTCAGGCCAGTCCATTACAGACTACAGCGGGGTGACGCAGCTCAAGGAAGAACATTTATGATCATTTCTTTATCATTCGGTCTGATTGTATTTCCATGAAGAAATGATCATAAATGTTCTTCCTTGAGCTGCGTCACCCCGCTGTAGTCCGTAATGGACTGGCCTGAGGTCTCACTACAAACAAGCGGCTGCTGGAAGAGAGTAGGTGAGTTGTGTTTAGTCTCTTTGCTAAAGAAATGAGTCAAAGTTAATAAGATGTTTGGTGTCTAGTACTATGGCTGGGACCCTTTATGTCCTGTTGATGAAGTTAGGTGCTGTCCTCAGACCACTGTGTGTTGCTATCCTGTGGTCGTTACTAAAGTTGGTAAAACTAGAGAAGCCAGCGGTCAGCAACATTCATCTCTGGAGGTGGTGTCTAACTCGGTGTTACGGTGTGTTTGACCCTAAATTAATTTTACGCTGGAATATCCCTTTAATAGTTTAAGAAAATAGTTGGTTTTGTTGGTGACTGACTCTACTAGCTGGAGGCTGCCACATTTGTTTTGATCTGTAAGCCAATCAGAGGCTGTATCTGTGATTAGCCGACCTGTAACGGTCCCGCCTCTGACTCCTAAGGAACTGACACAGACTCGGGTCATTAAGCTGAATTGAAAGGCATTGGTCGAGTGATGCTGATCGGGTTTTGACGAATAATAGGAATGTGAAGTCCAGTTGAAGTGTTCATACATGTCCTAGGTTTTGGGAAGTTTCTGGAGGTTTTGTGCATGTGTGAATACATCTGTTGTTGGTTTGGGTCTTTAATAAAACTTGTTGATCAATAATAACAAAATTAATAATATGTGAATTTATCTGCTCCTATTGTCTGACATGTTCAGTATCTGCTCAGTCCTCTCCTCATTGTCTGATTTTTCTTCTTGCTGGTGTTGTTTCCCTTTTTATTTCCACGCCTCCCGGGCACATGACAGCTGAGGGGAAAAAAAAAAAAAGAAACAGAAAAATCGAAGAAACCCTCAGTGCCCTGCAGGACGGTACAGTCAGCCCAAGTGGGCGAGGAGTGAAATGATTTGACAGAGGAAGAGGAGTGGAGGGAGAAAGGGAGGGGAGGAGCTGAGAAGAAGAAGAAGAAGAAGAGGAGGCCAAGCGAGGCTTTGTTCACAAACCCCCTTTAGCCTTAAGAAAGCAGAGAGAGAAGCGCTGAAGTGAGGAGTGACATGGACTCCATCCTAATGATGAGTGGTGAATAGTGGAGCGGAGAGGAGGAGAGGCCCTGTGGGAGATTACACTGCTGAAGGATATGGAGAGTGCAGTATTATTGTCCACTATGAAAAACGCCTACGAACGCAACCCATGTCACTTCCTTAATCCACGCCATGAATGCCCCCAAGTGTCAGCCGCCACCGCGCCACCAGGCAGGACGGAGAGTTCCCCGTTCCTTCAAAAGACGGGAGAGCTCGCTCGCAAACTAATTAAGATAAACGACTCGTTCAGGAAACACTCAGGCACAAAACAGAGGGTGAAAACCGCTGCCCAACGTTTGTCCTTCTCTGTGAATTTAAGTGGACAAGAGGGAGCGAGGACTCGTGACCCTGAGCTGTCAAATCCTCGGCCCACGGTCGCCGCTCTTTACTTTGTCTTTGTGAGGAAACACTTGAGCGACAAAGTGAGAGAAGGGGGGATGAGATGGCGAAGGAAGTGAGGCCGGGCTGATGTAAACACGCGTAATTATGCTGTAAAAAGTGCAGTTTTAAAGGGATATTCCGGTGTAAAAGAAAGTTACGATTAGACACACCGTAATACCGAGTTAGACACCCCGTCCAGAGATGAATGTTGCCGACTGCTTGAGTGGGGTGACACAGCTCAAGGAAGAACATTTATGATCATTACTTTATCACTTTATCATCAGCATCTTGGTCTGATTGTATTTCCATGAAGAAATGATCATAAATGTTCTTCCTTGAGCTGCATCCCCACGCTGTAGTCCCTAATGGACTGGCCCGAGGTCTCGCTACAAACAAGCGGCTGCTGGAAGAGAGTAGGTGAGTTGTGTTTAGTCTCTTTGCTAAAGAAATCAGGCAAAGTTACAAAGATGTTTGGTGGCTGGGACCCTATATGTCCTGTTGATGACTAGAGAAGCAATCGGTCGGCAACATTCATCTCTTGACAGGGTGTCTAACCCGGTGACCCTAACTTAATTTCAGCCTGAATATCCCTTTAATACGTGCTCTGATGGAGCCTCAAGTGGACACAAAAGGAACTGCAGTTTTTTGTTTGTTGTTTGGTTACAGGTCTGATCTTTTATGCGAACTTCACTGCAGCTTAATATGTGGTTAACTCTTGGCTCCAAATGCTATGCTAACCTGGAGGACTAAACTCGACAATATTAGCCACACTTCACAAACTAACTTGATAATTCATCCAGGCTCAATAATAAGGCTCTATTTTGACTGTTTTCTGACGGTTTGGACTCTATTTGTGGCGCAGAAGCTGGAAATAGGACATATTGTTAAGTGCTAACTTTGCAGACATCCTGTGAAAACCGAACAAACAAAACTGCGAGAGTTCAAGCGCTCCTGATTGGATCCGTAAGAATTGGCTTAAGAAAACTGAACAAAGTTTAAGCGGCGGCATCATCGGATGAAAATCGAGCCTCTGAAAAAGATCCTCCGTTCCTCGTACAAAGAGTCGCTCCCGTGGCTGAACAGGGAGGTAAAGTAGGACAGCAGTCTGATTACAGACTTCACAGCCGTCTGTCTGCACTGCTTCACTGTGGCCATTAGCCAGGCTCTCAGCGCCAGAGCCAAAGAGAGGAGAGCGAACACACACACTCACACTCTCACACACACACTCTTTCTCCCTGTTGAAGGGGATATTTATCAAATGGAAGTCTATTCCAAACGACTAAGGGCCACTACAAGTCATTAGTCCATTCACACAACATAAAGACAGCAAATGAGGTTGTGTTCAGGGGCTGCAGCTCACGTGGGAGAACACAGTACTGGCCTGCAACACTTGAGAGTATGACCTTACATACTTTGAATTATTATTATCTTCATGTTTGCCTTCTGTTATTCAGTTATAGTGTTTTTTTAAGCTGAGTAATGCATTTTCTAACCTTTAACATACCTGATTATTCTTTCACTATACAGACGTCGTAGTAGAGATTATAAAAAAGCAGGATTTAAATTACAAAGTTCAGGATTAACTCGGGATATGCTCAACACATCCAAACATTTAGACACTGACTGAATCCGCCGACTCACACTTCATTCTCGCTGTTCCCACGTGTGATTGTAAAAATTTACAGACCTACGAGGAGACTCTGCGTTTCCTTCCGTTTACCCCGCAGGAGGGCGAGTCTTCATTTCTGCTCTTTTACCAAAGATAAAGAGTTTTTTTTTTCCTCTATTCTCTCGCTCATAAATATCGTGTCGCTTCATTTTCAGGGAGCATTTTTTTTTGGGATCTGGCGCCTGCACAGAGAGAGCTGCAGGGATTATAACTTCCTGCAAAGCCTTTTGGATTTTTGTCCAATTATGCAACCTCAGCAGAACGGTTGCGGGATAATCTCCTCTCACCTTGACTGGAAACATATTCCATCTAAACGCTGCACAGAAACTGAAACTTTGATTTTAAACAAAAAAGATGCTATGTTCATGGATTTTTTTCTAGTAGTGCATTTAAAGAATAAGTCCTTTAGCGTTAAACGTACTGCATGTAGGCATTTTGCACAATTTCTGTTGAAGTTACGTCACGTAATAATCGACAAAACAGGTCAAATTTGGCATGGCTTTGTATCCTGGAGGAGTCAATTAAGTAAAACCTCCTCCTGAGCTGCTGCATGAGTCGTCTCGTTATCGGCAGCTCAAGTGAATCAGACATGAATCATCATCATCATCATCATCATCACCCCGGCTGGTCTGGAATCAGCTGTCAGCTTCTTTTTCTGCTTTGGACCTGTTGTTGTTGTTTTTTTTTTAGTTGCCGGGGACAGCGAGGATGTAACCAGACCGGCTCTTGGTGAAGTCAGGCTGTGATTGGTTGATCTTTGGCTCCACGATAACCGTGCACTTCCTGCCGTTCATGCTGCACTGGATGGGGCTGGATATGTTCACCTGGAGCTTTCTCTTCTCACTGGAGGACAGATGGAGAAAAAAAGGAAGAAAAAAGAGAGAAATGTAGATGTTACTGATAATAAAACAACCCTTCACCTCTTCTAATAATAATAATAATCATAAATTTTATTTATAACATGCTTTTACAGGTGCTCAAAGACGCCTTACAAAGAAAAGAGGAAATGAAACAAAAACACAATTTAAAATACAGAAAATTTTGAGAAATAAAACCAACAATGTGAAAGGTTAAAAAAGACACAATATGAAAAGATAATAAAACAACAATTTTTACAATTTCAATAAAATAAGAATAAAATTGAATGAATTATAAAATGCTCTTATTAAAATTATGGCATTTGCCCAAACCCTGGCCACCCCAATCTCTGTCAGTGTCCCACCAGGGCCACCCCGGTCTAAAAAGCTCGGACACGCCTCTGTCCTCAGCTCATTGGTTTAGACAACAAAGATCAGGAAACACAAACAAACACAATCAGAGTTTCTCATCCTGTCTTCTTACTGCAGCTCTGACACGTCAGCAGTCTGCTTCAGCAGCTTCTTATTACATCAAGTCGTAGTTTATTGTACAGGAATAAAATATGCAGGTCCATTAGTGACTCTTGTGTATCTCTGAGTGTGTGTTTGTGTGTGTGAGTGTGAGACAAAAAGAGTAAGAGCAAAAGTACGGGGGGCTGTTGAGGCCATAAATCATCTCTGCCTGCGCACGGCATCATAATCTCACAAATATACCACATTCATCTCCACACACACACACACACACACACACACACACACACACACACACACACACACACACACACACACACACACACACACACACACAAACATCCTGCTATATACAACTTTAAATGCACAGTCACTCTCACACACATTTGTCGCTGTTTGGGTCATAAATCACCCTCACATACACAAATGTTCGTTCATATAAACTCAATCATTCCCAGTAATGCATACTATTCCACTTTTCCTACACACACAAACACACACACACACACTCACACATACTATAATACTCCGTACAGCAGTGCAGTCACTCTGGGGGTGATTTTGTTTGTGAATGAAAGTGAAGTGAGAGAAACTGTGTGGGAGAACGATGATGTGCCGCGTGAGTAAAGAGGAAGTTTTCAATTATTCAGCCGAGCTCTGGGACGTTCTGTCGTCGTGCTGTAACTGTATTATTACGTTTTCATCATTCGTCATCTCTTCTGCTCGCTGCTGATCCGAACAGATGATCCCATCATATGTGATCAGGGTAGAATACTGTAACACTAAAGTTCCTCATGTCGGATTCTCTGAATTTTGTTCTTTATACCCTCCTTGACCTCTCGCTGTGCTTCTCTATATTCTCTACTCTGTGTATCATCTAGTATCTCTGTTATCTATACTGTGAGTCTGTCATGAAGTCAGAACTGAGTTTGTAGACAAAGATTTTCTCAGATCCCTGAATAAAACTCTCCATCGGTCCAGTTTTGACGCTGCTGGTCGGACTTTCCATCCAGAGTCGGTCAGATCCCCGAGGGCAGACTTAGTCCTTCACTGGACAGCCTCTCCAGCAGCACTGGAAAATCAATTCTTCCGTTTTTCCCTGCCCTCCCCCTCCTCCATCCTCTTTGTGTGTCTTTGCCCTTCATGCCATGTGAGTCCAGGCTCACTCGCTCCCAAACGTACCTCCTCCTCCTCCTCGTTTTGGAAGGATGGAGCAGAGAGGATAAATGAGCTGGGAGGATGGGAGCGAAGAGAAATGGGAGTTCAAGTGAGTGTAAAAGTTGAAGGCAAATTTTCAAGGCCCTGGAGAGCTGTAAGGGATATTGGCTGCAAACTTTAATCTTAAAAGTCATCTAAACAGTTTGGCTTTACAAAGTTGTTTTCCACAACTTTTTTTAGCAGATTTGTGTATCTACAGTCAAATTCATATAATCTATTATTATTTATTGTGCTCCTGAGTGTTGTATTGTTCCTTATGCTTTAATACAAGTGCTCTGAAATTAAATTAAGCCAATCAAAAAAAGGGGATAGATGAGAGTTTTCACAGACTTTTGAACTTTCTATCAGTGGTCAGCGATGGATTTGTGAAGGTAAAAGGAGTACAGGCACAGAGGACATGCTGTTAACTAAAGACAACAGAGGTATAAGATTTGATAAATGAGTCTTGTGGAGCGCTGGTTTGGTTGTAAAGACTTGATGAGCCTGAGTGGATAATTCTGTCGTAATGATGAACAAATACTATCATCAGGAAGTCTAAGCAACATGATGGCAGAGAGCAGGATGGTGAGAACAGATGAAAAAGCTTCACAAAAACTGAACTTTGTGGACTTTGGTGAAAAAAAAGAGGTGAGACGAGATGGAATATAAATTTTTCTTCGCTGTTTTTTAGACTAAATTTTTTCTTTTTCTGTTTTTTTTGGACATTTTTTTCCTTCTATTTTTTGTATGAATATTTTTTCCCATCTTCTTGTTTTTGGGACTTTTTTTTTGTAACCTTTTTTTTTCCATCTTTTTTTTTTTCTGACTATTTTTTTTTCTTCTGTTTTCTTGTACCTATATTTTTTTCTCTCTTTCTATTTTTGGAGACATTTTTATTCTGTATTTCGTACCTTTTTTTCCGTCTTTCTGTTTTTCCGAATATTTTTTTTACTGACTAAACGAGATACTTTAAAATCCTGCGAGAATCTCATACAATCAGATAACATTAACCATTGCGTCTGCTCTAAATCAGCGTATTCTCCAGCTCCTAGATAACTTTGACTACAGGGTCAATGAGAGTAAAAGATGTTATTAGTAGTAAACATAGGGTAGGCAAATCTTGAGGTTCCTGTTTACGATGATTCCATCTATCTGACTTAAAGAAAGGAGGATCTCTCAATGTCTCAAACCCCCCAAAAAGTAAAACTTGATTAAACTAAACATGTGGGCCATGTTTGCTTTCAATAAATCGAGCAGAGGGGGAAGAAAGCGTCTGTTTTTAAATGATCATGATTCCAGAGAAAAGGAAAAACAATTAGTCTGGAAAACAAAACAACAAAAATATTCAGAAAAACAGAAAAAAAAAAAACTGTCTGAAAAAGCTTTTTTTTTTTGGTGAATGCAATATACTTCCGTACCTGAGAGAGCTCCTAATATTGAAAACTGTTTGGAGGACTTTTAAAAGGTTTCATTGTTTTTGAATCTAAGGAGAAAACAGAAGAAAGATGGAGAAATAGGAGACATGGATGCCAAACACAGACTATAGGTGAGTTCATCAAACGCTGTAGTTCAGATCGTGCACTAAAATCTAAAATCAAAGTGATTGCCACTGAAAAATGCAAGTTTGACTCGCCTTGAACAGAGAGGCTCTTCATTAAAGAGGGAACAAAAGGAAGAGGGCGCAGACAGACGACGGCGTTAAAAGGTTCATAATTACCATCAGACTGAACTCTGCAGTCGGTGCATTTTAGGAGAGACGGGAAAAACTGGCGACTCTGACGCTCATCACGCACAGAGGGGCGCAGAGTGAGAGCAGATCACAGATGAGTTTCTCCATCTTTACATGCAGACTGTAAAAAAAGTGATTTCACTAAGAGTCGGGAAACAAATTCATCTAAAATATTTGACTTTGACTCCTGCTGAACCGTCTCATATCTGTCGTAATATTCACACAGCTGCTTTAAAGTCTCTGTACACCTTCAGTGAAAGCCCACCTGTCTGAAAGGACGTCTGCTTCTACAATCTCAGATTCTACACCATCAAATAAGAACGGTGTCAGAGAGCGGCTCTGGTAGCTCTTCAGGAGCGTAGCGTGTTTATTTTTGTGTATTTTCTGTGGATTTGAGCCCTAACGTGTTTGCCCTTCACGCAGAGCAGATCCCAGAATCCCTTCTGGCGTTTTCAGCGAGATGGAGAAGTAACAGGATGAGAGACGCTTAGAGAAAGAGACATATTACAACACAAACATACACACACACACAAACACACACACACGCAGTGAGCGAACCATTGGCTGGCTGGCAGCCATGACAGATGGGGGAGTTTGGTTCATGGGGGGTTACCATGGAAACCTGCATCAGTGCTACCCTGAGCCTCTCTGCTCTGCATAAGCCTCTCTGCAGAGAGAGAAATGCACACACACACACACACACACTCTCTCTCTCTGCAGAGGAGTGTGTGGGCAGGATGAGCTGTTTGCTTGTTGTTTATGACTTATTGTTGTTGCGCAACAAGTCCATGTCATCAGGTCTTAGACTCGCTTCCTAAGTTTAGACTGGGATGGAAAAAAAGGAGTGTGGAAATTCAGCGGTAATTGCCGTTAATGGATTTGTTTACAGATGACACAGCCGGTCGGTCCATGACTGGAAACTGTGCCAGAGAGAAAGTGTGTCACGAAGAGGACCTGACTGAGCAGGAAAAAACAACACAGGATCCATGATCCAGCCCCTCCTCTCTGAGCACCTTCACATCTACATCTCCCTCTTCAGCTGAAACAATCACCGCTCAGTCACATTTCTCTCTTTCTTTCTCTCTCTGCTGTTTTCTCCTCCCTCTGATCCCCGTCATCGATCCTCTTTAAGAGCAAACGAGGCAAAGCAGCCGTTCACCCAGAAAGCCTCTAACTAGATGTGACAGCCACTAAAAACCAATCCAGAGCAGCTCTGCAGCCCAGGCTACGCCAAACTGCTGCTTCATTTCTCCTCTGGTATCCATCTTCATTCTCGGTGATGAAACAGAGGCACATATACACTCTCAGCCCTTACACTCATCTCCATAATCCTGCACATACGACACGCTCCTCCTCTCCCACACACTCCTTTACCCACTGACATGCACAGTCATACTCTGTCACACACAGCACTTCATAAATCCCACAAACAAGGTAAAGCAGACAATTAACAAGTGAAGGTTTTCTGCAGTGATGAAGTCATTAGAGCCTCTTTCTTCTTCATTAATACAAACATGACTCCTTCAATAAAAGCCAGATCCACATCTGCAGCCTCAACCGCCAAAGATGTTGGTCTCAAAAAAAAAACAAGACTAAAGATGTAGATAAAGATGCTTCGATACAATATGACGATAAGCCATATGTATGATAAAGGACTTCACAATGCATTATAACATGAAGTAAACAATACAGTATAGGGAACAGTTCAACACCATGTGATGGGTACAGTATAACATAAATCTGTATGAAACAGTTAAAGGGGATAGGATATGATATGATGTAGTAAAACAATTCTACATAATACAATAGGATATGACAGGGTACAGTAAAAAATTGTCTTATGAGGTAGTAAATGATATGATACAGCATGGCACAGGACATGAGGATACAATTAAACAGGGTATGATACGAAATATAACAGAACAAGACAATATTATGATACGATATGAGAAATGAGAAATATG